AGTCCCGTGGACGTAGCGCGTGGTGCGTTTAATTCAGTTTTAAAATTGATTTTCTTTCGGAATAGTTAGTCGGAAAATATCCTTCTAGCTGTAATATGTATATATTATATAATAGAGATGGGTGATACTCAAGACAGTATTGAATATCGAAATCGAGGTAATTTTTGGTTTCGATTTTGATATTATATTACGCGTTAAAACGATAAGTGATAACGTGATAATCACATTATCACGTATTACGATTAAATAAATTAATACATTACATATACTTATAGTTTTTATTTCTCTATGTGTTAGTACATCTGAATTCTAAATAGTGTTTTATAGTAGTTAAGAAGACGTTATGCCCGCATCTATTGTCTCAGTCCAACTACTGGGTAAAATACAAAAACAATGCTTACGCAGAATATGTAAAACTAGCTTAATTTCGATTTTAGAGTAAAAGTACTTATTATGAAATTTATGGCGAATAATATAGGTATTTTGGAGGGTATGTCATAAGTTTTTTTTGAATTATGAACTATTAGAAAAGTTACAGTTATTTAAAAAAGTAAAAACAAAAATAAAGGTTTTTGTATCTTTTATATCGAGCTGTATATTTTGAATAATATAAAAACCTTTTGACATTCTCTTTAAAATAATAATAATAGCATAATTTCATAATTGATACTTTTACTCTAAAATCAAAATTAAATTCGTTTTACTTTTTCTGCGTAAGCATTATTTATGGATGTTACCCGGTAGTTACCCGGACTGAAACAGTAGATGCGCGTATAACGTCCTCTTAATAATAATTAATAATATTGATGGTTGATATTTTTATTTTATTTTAAATTTTAAATCAAGGTATCGAATTTTAAACGATTGGTATCGCCTATCTCTATTATACACATACAAACGGCCGGTCATACTTACCTACCCCCCGTACTATAACGAATAGACCTGCACCAAAGTAATGTCATTTAAACGGTACACTTGTCAGTTTGTCACAAAGTGATTGCTCGTCGATGTAAAAGGATTTTGTAACGATTTTCAAACGCGGAAACTCCTGTATCCATTTATAATACCGTTTCGGTTTTTTCGTACACCGAGGTCGGTTTCTATTGATATTATTGTACAAAATATATTATACTGAACTCAAACTTCAAATGACACATGATTACGGTGTCAGAAACATAACTTACCGTACCACTTTGTTTTTTATATTATAAATGTACCCTATATCTACGTAAATCGGATTGAAGGGCACGTTTTATATATTTAAAATATAAGAAGAAACCGTGAATTAAAGATGTTTTACGAAGATAAAAAAAAAATATATATATATATATATATATATATATACTTATCCAAGAGCACAATACGATTTAAAATCTAATATTACGGTCCATGTAAAACAATACATTTTTAATTAACGGAAAAAACAATATAAACGATGTTATACGGACGTACATAAAAATGAGATTAATGAATGTTTAAATTTAATATTCATTGAATAATTAAAATAAATGGAAGGGTATATAATTTATTATATTTAAATATGTGTACCACGGAAAATATTTAGAGGATATTTTTTTGTTTTTATCAATTTTTTTATAATTTTTTTTTTTTATGACCTGTTGCTTCTCGAACAAAACTGTTTAACGCTTGATATACATTTCATATTTTTTCTCTCAATTTAATCTTTTTTTGTCCCCACGTATACATTCTATATAGGATAATAATAATAATATATAGGTAGGTATACATGTTTTTACGCATTTTATACAATATTTTCTGACGATAACAGTTAATGGCTCGATAACAATGTAGAATTTACAAAATTCATAAAAACACGTACAAATACGTAGAACTAAAATGTAATCGTTTTGATAAACGCTACTGATTCGCGCTATGTGGAACGATAATCGAAATTAAGAAAAAAAAATTAGTTATTAAGGCCATCAACGAAATACGCGTTGAAAGTTTTTTTTTTTTGTTTAAAAATAAGATGTGCGGTTTGTTAAAAATCAAAATAAGACTACATAACGTCATATAATAAGTAAGTTGTAATTGTATAATTGTATTTTTATTGTAGAATAATAATCAAAAGTTTTTTTATATTACGTAATATACCTACATAATAATAACCTATAAAAGTGTCGAGAATTCAATTGCATATTCAACGGGGGTGATGAGTGCAATATTTTTATTATCTTATTATATTCTTTTTTATTTATTTGTGTAATTGGTCGTTGCATTTTTCTGGTGTACTTTGTTGAGCAAAAACCTTTGAATGATTTAAATTGAACGATAAATGAATAATACAAAATAAATACTTTGTCTTGATTTAATGGTGATAATGAAGTATTGGATTAAAATAAAAATAGGATACAATCTAGGGACATAGATAGGGGGAGGAAGTTGAACCTCTTTTATTTTTATCAATTCGTTATTAACACTTCAATATTTATTATTTTTTCTTTTTAACTCTCGATCCACTCCTATTACAAACCAATTGATATAGTTAAAATCTCCCATAACAATCCATGTCTACGTTTCTGGGGAAATCGTTTAAGAATTACTATAGGATAATATGGTAATATAATAATATGATTTAGTATATATTTTAATATATAGCTTAAAATGTAGATATCGATTTATGGATTTATCTGCATTTTTTAATTGACAAGTTTACTAACAAATAATTTTTTGATTTTATTTTATAAATATCTGTAAACAAAATATTTAATTTGACCCGGCAGACTTACTATACATAAAATATGAGCAGGTATTTCATGGTTAATTATATTTTTGCAATATAATGTTTTTCACATTTGAGAAATTTTGAAATGTGATAAATTACGATTATGGACGTTCGTCAAACTATAATCTTTAATGGTGGGAAATCCTAAATTGTTTATCCCTACCGCGATGCACCGCTGAACAAATTCTACGACTGATTACACAATACACACAAATCGTATAATATTATGATAATAATAAAATCCCGAATGTATAGTAAATATACTAGTGTACAGAGTGATTAATTTATTATGAATTAGTGATTATCTGTAAATATTTTGAATTAATATTTGATAATATTGATTTATTATTTTGAACTCTTTCCAGTGATAGAACTAGGAGGGACAACAGGGACCATTAGATGTATTTTTATTATGATCGTTTCATTTGTATGCCACTTCATGGTGTACATATTATGTGGTTTATTTTCTTATTTCTAATGTGAGTAGTATATTTTTAAATGTAATTAAATGAAATTATAACGTTAACAAACAAACATGTAATTTTGGGTTCGTTTTGTTGTTCATATCCTCCCTCTCCCGTGAAATCGTGAAATCTTGGCTACGTCCTTGATTCTTCCCTATTCTACAGGTCAACATTTTAACCTATATGTATAGGAAAATTTTTCCATTTTATAATACCCAGAGTTTATGTGGGTTATTGCTGTCCATTGCTATTTGAAACTCAGAAGGAGGTTTGTGTCTAAATTGCACACGGAATGAGAGTAGGTAACATTTTGAAACCATCAAAAATAATAAAATATAATATAATGAAATAACAATATTATTCTAAAATGACTAAAAAAACACCCTTGGCCAGAAGACCTCTGCCACTCTAGTCTAATTTCCCTCACCTATTTTAAATAATAAAAATATTCTTTGTAAAACAATACAAATAAAAAAAATTGTGGTGAATTGTACCTCAATTTATGCTTTGTTTGCACTAATATATATGGAGTATACATGTATTTACAAAACATATAACCATATCACCATGGACATCAGTATAATCATAGAATAAATTAAATAAGAATAGACACTCTCCAAAAATTTACATGGATTTTTATGAGAGCCCGGTAATTTCAGTTAAAGTATAATCAATGTTAACAAAAAGTACAGTAAACAAAAATATCGTATACAATTATCATACTTATCACAATTTTATTATTATCAGTTATCACAAATAAATCTTAAACAACTGTAGCTATCTCAGAGTGGCCATATGAAATATAAATCATGAATTATGTTTATAGGCTTATGGCCCAAAACTAACCTATCTCCGGCCCAATAGAAGCCCTCTGATGACAAGAGATAGGCAATTGCCCTCCCTGTCTTTCTCCAAATGACGCCACTGAATTAGACTGAAACGAAAAACTGAGTATACTCTAAATCTTCGTAAATGTAAATGTAATCTCTGATCCATAGATAATAAAATTCATCAACTAGCATTTCATTACTAATGAAAAATGATCGGCGCTGTACATAAATAATAATTGTTGTCAGTTTGTAGATATTTTTTAAAGTCAAGGCGGTTCGTGGATATTTAAAAGGCCCGCTTCGTCTCTCGTTTATTATTAGGCATTTATAGTTATCTCGCCTCTTGTCGCGGTAAACAAAATAAATATTTTTCCAAAGAAAAACCGTGCAGTGCGTTTGGCTAAGGACACCGTCGTGGTTGATCCGCGCAAAACATTAAGATTAATCGTGTTTTCGTGATGTGTATAATTAAACGAAAAATAATCGTCCAGGATGAACCGCTGAGGTCGGCGGTTGGCAGTGATGACGACCCGCGGCAACGGGCTCGTTAATATTAATTATAACATCCCGCGCGAGCCTGATGCGGGGGTAGGAAAAAAAGGGAGGGGTGCGAAAAAAATCAGAGCGCGTATACGCTAATTAGGCGAATAAGGGGCAAAACGGGGACGCTAAGGCTTTCTTACGGCTAAATCGTTTAATTTTTGTGATGTTCTTATAAAAATAATATGTAAATGAATATCATGAGTCAATTTCAATAATTTTATTTTCGAGTTACTGAGGAATACAGCAGTAAAACTTTTATTTTACACCATTTTTCTCCATATATTCGATCACTAATTGTATTATTCGTGTTAACGGTGACTTTCGCGAACTTATAAAATAATATACGCCGTTCGATCCGCAGGTGGTTCGCCGCTGTTTTTGAGTACGTCCGACGTGTTCAACTACCACCCCGCGCACATGTACATACAACCGCCGCCGCCACCGCCACCGCCGCCGCCTTCAATGCCTATCAACAAGGACAACGGCGGTCATCAGGACGGTAAGTGCCCTGTATTTATACGGGCATTAGGTTTAAGGAAAAAAACACGGTGTTGCCGAAAACAATGCAGCTAAAGGTATTATTATTAAACGAGATATTGGAGGACGCGTGCAGTAGTGGATGAACAATGTATTTGGTAAGGTTAGAAACAATACAGGGAAAGAGACACGGCTCGGAGCACGAGAAAATGAGAGTGTATAATCAGTGGCGCGTTCGAGGATCTTCATCGATAGGGAACGTATAGTAATATTAATACCTAATAATCGTGAATAAAAAAAGGTGTTCGCAGAAAAAAAGAAGACCGTAAAATATTTTAACTAATACTTCCATTTTTTATATTTTCCTGTTTTATCGGTTTTTTAAATTTGATGAGAAAACTCCTGAGAAAATCGAAAAATAACTTTTCTAAAGTATCTTCACAGTGAAATTTCCTTTCAAAAATATTGCTACTATTAAAAGTTGGAGCAAAATTGCTGGTAGAAAAGTTATTTATAGGAAAACATTTTTTGATTTTCGTTAATTTTCCTGTTTTTTTTTTCCTTTTTTGCATTTGATAAGAAAGCTTTTGAGAAACTTGAAAAATGATTTCCTTAAAGTCCCTCCCTACACCGATTTCATTTCAGAAAAGATGCAACACGTAGAAATCCGAGCAAGTCTTCTAGTAGAAAAGTCATTAACTGATAAAAAAAAAATAAACATCTTTGTAAAACGATTAGCTTCTTAGCATCATTCAGAATATAAAATGTAAGCGTACGTTTACTATTTTTTTGAATTGGAACGCATGGGAATCAGTTGTGGATACAAAGAGGGGATCGCCCCTTTCGGAGCAATTTTTTTTTTTATGTAATACGTATATTCTACAATTTTTTATAAAATATATATACATGTTTAAATAAAATCCACTCCTCTTTAAAAAATCTCTGGATCCGTCACTGATGGAACGGTGCATATTTAGCATTTTTATCAAAATGGATTTTCATTAAAATTTGAATTTTAAGCGCTTTTTTAACAAAAATACCTTCATTACATCGAATTTTTTTCCCACTAATAGTAAAATAATTTAATTAATTGTATAAAACCAAGTAAAATCTTAAAAAAACCGAAAATATCAAATGGCTATAAAAATTGAAAAATTTCCAGAATGGATTTGAAAATTGTACTATGTTTGGAAAGTGCTGTACAGTGTACATAAATAAAATACTGTACTTACATATGATCATTCAGTGAAATTTCCGGCCTACACGATTATTGACTAAATAAACAAATTCGAATACAACAGAAACCGTTACTATATAAATGTAACAGATACTATTTTTCCCAAATACCACAAAGAAAATCCAAAAAATAATTACTTCATTGCACCAATGATATAAATATTTTTACTAGAAACAATCACGTTTAGAGCAAGATAGCTATCCAGTAGAAAAGTTGTTTACATACAAAAAAAAAAAATAACGAAAACACACATCATAGCAGAACCTTAAATAAACATTATCGATTGAGTAAATAAAAAGATTGCTTGCAATAGTGCTATTGGTGTTTGTTTTCAGAAATTATTAATTACTGAGCAAAGCTTCTTGTTTTATTTGTCCATTTCGAACACTAACCATCCCATTACAAAAAAAAGTTCTGGGGAATTTATACCGTAGTTGATCCCCCGTCTATGATCAGTGCCACTAACTGCGTGCGCCACTGAAAACGGAACCAATGCACATTTGCTGTGAAATAACAGTATTGTATTAATAAGTTCACGGGCAAAAATTTTTTTGTAATAATGTGGTATATTTATTTTTTTTATTGTCTTTTTCGTGACAGGAGGCGGAGTCTCGGAACCGACGGCCGTGTCGTCGGGTCACGACGGCGGATACACCGGAAACGTTGCACCGCCTCAGCCCCAACGACGTGGCGCGCTGCAGCTATGGCAGTTTCTGGTCACCCTGCTGGACGACCCGAACAACGCGTCGTGTATTGTTTGGACCGGAAGAGGCATGGAGTTCAAGCTGGTTGAACCGGAAGAGGTATCTATGTATATATGCATATTATGTATAGTGTATACAGGGTGTAAGACGAACATCTGACACCTGAAATAACTTTTGTTCTACTAAATATTCTACTAATATTATAAATATGAAAGTTTGTGAGGATGTATGGATCAATGTTTGTTATTTGTCAAACCTAAAATTTAAATTCCTTAAAAACTCAAAAGTGGGCTCAAAATTTTTAGTGATGATACCGTAAGAAAATAAATGAAAAGGCAACAAAAAAAGTATCTTGTGATTTTTCGATTAAATCATTTCTTAACGTCGTCCGTGTTACGTCTTACAAAATAATGAAATCGTGAAATTATACGTTTTCCCACGTTTTTTTCCCCACTTAGTGCTTTTATTTAAAAAGTGGCGTCGAAAATCAATAAATTACCTACTTAAATTATTATCTAGACAACATGAGCTTTCAAAAAAGTTGCTACACGTAAATATCGGAGCAAGTTCATTAGGAAAAACGCGTCCACAGACTATAAAAAATTTTTTAAAAAATTAACATTTTAGTAAAACCAATAGCTACCTCGCTACGCTCGGAATCTAAAATAGTGTCCTAATACGTATTGATGAGTGTATGACATAATATCAAATAATTCATTGATCTTATATCCTGTGGGAGAAATAAATAGATTTAGAAAGAAATATCTATATAGATGAATATATGACACTTTTAAAATTAGAACATCGGCGAACATAATGAAAAACATGGTATGGCAATGTGTTTAGATATTTGTTTTAACAATTTGAACAATAAAATACGGTATCCCCGCTATGATTCGACATTTTTAAATTACTTACAATCTACATCGTCATATCCTTTCGGTATCTGCTATATATTATGATATTATGTAGATATCAATGTATAATATAATTGTTATTATTCGTATTTTACTATGGGATCTATCGTCAATGTGTTTCGAGTGTTTAATTTTTGCGCACATACGCTGCAGGTGGCCAGAAGATGGGGAATTCAGAAGAATAGACCAGCCATGAACTACGACAAATTGAGCAGATCGCTCAGGTATTATTACGAGAAGGGCATCATGCAAAAAGTAGCTGGTGAGTATACGAAAAACTTGCTATAATTTATTAAGTATAAATTTACTATTAACAATAAACTGCAGGTTCCCTTTAAATTGCATAGTTAATTAAAGTAGTGTTTTCCCCGTGTAACCAAGGAAACCCAGAAATCAACAACAAAAAAATCCCGAAATGCCAACGTGATGAACCGCCGTATAAAAACCGAAATTAAAAATCTGAACTCCAGATGTTATCGGACTCCTATTATCTGTCTAAAATTTCAAATCTCTGCTCGCTACGGATTTGTCCGAAACCCGTGTAGGTATCGTCATTTATTTGTTGTTTTTATTTTTATTTTTTAAGAAAACTGTTTCAAAAGAAATAATTAAATATCACTGGATATTTACAAACCAAAAAAGTGGTTACGAAACTAAAATTTAAAAAAATGCATCGACTGTTAGATTATAATATGATGTTTGTTGCGTAATAATTAATAATCGCGTAACATTTTGCCAATTTCCTCAATTAAGTATCCATAAAGTGTGGTAATAATATAACGTATCTATATAGCACGCTACGAAACAATTATTTCTTAATGAACACGTGAACTACACAATATTATTCGAAAATAAACCAGCCGACTATCGGAAATGAAAATGACAAATTGATTTATTCGCGAAAATGTCGTTTTTTTTTTTTTTATAATTCCGTCGGCTGTTTGCGGAAATTTCACGACGACGGGGTGTTTTTGAGTGCTGTAGCTGTAGATTGTATTATTATTATTACTTTTTTTCAACCGTTAATTTTTCGACATCCGATTAATTTTGATAAAATAAATTGAAATTTTAAAATATTATTATTTTATTTGATCGCTATTCTCCCTATGCTCACCGCACGGACTCTATTCTAATACATAACATTTTACTATCACCTAAAACGTCACACGGACAAAAGCCAAAATTGGTAGAGCCATAGAATGACTGTAAATTTAGATTTTCGAAGACTGTAATCCTTCGTTATCTACATAGGTTAGAGTGCAGTAAAGTTGCGCGGATAACGAGACGAATAAATGAGATGCTAAAAAAAATACGCTCCGAATCTAAAAGAAGGTTAGGTTTTATTTTTGTAACTTTTTTAAAATTTAGGCAGTTAATTATTTATTCATACACAGACGCACATATTAGGACATATTATGAAGGATAAAAAAACTTAGTGTTAAATATTTGTTTCTTTGCGAAATACTTTGTATAGCGTCAGCTATATTCTTTCAGTGAGTGAGTCTGTCTCAAAAACTTATTCAGGCAGTTGATTTGCTAATGAAGAAACTTCATTGATTATTTTAGAGAACAAAGCCAGTTTCACAAGTTCCTTGTCTTCCTCTTCATTCTGCTTAGATTGTTTTGGTTTGTTCAGGGTTGCGGTAACTTATCTCAGTTCCTCCAATGTAAGCTTTTGATCATGGTTCACCATCATTTCTTCTATGTCATCTCTATTTATCTCATAGAAACATTCTACGTTCCCAGTGATTTTATCGACAAACACAACTTCCGGCTATAATTTTCGCCAACAAGCATTTATAGTCGAGGGTTGAACTTCATCAAGTGATTCTTTGACGAGAAATACAACAATGTACTTAATGATATAAGAAAAATTATTTAACTATATGCAAAACAAAATTACAGCGTTCTTATATAATAGCGATAAAATATATGGATTATTAAACAAAAGGTATTTCTGACTCAACCGCGGTTAAAATTTCCGCAGATTACTGTATTTCATAGCACAGAATTTTTAAAATTATTATTAAAGAAAATGATAATCAGTGGCGGCTAGTCAGATGAGGCGAACGAGGCGCTGCCTCGTCGACAGCTTTTTTGTTGCAATATTTATTGTATAAATATACGTAGTTAATTATATATGGTGAAATTCAAAACCCCTAGTAATTGATAACGTGCAAAAAACAGTATTGATCGGTTTCAGAAAAATGTGTATTTTTACCTATTAAATATATTGAAATTTTCAAAATAATTACTGTTTAACCCGAAGCCTAAAATCACTAAATATATGGTGCCGGTAACGTCATATCGTTTTCTATATTCGTCTTGTTGTGTATATTATGTACATCTCCTCCTCTTGTAATTTTAAAAATATTAGTCTCGTCCCATGTGGAGGCTCACGAGTCGCCACTGACAACAATAACACAATACAATTACTATTATTATTGTTCGAGGAGCTGGAAGCTGTTTTCAAAAATTTCTCCCCATACAATTTTAAAAATTATTTTTTAACTTTTAATGTTCTATAAGACACAATTTACTACCATTAAACGTCCTTTATGTTGATGATCGGAGTGATGGCGTATCATTTTTTTGCGAGACGCATGGCGTTTGAACAGTGTTCCACTATAATAATATACTCTCCACGACCCAAACTTAAAAGTGGAATATCTCGTTAACGGGATGATGAAAATTAAAAATATCAACGTTAAATTTTGTGGTAAACTGAAAATTCATAGATTCATAATTTTTTTGTAGTAAAGGTTGCTATTTGAAAATCCAATGTGTATAATCGTGGTTTTATCCCTGAAAATTAGTGTGACAAAATCAACCGGTACTGTGACATTTTACAGCTGTTCGTATCTTGAATTGTCTAACATAGTGTCTTATCGAGGACCAAGACCGTAGCTAGAAATTTTCTATGGGGGGGGGGAATGTCCAGTTCCATAAATAGTAATTTTATGGAAGATTTCATTATAAGAAATTACATTGAGTTACATCAAAATTGTGAGAATAAAATTGTATATTTTCATGATAACACTAAGTCAATTTTTCTCGGCTATTAGCCATTTCTTCCAATACTATGGATATATCCATCGGGCGTGATAACGATATATCGGTAATAACTTAAGCTTAATTAAATAAAATAGCTTAGATAAAATATTAAATAACTTAACTTAACATCATTATTTCGAGGATCAATAATCTTTAAAACGCTTAGATATTAGGCAAATGCATTGGCAAGCTAAGAAAGTAAACGAATAAGCTATTATTTAAAAAAATAGAAATGCAATAAAACTGTTAAATTTAATAATAACTAATAATTGTACTCTATAATAGTAAATTACTTTAATCAATTTATGAAAAATACGTACTTGATTTTGGTCAATACAAATAGGTGCTAATTTTGAAGTATTTGAATGCATTATAACTACACTTGCTAAATATAATTGTTATAAAACGTCAACTAAAAAAAAACTAACGATTTTAAGAAATAAATTCTTCACAAAATCGTGACTGATATAAGTGATATCAGAGTAACCGGGAAAATTTATCATTTATCATAATTACATAGTGTAGTGACATGTACGTTGTGTAAACAGGCCAAAACGAGCAGGTGGAGTGCTGTCAGCAGTAACGTCGTCAATGGCTTTATCAATTTCTTGTTTTGGACGGCGATAAGACATAATACATTATACAATGATGTGGATGAAATTTAAATATTTACCAAAGAATAATTCTGTGCGAGTGTGTGACTGTGTATCTATACTATTAACTATATATTAAGTATTTATTCAGTTAAAAAAAAATAAACATTTTAAATTTTAGAATATACTAGAAATTTTTACTTTTTCTACTTTGTTAAAGAAGGGGTTTGAACCCCTTACCCCCCCCCCCTTCCCCCGTAGCTACAGCCCTGTCGTGGACTATTACTCTGTATTCTACGTCATAATACAGAGGAAGATTTTTTTTTATCACGAACCGGTAATTTTCTCGGAGGATTTTAAGTGAATTTGATTTCTGTTTTATTTAATCATTATGGAATCGGTTAAGCTTTAGTATATATTGGAGGAATGGGGCAGAGTGTAATCATGTAATTTATTATCCTTTTCTGCACCTCCAGTCTAAACTTTAAACGGTTATAACTCATAAACAATAAATCTGATATTAGGATTATGCATATCAAAATTTCTAGAAAGATAGTTTCTATTCATATCTGTATTCAAAAAGGAGAGTTCCATTTTGAAAAACCAGAGTATATACTTATTTAAGGTTTATGGAGTAGGGGTGAAAAATTAAAAATAGTTTTGAAATAAAGCTTAACCGATTCCATAATGATTAAAATAACATACATCAAATTCACTTGAATTCCTCCGAGAAAATCCGCCCGATTTCGGCTTTTGCCTAACTAGTTGTACCTAATAAACGTATAAGCGTAAAATCCCGTCGTTTTGTCCGTTTGAAAAAAAAAAAATAATAATAATAATAATAAAAAAAAAAAAAAGCCCCCTGACATTTTTCGAATAACTACGTTCGAGCGTGCGCACACACTGCCGCCGCGCGAGGACCGTACTAATAACAACAACAACAACAACAACAGCAACAACAACAACAACAACAACAACTGAAATATAATAATACCGGTGCCCGCGATGACGGTCGGGCGCCCGCGGCTTGTGTGTGCAGTTCGAACGATTACGTACTGCCGCGCGTACGTGTGTTTGGACAAACATAATATTAAACGCGCGTCGGCGGGAGAGGGGCGGTGGGCGGCGAAAAGGCAGGGCGCGCGCGCATTAAATTACGCGCGCGCGAGACAGAGAGAGGATGCAATATCATACGTGTATTATATTAATGTATACAATGCGAAACATTCGCCAGGGCATTATTTGTGCGCACACACCGTGATGTTTGTGTATAATACATGTTTGTTTGACGGTCGCCTCTCTTTTAATTGTTTGCCAGGCGAACGGTACGTTTACAAATTTGTTTGCGATCCCGAGGCGCTCTTCAACATGGCGGCCACGTACGATTACGCAGTCTCCGGTACGTCCGGAGGGCCTGCGAACGCCGCAGCCGCCGCCGCTGCCGCCGCCGCCGCGGCAGCCGCAGCAGTGGCCGCCACCGGATCGACTGCGGGCCATCACCATCATCTGCACCACCATCATCATCACCATCACCAGCAGCTGGCCTCCAGATACGCGGCGGCGGCCGCGGCCGCGGCCGCCGTGGCCGCCGCGTACAACGGCCCTCAGCCGTCCGTGACCGGTACCTGCGGACCGGTTGACGACGACGGCGGCGGCGGCGGTGGCGGTGCCAATGGCTACGGCGGTTACGGCAAACCCATCACCGGCGTCACCACCGTCGCGGCTACGGCGGCCGCCAACGGGACGACATCCACGCCGTCATTGTCGTCGTCCGTGTCCTCGTCGTCGTCGCCCACGTCATCGTTGGCCGCCGACGGCTGTGGTAAACTGCCGCGGTCCGAAGACCCCCGAAACGACGGTGACAAAACGGCGGTCGCGCAGGCCGGTAGACGACACCACCATCACCACCATCAACAGCACCATAGCCAGCAACACCAACACCATCAAATAAAGGGAGAAAACGTTACTGCCGTCGAACGGCATCTTCACCACCACCACCACCACCAGCAACACCAACAGCAACAGCAACAACAACTACACCGCGGAGAAATGGCTGTCGATCACGTGCATCACCACTCGACGTTGGTCGCTACGGCCGAAGGAGGTTACTGGTCGGCCGGCGTATTTGTCCGATAGTATTGGGTGATAGTATACGTTCCGATTAAAATGGGACCGTCCCTTTTTGGAACATCATGTCCCGCTCTTCCCGACAAACTACGAACGGGACGCTTTTCGTCCCGTTTCAATCCCGTCATCCGTGTAATGTAATGAACACAAAAGGTAATAATATCATCGTATACTTCTACGGTGTATCGCTATATGCGTACGAAAAAAAAAAAAAAACGAAATAAATAATATTTATATTGCTTTATTTTGAAAAAAAAAAAAAATCACAATTGTAAATATATCTAACAGTGCTCGTAAAACATGCGTCGAGACTCGAGATACGTTAAAATAAAATACAATATTCCCCCTTCCTCCCATCTCCTTTTTATTATTATTATTTTTTTTTTTTGATTATTATTTATGCGATCCCCGTCCCCCACAAACTGGTTAAGTAGCCCATTGTCGATAATAGGGCAGTCCCCATTAACGATATAATACAATTACAAAATTAGACGGTACCCCAGGGTAGGACGAGGGGATTCCGATCTACGGTTCTCAGACATCGTTTATAACTATTTTAATCGCCCGGGGTACGTAGCAGCATCGATATACCTGTGGCCGTAGCTCAATAGAGAGGTGGAGTGGGGGGGGTTGGTTTAAAAATCACAAAACACCGCGGGTATGCTCGTAAATACTATATCCAGTATTGTATTACCTATGTACAGGCCACGGCCGTGATTAACACATCACCTCTATGAAATTCCCGGGGAGGAGTGATCCACCCGTAGCCCTACTCTACTACTCCATTATGACATGTACAATCCAGTAAGTCGCTGCGATATGTATTTATACTGTAACGGACGCGTAAATATCAGCGAGAAATTAATTATTTCGGGTACACTCGAATTAACGACCCAACGCGGATTATTATAATTATTGATTCTCGTGGAAATGATCTCATGCGCGTATTCCGCCTATAAAAACATTGTCGACGGTCGGCAACGACGAATAGTGACGAAAGTGAATATAGGACTTACCGTAAGAAGACGCGTGATACGCGCGTCGCACAAACGTACGGTATTTGTTGAATTTGCGTTCAGCTCTGACGACTTTGTGCGCCACCGCTGGTCAGTGTATGGTCGACCAATAATCAAGTTTAATGATTATTGGTGCCGAAGGGTCGACGATCGGTCTTGTCACTCCCACCATCCCCGCCACTGTGTAGGTACACTTTATAAGCCCCGGACGGCTTAAGATTTAAAAAACAAAAATTTATTAAAAAATCACGACTACGGATTTTCGTTTTTTTTTTTTTTTTTCTAACCTAACTCTCGTACATTTGTTCGGGGGTAAGTCGCAGTGGCGTACACCGATTTCTCCGTGTACAGTATTCCGCCCGCGCGTGCCAATTGCTGACAATAATGTTATTGTTATTGTGTTGGTCGACGACGGTCGGTTACGGTTCGTTTTTAAATATTAACCGCGAACCGGATAATTCCGGACTGTACGAGTCCCCGAGATTTCGTGCGAAATCCTAAAGTTCAATATCGTCAGAGAATCGTCGACGCCCAAAATATCCGCCCACCTCTAGTCAACAGCATCCGTATACGTACAACTTGAGTCGAGTGATTTATCGTATATACCTGTGCGGCTTGGTGCAATAAGGGTCAATGTAAATTTTTTTTAAAAGTTTGCATTTATATGTTATTTTCTACACACAAATTGTTTAAGTTTTTGTAAAAATTGAAAATAACACAAAGATTTACATTTAATCAAATACACAGAGCCTTATGTGAAATTAAAATTTCAAAGCCCGTTTTGTCAATAATCACAAAATGTGACTTTGGCCTTTAATTCTCGCACTAAGCTACATATGTATATCCTAGGCATATAGTCAAATCAAGCATTTTATCAAATGCCAAGGCAAATAGTCAAATAATTTAATTTTTATACTATTTTACTATCCATCTAGACGTTCAACTAAATGCCTATTTCAAGTCAGGCAAATAATAAAAATTAAATGTTTCAGATAATTTTAAAAACTAAACTGTATTTTCTAGTTATTTAATACTATTCTACAAGTGTTACAGTTTCACGTATGAATACAAATTTACCTTTGGGTACTTTGTTATCTTCTAAGCCATTATTTAAATCTAGATGAAGTTCTTCTCTGGGTCACCAATTTTTTATTATACCAACTGTTGTGCCGACTTGGTAAACTTGGTAGCAGATATTATTCACGTTGAAATACTTTTTCAAACTTTTATTAAAATTTAAAATATACAAAAAAAAATAATAGGCTAGCCACTATATCACAATTACGTACACAGTATACACGTATATACCATGTATTAAACTAAATTATAGTAGAATTCAGTCATGTTCTGTATACTTTTCAGTATTGTCATAATTTCGTTGTTATTGATAAGATTATAATTTGTCCGGTGTTTAATATAGATAAGATAAAATAAAATAATACTTTTCAAAGGTAAAAAACTGTGCAACTTTTATTTTTATTTGTATTATTAGATTAAATAATATTAATGAGAATTTATTTGTATTATTTGCCTGACTTGAAATAGGCATTTAACTTATTAACAATTAACCTTAATGTCTTGGCGAATAGTAAAATCGCATAGAAATTAAACTTTCTGGCTATTCGCCTAGGCATTTAGTAAAATGCCTGATTCGACCATATGCCTACGACATATATGTATATTAAGTATATGCATACGTTTCACCCGTGTCTGTTGTTCGATCTCACGACACGATTTTCGTATTCAACGCGAAGCGTACTCAATCAGTTTGAATTTCATAATACACTCCGCTGTACCGTACGATAATATTATACACGAGTATACATTAACTCGATAGGTACATAAATGAATAAATGTTATCCCGCGTGTATATCCCGATGTTTAGTACAACGATATGCTATAATATTGTTATCGTTAGCGTTTCTTTATCGTTCTTCATAATAGAGTTTCATTGTGGTAATATGTGTAACGAGATAATAATATATAGGTATCTATGATACTGTTAAAATATTATTTATAATTATGAGTACATCATAGTTCTTAGGGTTGAGTACTTTTAGCGTTTAAAAAACCAAAAATACACAAATTTTATGTATTAAATGTGGTAGGTATACATGAATTATAATATATTATATAATAAAAAAACTATTTTAATCAGGTAATAAAAACGTTTAAAATCAATATTGCTGTCCCAGCTGTGTACCCATTATGCTTTTAAATTTGTTTAGTACCTATACCTATAATCAAATATGTATTTGTTTGCGAAGCGACAAAAATATGCAAAAATATAAAATTGTAAATATCCTTGTGTTATGAAACATATTTGCATAATATACAACACTCGTATATTTCTTGTTAACACGTTTCTAGACAAATATGAAATATACTAGAAGTCCTCAGCCCTAATAATAATACACTTGTATCATATAGGTAATACGATTTATGAGAAAATATTATGTACAAATACGTTTTTAAGTGCAATAAACTTGTATTAAATTAACCTGTTGTATTTATTTTTATCTTTATACCCTGCAAGTATCTATTATTGATTTTTCCACCTGTTAATATCTTGCTCTTTTCTCCATATCAAAAGGCTTAATTTAAAAAATAGGTTTTCTTCGTTTCACGTTAATTTTTCTTATTCCGACGCCTTTTCCTCCAACGATGAAATAATAACCAAACAATTAATCAGTCTTGTTTTTAAAGCCGATTTGAAAATTCAAAGATCTCTATTATGAGCTAAATTGTCGAGATGTAAAAATGTATGTTAATATTTTATCAAATAATAATAATAAAAAAATTAACTATTATTAATTATTGGTATTTCAGGTACCCCGTATACTATACACACGTATTATACAGCGCTGCATCGAAACTAATACGATTTTTATACGAATAGTTTCACGTGAATCGCCATCAAATATTTGTCAAATACCTATCACAGATGGCTATCTTAATTTCCCCTGTATTTTAAACACCTTATTATACATTTTTTTTTTTTAAGTGCCCTGTTTCTATTCCCCCAAAGGATGGTGTCAATAAAAGTATTTATGATTTTTTCTATTTTCAATAAAAACACCTTTTTAATATTTTTAAAACATTGTCCATTACTTTGGCTAGTAAAAATTATATTTATTGTAGAAATAAACGGAACGTTTTGAGTTCATCGAATTCGTAAATTCGCAATTGTAAAAATTATTTATAATCGAAATACACTCAGAATGACTTTTCCTTAGAAACGATCTATCGTTGCGTATAGATATAATGTATACAAGGTGATTTTTTTTATCATGAACCAGCAATTATCTCGGAGGATTTTAAGTGAATTTGATTTCTGTTCTTTCTCATCATTATGGAATCATTTAAGCTTTATTTCAAATTATTTTTAGTTTTTTACCCCTTCTCCAAATACTTTAAATAAGTATATACTTTTGATTTTTAAATAGAACCCCCCCCCTTTTGAACACAGATTTAAATAAAGAATATTTTTCTAGAAATGTTAATATGCATAACACTAATATCAGATTTACCGTTCATGGATTATAAGTTATAACCGTTTACGGTAATAAATTGTCTATCTATAACCCTGCTCTACTTTTCCGGTCTAAACTTTAATCTGTTATCTCATCACTGTTAACGTATGCAATTTCGGTCGCGGGTATATTTTCACATTGTTACCCCATTACTGCCATCGTTTATTAATAAGTATAATTAAGTAATGTTTTGTAAAATCCTGTTTTCCCCTTCACGAGGCAGGCTCACATTATTAACTATGCGAATTAAAAGTGCGGCGAGAGGTGAGCGGTAGGACCACGTCACCTGACATTATGCTAACTTAATCTAACCTGTACATGACTTTAAGTCGGTAAGTGGGTCTTGTGTGCAGATTTTGATGTCCAGGACTGATAAGGCGGTTGTTCCTATGGCAGCTGGTCATCCCTTGCCTCTGCCTCCCTTATCTTCTCGTCTTGCTCCTTGCGGCTCAGTATGCCCTTTACCATGGGGTAGAAGGACTGTGAGCCACGAAAGGAGGCTGCCTCGATCTAATCGTGTGAAATCTGATCAGAATCCCGGATGGGATGCCTTTCGGGCATAAGAGCGGTTTTTGGACGTCGCTGGGAGCTATGTTTTATTACCGCCAACATACGCTCTGACGTCTAGCCGATAGAGTTCCCAGTGAGGGCATACGAAGAGCGTGTGCTCGACTGTGTCTTCCGGGTGTCGGCAGTGTAAGCACTCCGCGTCTGGGGCTCGTCCCATTCGGCAGAGGTAATGCCTGAAGCACCCGTAACCTGTTAAGGCTTGCGTGACGTGGAAAGTGAGGTCCTTAGGGCGTCTCGAGACCCATCTCCTCAGGTCCAGGAGAACCCTGTGAGTCCAGCGAATTATTTAAGGAAACACAATAAATGAAATAATTAATATTATAAATATTTACATCGTTGACAATTTTAGATTCTGAGTGGAGCGAAGAAGCTTATGGTTTTATAAAGATGTTTATATTTTTTTTATTTCTGTGGATAGCTTTTCTACTAGAGGACTTGGTCCGACATTAAATTTTTATTTTCACTCAAAATATTGCACTTAATCAATATTATACGTATAACTTTTTAAATTATTTTTTCTTAAAACTTTTTTTTTTTTTGACGTCCCTATTCGTATAATTTATAATACGTAAATAACACCAATAACACTGGTGAGATCGGTCTGAATAATATTTCGTATACTATAAACTAGACTAGAAAAATAGGCTAAATAATGCTTAAAGACAGGCTACTGTTAAGTTGAGAAAGCAGGGTTTTCTTTTTAGTATGCAGTGAGACGCAGTGAGACACATTTTGTGCAGTTAAAATATTAATTTGTGCAATCCGAAATAACAATTGTTCGTTATTATTTATTCTATATTATTTAATGATAACTACGTAAACCACAAATAAAAGAAAAAAATTGTTTCAAAATATATTTTAAAAATTGATTATTAGGGTTTAGTTTTATTATGCTTTCTTACCGAGCTTATAGTGCATTGCAAATAGACAAATATATTTTATTTACAATTACGATAACAAACTTATCGAAATGTTTTGAATTTTTTATTAACGTTTTTATTTTTTAAGTTAACTCGAATACTCTGTGATTTACAGTCAACTTTCATACTATGTAGAATATTTCTATTTTGATCAATTGTAGAATATTTAAGATATTGTAAACAAAATGATAGGGAACAGATAATTGGTTACTATATTTATCTTTGTTTCACGATTTTGTGAGTATTCCTTATAAATTTTAGATTGAGAGCGTATCCATATTCAGTTTGGAAAATTAATTGTGAATATTTGTTTTTTTTTTTGCAAATAAAAGCGTAAAACAAAAGATTTAAATTAAAATATGATTTTATCCATTTTAAAACGTTGATAATTGTTCAGATTTTACTATGCAAATTTTATGTATACAAAATTTTATAAATTTGAATAAACCAAGAATATTAAACAGCTTTTTCTTTATTGGTTTTTACGGATCGTTTAAGTCCATTGCCGCAACAATCACTTGCCTCTACCCATCTCTATATTGAGCTAATTCTTCTTCGGTCGGTTATTCCCAACCTCGATGTGTTTTTTGTAATCCTATCTTTCCAGCGCTGGGTGGGTTCTGAGTGTCCTCTCGGCCTTCTTTAGACACATATCTGTGATTGAAATATAGTAATATCAGGATCTATAGAATTACAAAAAAAAATTTGGAGAAATAATGTATCTGGGGAGCGTACCCCGGTGCATAATAGATTATTGTATTTTTATATGATATAAGGACAGTATGATATAATTCAAAAAGATAACGCAAACCATAATGTTAAAAACCTGTTAGAAAAAAAATAACATGCCCTTGGTTTGAAGGTTTATTATTTTAAATTATTTGTTTTTATGTTTCGCTTGTTTATAATTGTAGTATAATGACATCTTTATGTTCACGGCAAACGGAATATACCTAAATTATAATAACTAAAAAAAAATATACGTACAGTATAGTTATACCTAATTCAGATAAGTACTTATATACCTAAACGTATTAATCATGACACGATAGCACCATGAAAATCAACGAATTAGTCGTATGAATATGTTATACCAACGACGCGCAACGTGTTCGGTTGTTATCGTCTTCAGTGGCGCAATCAGGATTTATTGAAGGGGGTGTCGAATATCTAAATTTAAAAAAAAAAAAAAAAAACACTTGTTTTTAACATACCTATATTTTAATACATTTAAACACCGACGGAGGGGGTGTCCAGACACCCAAAACGCTCACGTCCCCCGTGGTTGCGTCACTGATTGCCGTTGAGTATATACACATTGAATGTCAATCGTAACCGTTTAATAAAGGCGAGGGCTTAAGAAACGTGAAATAAAAATAAAAAATAACACTGTTGACATTGGGTAAGTATACTTGTAAGTTTTCGAAAATATAAATTACCAAAACGACAGTGTTGGCGAGTAAAACGGAAACTTGGTCGACAGGCCTGAAATATTAGGATACTAAAATATTGTAATATTTTGAACAACAAAATAAAATTGTGTAGCGACGTGAGATTTCCAACGCTTTAATTGATTATTTACTACATAAATCATTTTCGGTAAATATTATTATAGTGGTTGTATACATTCGAACCATTTTCAGAGCGTTTATTTACCAGAATGACAATTGTCTCAACGCACAGGTACAATAAATGTTATTGAAAGGGGTAGCCGTTTCCCGGTTTAAGGGGTACAATATTGAAACGGAAAGAAAAAAAAAATAAAAAAAAAAACCGGTCCAGCACCGTATACGACGATCGGAATATAGCTCGCGAGGCGGAGGCGGACCGTTTCGACCGGCAGTTCACGTGCGTCTGTCGGGATAGACGGCCACCTTGGACGGAAAACCGGACATGCCCACGATGTACCGGTACGTGGTCGGCTGCCGGAGAATGGACTTGACCGGCGGCTTCGGAGCGCAGGCGCAATTGTCGCGGCCCTTATTGTTGGCGCACGTCATGTCCACTATGGCCCTGAACGTCCGCAACCACCTGTCCCTGTTGCCGGCGCACCCGCAGCCGCCGCCGCCGCCGCCACCGTGCACAGCCTTTTTCGGCCTGCGCGGCGACGACGGCGTCGCGATCGGACGGGCCGGTCCGTGGCTTCCGTAATGCTGCTGCTTCTGCAGCTGCATGTCCGCGCGCGGGACGTCCGGTAACGCGGCACAACAAGTATAGTGACTTTAGTGGACAATGCGAAACTACACTTGGTGGAGGGGGGGAGGGGAACAGGCGGTATTCGTAAGCAATCGTTTTCAGCGCGTGGTTTTGCCGGGGCGACTGTGCGGTGACTGCGGCGGAGCTTGTTAAACGATACCTATATAGTTGCCCGGTATACGCGCGACCTTTGTGGCTATGGATCCGCGGTATAGCACGTGTCGGCAGCGACGCCCGACACGTGATACCCCGGCCGACGTCTGGAGTCGCCGTTTGTTTTCGACGACGACGTGGGTTTCGTGACGACGCGCTGCGTGTGTAGCGCCTTGTCGAGGCTTCCGAAAAGCGCACGCGTCGACGGCCCAAAGGTCGGCGCGGGTACGTTTGATTTCTGTATTCGTTTTCGCGGAATTATTATTGTCAAGTTCTGTGAACCGCACTGTGCCTGTAAAAGGCCCGGAGTAAAAGAAAAATTGTTTTTGTTAAAATGCCGTGTACCGCTAAAAATCGAAAAACACGTTTTAGTATCAAAAAAAAAAAAAGGAAAAAAAAAAAAAAACGGAAAAATTAGGAGCATAAACCGGTTAAAGGGCGTATTCAAATACAGAGAATAAAAATTTGATAATACCGATTAAAAGTTACCCGGGCGCCTTTTTAAAATATAATTAAATCAATACAGTCAACAATGCGTGTATACTTTGCAGTCTAGGACGTGGTTGTTATGGAGTACACTAACACATGTCTTTGTTCCATTGTGGACAACGCTCGTTTTTTTATATTAGTAATGGCAATCCGTGTTTCGACTCTGGCAGCGTCAAAATTATGAGTATACATATTTTCTGATTTTTTTTAAATTCGTCAAATTGTCAATTTTTTTTTTTTTTTTTTTGTTTGCCACCACTAAATTTATCAAATATGTACATAGAACGTTCATTAACCAGCACTTCACGATTACGTTTGGACTCGATTTTATGCATTATCATAATATTTTTTTAAATTTTTATAAAACCATGTCATTAAAGGTAACTTTGTGCACTTCGCTAGAGACAACGACTTTGTAAACCGTAGAAAATGACGGCCAGCGCCAAAACGTCCGCGTCTGATTATGTAATGTATACATAGGTGTACATTTATAGTATTACCGTTCGTCCATTTTTATATGTCTGCATGTACAGTATAGTATGTGTACACATTGTACATTTTGGTCCAATTTAATGTCCCTTCTGTTCGCAAACATGTTGGCTCTCACCACGCCCTGTTTTACCTATTTGTGTGGGAAAATTTTCAAAAATTCTCCCAAGTGAATCAAAATCGGTTTCTTCTCGAATTTGTTCAACAAAATTCAGTGTTCAAGGTTTCTAACCTGTTTATTCTATTTATAATAATTCGTGGTAGATAGCCGGCAGAATCAATATATTATACAAATGTCCAGCGGAATCGATATTAAAACGTCAATATAATATATAAGTAAAACCTCTATTAATGGACATTTTTAAATTCCTTTGCAAAAATGTATGTACATAATAGGAGTTATAACCTTTTAATAGTGGACACTAAAAACTGGTACCAAATTAAAAATTACCTCTCATAAATGAACATAATATATGTACATGTTGAAAATGTTTAAGTAATACTATATTTATCTTTTATACGTCTCCCTATAGTGGACATTTAATAATTTCTTGCAAATGTCCACTGTGTAAAGATTTTAGTAATATGTTATATGTAATAGTGGACAACTTCTTATAGTGGGCATTTTTTTATTCCCCACGATTGTCCACTTTATAGAGGTTTCACTATATAATAATATGTACCAATATGTATTCAATTTTAATTTCATTCAAATTTGGATATTGTGGGTCCAGAACAAAATGATACTAAAATAAATGTATGAACTGTATGGTTCACAAAAATTATAATATTTTCTACAAACGTTTCCCTTTGAAGGTTTATGGATTAGGCGCAGAAAATATATTACATTTTTTTTAAAAATTCATTTTTATTATAAATTCAATATTTTTACTCATATCAGTCAACACTGAAATAGTTTTAATACTTTTAAAAAGACAATATGTAATTAATCTAATAACATAAGTATCATCTATTTGTATTCATTGTAAAATCATATCATAACATAATTATAATAATAAAAAAAAATCTTAAACTGATAAAAATTTAATTTAAATAGAAACTATTAAACTTATCAATACATAAAATGATAATAATATTAATACAAATATTATAATGTAACATTGTTTAAAAGCATATTTGTAATCAAAATCTTAAATGTAAATATATAATAAAACCATAACGGTATAATAATGGTATAATATGAACGTATATATATATATATATTTGCATACTCCTAGTTTTTCAAAAAAACATTCAAAAAGTTTTAAAAATATTTCACATAACAGTAATTTGTATACATTAGAAAGGCAAGAAATACAAATAAGGCACAAATATTTGAACAATTTAATAACATTAAATAGATTTATACATATATATATATTTGAAAAATTTGATCTTATAAATATCCATTAACCTTTTAAATGGCCGGAAATTCTCAATATGTTTAACCAAATGGCACTGTTTTTATTTTTAGTGCATGTTCAAATTTTCAGACTTTAGTTGCATATCAAATTCACATATATTTTACGAAAATATACAAATTATCTTACTTTTATCATCAAATAAATCTTGATAGATGATCAACTTTTTTTGGGTTTTATAATAATTATTAAAATAATAACAAACAACTGAAACTATTAAAACAGTAAAAATATTTTACAAAAAAAAATTTGAGACTTAATAACAATGAAAATAAAAATAAAAATTACCATCAATCAGTCCATCAATTGAAAAAACAAATTTATGAACATAAATATATTTATTTACAACTTGATGAGATAAAGATATGTAGGTAAGCTTTTGAGCAAACCTACACCCGGTCAAATTTATTTTTAAAATCTGACCGGATACTGTCGTTGTCACCGAAGTGCATCAACATTATAATGACCACCGCCATTGGACATCCTGTGATCACCACCATTCGACATCCTGTGGTCACCACCATTCGACATCCTGTGGTCAACTCCATTTGAAATTCTAAGGTCACTTCCATTCGACATTCTATGATCACCAGCAACTGACGGCTTTTTGTACAGTTCAAATGCACTACCTCGTTGATCTCGATGCTGTGTCAAGTCCAGTGTATTAGGATCTCTGTGCTGTTTGTAGTACACATGATTTCGATCCATTTGCTGTAAAGGCTGCTGTCCATTAACACCACGACGATCATATCCTCTATCCAAACTACTACCGTGGCCCGAATCAGCAGTGTTTACGTCTGTTGATTCTGATGAGTACTTACTGGGTGATGAAGGCATCTGTAATTGAATAAATGTCCATATTACATATATTCATTTTTATAGGTTTATAAAAAACAAATCATAAATGAATTAATAAACAAGTGATAACAATTAGACCCACCCCATTAGACATATGTGATGAATAAGTGCTGTCTGCCATGCTGAATGATTTAGAGTGCTGGAAACCATTGCTGGGTGGTGGTTGGTAATATTGTTGTGTTTGTTGTTGCTGTTGCTGAACTGGTGGACGATAATTTTTTGGTTTCGGAGGTGGAACAGGTTTGTAGGATTGTTGTGGTTGGGGAGGTGATTTTGGCAACGGAAGTGGTTTACTAGTGGCATATTCAATCATACCTCCAGTGGTACCGCCCGGAGGTCTACAAACAAACAAGGTAGGTACAAAATAAAACACAACACAACATAGAACTAAATAAATACATATAGATCTAATTATTAAACAATTAGTTACAGGTACTATCTAATAGTAAAGGAAGTATCACAGATTTTATCTAATATTATCTAATTCATATAATTAATCTTTCACACAGATAAGATATATCATTTATCGGATCAATTATATTTAAACTTCTATAAAATTCTAATGTTTTTAATTTTGAAATAACCCTATAAAATTAAAAATTTAAATTTAATATATTTTTCAAATGTTAAAAAATTTATATATATTAGGTTAACCTACCTGTATTTTGGATAATCTGACATTTTAGTATCAACTGGTTGTTGAGTTGATCTGGTAAACCTATAAGGATCATGATGTCTACCCAAAGTGTTATTACTGCCAGACTTAAGATCGTCTTGTGAATTAGAACACAAAGTAGTAGACAAGTTTGCACTGCCATTGCTGCCGCCATTCATACGTACACCATAACTGTCATACGACGACACACTGTCATAACTGTTGTGCATATCATACAACTAGAAGACAAACACATTTAGTTAATATTTAGTTAAAGCAATTATTTACAGTAATGTACCTGTTTACTAGTGCTGGTGTGGGTCCTTTGATGGTGAGGAGTTGCGTTTATGTAATTGGGTATTTCATCTATGCCGTTTGGGCTAAATAGTCTATCAGTAGCTGATCTTTGTCCATTTGCGCGATGTCCGTGCATTGGCTTTGTGTTTCTATCAACTCGAGGTGGCAAGTCTGGTGGTCCGTTACCGTTCACCATTAATGTTGTATGAGTGGGTGGTCCAGCCATACGTAATGTTTGTGGAGGCTCATAACTCGCCTGTCAAAATAAAAACAATATTTTTATTAAATACTGTAAAAAATACAATTTAATACAGTTTATAAGCTGGAGACTAACATGTTTTGCCTAAACCATTATATTTTTAGATTAAAACAATACAACTTAACTACAAATTTGTATTATTAAATTATTTTAATTTTAACATATAATATTGTACTCAATAGTCAATAGTTAATCCATACTTGTTTGAACACTGATGGCGAATATGGCGGGGGTGGATTATAATTAGGGATGGCAGAATCGTCCTGGGTTGTAATGCTTGGATCACTGGAACTCTTTACAAGTCTTGAACCAATAATTGCAGATGGACTGGCTGCTGTGGTAGAAGTTGGAGATGCTAAGGTTGTGTTACTAGTTTCCATATCACTTTCAGGAGATGATGCATATGATAGACGTAAGGAGGTCATTGGGAATAACAAGTCATCAGACAGGTTTTCTTCAGGCTGAATACATAATGCATGCCACATACACAAAACAACACATGTTAGTAATTCACAAAACATAAATCAGTTAATTTTTTTACAAACACAAATTAAAAAAAAAAAAAAACATTAATCAAGAACACAATATTATAGTTAGTTGATTATTAACTATTAATAAATAGGAACACAGTATTGTTTATACTATGTCAAAATAATAAATAAGATATTTAATGTATTAAATATTTTATAATCGAGAACAATGTTATTAAAAATCTGATCTATAATTAAAACAATAATTATAAGAGGTTAACAAGTAGTATGATATAGTTGATAAAATATTTTTGTTTTTATTTGAGGTTAAACAATAAATAGTAAAATTATGTTTAAACTATTAATCATGCAATATAAATTATTATTAATAGCAGCATAAGAACACACGTGTAATTAATTATTCTATACATTTTAGATGTAGCCAAAAAAATCATTAGATCTTCTGGCATAATCAATTTCGTTAGAGATAACATAAGGGTCACAAAATGGATATGACATAGGAAGTAGATAAAGATCAGAAAGGAAATCTACAGTCTATAAACAATATTTGAACATTTTAGAATAGTGTTTTTAAGCTTCCTTTAAAATTCAGTGTTGTAAATATTATGACAAAAAAACATATAAGTACCTTTGTTTCGCTGACCCAAGTCGGTGAACTTTGGTGCTTATCAATTAATTCTCTTAGCTTACGATACCAGGCATCTCCTCCATTTAAAGTCAGTGAAGAAGTAAAAACATGTGACCACACTTTTTCTAATTTCTGACATTGCTCTAATAGTTTCTTACTGCTCTTATGTGCAGTTCTATAAAACATGTGTCTTATCAGTATTATGATAATATAGAAAATTATTAAATATTGAATATTACTTTGGTAATCCGGCACGGAGTTCTTTGATCACTTGTTTGTTATCTGCGCGTAACATAATGACAATAGGATAAAATTGAGCATAATTTAAACGATCAACAGCATTTGGTGTGACATCCAAGAGAGCATGTTTTCCTCTATCCATAATATCACGAATAGCACTCAGTCTTATTATGCCACTGATTTTTTTGCTTCCATCAGTAGTATTGTTTTCGAGTTCTAACAAACCAACCAAATAAGTTACTATTGAATATTGGTTAATGACTATTTAAATTTTGTTTTTTATTTGTACTCACGAGGAGACAGGAATTTATCTGGGAAGTCCTTGGTAAGTTTTTCTCGAGCAATGTCTGATATAGGTCCAAACAAAACAACTGGTCGTACAAATCCTGTATGACTAAGTACCACCTTTTCATAAGCTGGAAACTTGCTTATGCTATCCCCAAATACCACATCATCCCAGTTTTCCTGTAAACCACAACCAAATTAAATTAAATAAATTTCTTTTAAATAATATCAAATTTTTTTTTTACCTTGCTTAATGATTTTGATCTTCGATGATTGTTTTTTCGCCGTCTAAAGAAACCTCCTTTGCTCTCAGAAGCGTTCATCTCTTTCTTAGTGGCATTAAACTGTGCTGTTGCTAATTCTTCTGCTTTGGCTTTGTTTGGAATAATTCCTTTTTGAACTTCTTGATTGTTTCTTCCGATACGGAACACTTGCCAAGAACCAACTACCCCATTATGTAATGTGTCCATTACATGGAATACATCACCTTTGCAAAAGCTCATTTCACCTTTGTTTGGTTGTTCGTAGTCAAAATGGGTCCTACAAAATATAGAAATATTATGTTTAAAAAATGTCCTAGTCATTTATTGATGCTTTATATTTAATTACTTGATATGGAATGAATCGCCTCGTTGATTAGTCATAATTTGTTCATATTGATCGCGCCGGTGTTGTACAATAAGATGAATTTGATCTTGAAGACTCAATAAAAATAACACAGCTTCTTCACGAGTTACTCCTTTCATGTCCATATCATTTACTTTTAATATTTTATCCCCCGGTTGTAGACCTTGTGTGAATGCTGGGCTTCCTGGCTGGACAGCAGTAACAAATATACCAACTTCATTGCCGCCTGTAAGTCGAATACCAACAGATCCCTCTTTTTGGAATGTAATAAATCGTGGATCAGGTCTAAAAAAATTTAAATTAAAAACTTAAACACGCCTATTAATCAACTAGTAATTATTTGTTTGGCAATTTACTTTAAATGTTTGGATCTTTGAGGTAATGAATCATCATAAAACTGTCTAGTTGTACTATAATAATCTGTGAAATTAATAAACAGTAATTTTAAGTATTAACAATATTAATTTAACGTTATTAAATGACAAATAATTTAATAAAAAAAAAAATGTGTAAATTAATCATATATTTTCAACTACCTTCAGGTCTTGGAGGCGGAGGTCGAGGAGGTTCTGAATGATCCTCAGTACCACTTCTGCTACGACCATGATTATATGTAGGTCCCAAATCGCCATTATGTAAATTATTGGCTAAATTAAAAGATTTGTATTAATTAAAATTGTTATATTCAATAAAAAATAAATGACTTACCAGATGTATTGTTATCCATAGCAGAAGTTGGCCTGTCCAATTGACTCAAAGAAACAGAATCTAACAGTGGATTACGGGATCGACCTCGAGGAGCCAAATTACTTTTGGCTTCTTCAATCATAGTTCTACTGGGTGGTTGTACATAGAGGTTTTGTGACGGATATGCCGAACCATTTATACCTTCCATATAGTTATTGTTTTCTATAAATAGACAAACAAGAATAACAATTGGGTAAAAAACAATAATTATCAAAATAAATTAAATATTTAAATGTTTTTTTTTGTTACCTTTGGCTTGCAAAGACGTCGGCTCTGATGAACCAGAATATTGTAAATTTCCATTGGTACTACCTTCTCTACGCACCGTTAAACTTAGTTTGTCTTTGGCAGATTCAATTAATCTTCTCGCTTCTTTGAGCGTCATGCCATCCGTGACAGCATGATTGTTGATCTTCAACAAAACATCACCCTCTTGAACACAATTATCACCACCTTTTGTGCCTTCTTTGATAAATATTCTACTGCCCAAAACTATTCCAAAGTCTAAATTTAGAAAAAAATAATTATAACTGGGTATAATAATATATAATAATAATCTTATTATCCATTATCTGTCTTAAGTACCGTCTTTTTTTCTAGTTTTAGTCATATGAATACGCAGTGTGTGTGGCGTATTGGAAGGTAACACCAAACGGCGTCTCAGCGACAACGTCACGTTTTCACCGCATTCCCTCAACACGGCAACGGCTGTACCGTATTCAACATTGTCCAGCGACACACCGTTAGCAGTCATTATCCTATCATTGACCCTGTGAAAAAAATTAAAAAATTAAATTAACAACATTTTAAAACAAAATTATTACTATATGACACACTTACATTAGTTTTCCTTCGGCAGGACCAGATTTCAAAACATCGGACACGGCTATTGAAGGGTCGCCGTTTGCAAAATGCGGATTGTCCCGGCCACCACTCACGGCGATACCGAACCCGTAACCGGGAACGCGGTTCAGAGTTACTTGATGAAATTCCCATACGATTCGATCTCCATTCTGAAAAAAAAAATCACGGTCAATGACAATTAACGTCAAATTATATTCATATTATAATATTTTATTAAATAATAATCGAAATACGAAAAAACTATGTTTTTGTACGTGTCACAAAGACTCATTTCTCTTTTTGAACACTTCTCCTAGTATCAAACAATATCGTTTTTCGGAAGAACACACATCGCAGAGTATATTGTATTTTAGAGATTTATACTGCTGAGTGAAACTGTGGCAATTGTGAAATAACCAATCACGAAAAATTCAGGGGGCATTTTTGTTTTCTTTTTTGATCATAACTAATGTGCAATGAATAAAAACATAATGAACTCTAACCAGGCGCCAGCTCTCGTCAGTGTCGATGGATTTGTATTTTGAATTCGAACGGAATCAAAAAATTTAAACACAGGTGTTTTAATCGATAATAATAATAATAATAATAATATGGCACTTAATATAATTATTATCGGAAAAAACTGTGTTTATTCAAGATTCCGAGACGGCCTATTTCCAACGTCAATTACGAACCACGAACGTGTGCCATTTATTCGATTGACCTATTTTAGATTCTGAGCTGAGCGAGATCGGGAAAACGTACTGAATGTATAATATTATTTTCAAATCGAAAATATTACGGCCTTTTAAAACACGTGTAACCAAACTCCGCTCAGAATCGTTTTTCGTCAGCGAAGATTAATCGTTGCGTATACAGATATACATTAAATTTCCCTCCTATACCTTCCAAACTATTTTCACCTACAACAGTGGCCCATCCAACGTGCAAAGTATGTCCGTAAATATATTGTTTTTTTTTTTTTTTTTATAAAAAATGCGATTCGCTCAAAACTTTCGAACGTTATTCGTCGTCGTAGAACACTGCACAAATAATGACAATTCAGTAATGTCAATCGTTCACGTAAAAATACTAATATATACCTAAGAGTATATAATAACGATAACACGATAACCTAGATTCCGCCTAGCGTATTATTATTATTATTTACTACTATTTAGAGCGAACGGAAAATCATTTCCCTCTCTCCGCTCTCCCACCATATAAAATATTCCTATCCGTATTATTATTATTTTCTTTCGTTCGCGTCGTCGTACGTATAAAATACAACATTTAACTATACCATATGAATTACCGACCGGGTAGGTAGGTAGGTACCGTAAAGAAAGATTGGAAAAAAAAAAAAACGACTCGAAGTCTGCGCAATTATTCGTGGCGATGGACACCGTGAATGGAAACGCGTATGTTATTATGTTGACTCTGGAGGCGCACGTAGTGAACCGTTTCGTTTCGCCGCTTTTTTGTTGTAAATCGATTAATACGATTACCTACCGGGTTTTAACGGCCGCCGAATACGGCGACAAACACAAATCTGAATCTCTGAAAATAATTAAATCGTCTAATACTCGCAAGACGACAACTGTAACGTATTATTAATTCGATATTATATAGCTCATATTATAAGCACTCAATCCGGACCTATGTATTCTTATTCTTAATCTGTATTATTAAGAATTTCAAAAGCATTAGGATAATATTATATTCGAATTACTTGTATAAACTAAAAATACGCGACTGACCGTCGGTAGCGATTTACTACGATTACTTTTTCTTTTCTACGAGGGAGAAATTATGCTTCAAAGAGTTCTTGTCAGCGCTCAAATTAAAAAAAAAACAGGAGATACCCACAGACTTACAATAAATTAGCGTCCCTTACAATTATTGTACTCAACCTAAGCCATGATGGACTTTGCTTCCGCATCTCCCTAACTCAATATGTCTGTCAGTTAATCACTTTTCAATCAGAAATCGTGCTCCAATCATCCACTTTATGAGTGATTTCTAATTCCTAGAAACATATTTTAGTTTTTTTGGTGGATTGAGGAGGATATATTTTTTTGATTTTTCTTGTACTTTTCTTAAGAATGGGGAAAAGAAAAACCTTGAAAAACCGTCGAGAAAATTAGAATACGTACACAATAACGGTATCTGTTATATTTGATTTAGTTGATAAAAATGCAGAACTACATGTACCGTACAGTGCGTTCCACTTAAAACAAATGATAAAGGTGTGCTACAATTTCTGAAAAATTAATTTTGGCACTCATTTGTCGAGCACTGCAGGCTTTTTTAGAATATACAGGTTACAACTTTAGTAAACATTTCAGATAATCGTATGCTTTTTACCATGCTTTATATTAACTTATACTCGCGAAGAAGAAATGTAAAACTTGTGATCGAAGTTCGATCAACTTGACATTTGGCACGCACTCATATTTTCAATGACGATAATCTATAATTTTCCGTTTTTTTTCTTTTTATAGTCGTGGTGGTTAAACATTTATTTTTTAAAACTTTGTTCTTTATTATTCCTCTCTGTTCCCACGATTTCATGACTTGATCTAATAATCAACATCCGTGATGATTTCTGGCAGCGATGACGTCAGGAAAATTACTTATTTTTTTTGTTGATATTCCTCTTACTTTTCTTAATAATGGGATAAAATATAGAAAAATTAAGGAAACCGGTAATATTTTCGCAACTCCATCACACGGGGTTTTATCAACGTCAAATTTGATTTTTTTGTTGTTGCAATTTAGTGGGAAATCGTATAGAGATCTGATCCAGATATGCTCGACAATTTGATGTAAGGTCCGGTCAATTTTTATTTTTTGTTGTTTAATAGATTTTGAGATTATGCCATATCGAAAGTTTAGCAGACTTCCGGCACGCCACTTTATCGTTAAAATCATAGAAACACTAGGTTTTAGGTTTACACTTGCAACATTTTCTTGGAGCGTTGTTTTGTAATAAAAAACCTCAGATCTCCGAAAATTCCTAAAACTAACTAAGTTTTACTTTTCGGCTTGAGTCGCGAACTCGGATAGGGTCTGTAAATACGTAATTCGTAATGATATTAAAATATACGGACGATAATATTCGAAACGATGATTAAACTACGAACCGACAAAAAATGGATAGCTGCAGTCGTTCTCGCGTTAGATCAAGAATAATAAAAAGAAAAAACCAATAACAATAATAATAACGAAAAAACTGGTACGGATGTTATTGGCCGACAATAATAATTTACGATTTGGTTTTGATAGTTTTCAACAGTAGTTGAACTGCTGCGTAAAAACGCATTTTTCGCGGTCTACAGTGCGCGAACCAACCCGTCCACCTACACCTACATTGCAATAATAATATCAGTCCATTCGTCCGTGACGATTAATTATGGACTATATAATATTATTCTTATTATTATCGACTAAGTACATAAGTAAAATATTTACTCCGAGAAACGGTTTCATTATTTTAATCGTATTCTGCCGTTCTTTCGACGACCGGAATACGCGATCCGGTTTAACAAAACGATAATAATATTAATATACAGAGTGATTTTTTTTAAAATCATTGTGGAATCGGTTAGGCTTTATTTGAATACCGTTTTTAATTTTTTACCCCTAATCTATATACCTATATCTATAATTATATTCTTTTGTTTTTCAACTAAAACTCCCCCCCCCTTTTTTTTTTGATCACAGATTTGATTAGAAAATATTTTTCTAGGAATTTTGATATGCATAACACTAATATCAGATTTACTGTTTATGAGTTATAACAGTTTAAAGTTTAGACCGGAGGAGTAGGGAACGGTAATAAATTGCATGATTGCACCCTACCCTACTCCTCCAGTCTAAACTTTAAATGGTATATGGATTGGAGTAGGGGTAAACAAATAAAAATGGTTTTAAAATGAAGCTAAATAGATTCAATAATACTTTAAAAAAAAAAGAAAAAAAGAAATCAAATCCACTTAAAATCCTCAGAGAAAATTGGTGGTTCACGATAAAGAAAAATTACCCTGTATAGGGGAACAACACTATTGTTTTCATACACACTACACCGATATTATGACGACAATGGTATTTCGCATTTCTAGGATCGTGAAATTGAGTACTAGGGCAAAGGGATTTTTTATCAATATATATTATGTAAGTGTGTAGCGTGTTTTGATTCTACTTAATTTCTCATAATTTTATCCGATAATAACTTATTAAGAAACGAAAATTTTGAACAAAAAATATATATTTTAGTAGGTATCCATAGTGAATATTATATTCTTTGCTTTTGTTGTTATATTTTGTAACGCGGGAGACAGACAAATTAGTAAACAAAATACTATGTTAGTGACGACGTTGCTTAAAGGGCCTCTGCAATTTGTTTTCTAAAAAAAAAAAAAAGCTTTACAGGAAAACAAATTCTAATGACTCGTAGAATGAACCGATCTCGTTAATCTTTTTTGTCTAGTTGAAAAAAATAAGACATTGGACGTATTGGATTTAAATTTTAAAAATTACATCTTTAAACGTTATATAATAAAAAAATCGAATACCAATGCATCGTAGGAAGTTTTACACTTTTTTATCGAAAAAAGAAAAAATTCGTTCTAAATCTTTTCATTATACGAGGCATACGAGAGATTTTCCTGTAAAGCGTGTTTTGAGCGAAGAGCGAGGAAAAAAACCGTCGTGCACAAATCCTTGAATATAAAATTTTATTAAGAATATTCTAAACGATATGTAAAAATCCACTAACCGCGGTTCCTTAAGTTTGTTTATTTTTGAACTCGTATAAAGCAAAAAAATAAAATATATAGTAGAACCAATAGATCCCTCGCTACGCCCCGAATCTAAAACCGAAGGGCATGTTAGAAGATTTTACTATAAAGATTCGCGTATTCGCTTACGCCTATATAATTATTGTAAATAACTCTGTTTGAAAATAAAGACAAATTAATACGTTCAACTCAAAAGTACCCCAGCAATCCGATATTTCCAAAATAAGTCGAATATTCTTTAACTCCACGCAAACGCAAGCAACCGAATATTGTCGTAAAAAACCGAATAATATATTATTATACGTTTGATATTATGATGTAATATAGAATTCGACGGAAACAACGAGCGTTCGGATAGGTCGACGAACCAGCCAAAATAAAATACGCGTAAACACGAATATTGATTCATAAAAAATACCATTTTAAACCAGTTAGAAAATATTATTATCGAGAGTTTCGAACCAACGCTGTCGACCGGTTTTATCCGTCGCGAGACCGAACTATTAATAATAATAATCAATAGGTGTAACACAGTGCCACAGTGAAAAAAAATTATACAGTCTTATTAATTCACGTAATATATTCTATAGATGTCGGGGGGGGNNNNGGGGGGGGGGGGGGAGAGGAGGAATGATAATATTAATAAGATACGCGATGTTTTCGTTTAACGCGCGTATTCGATCACAAGGTCAAATTATCGAACGCATAACAAAAGTTTTGGAAAATGTCGAATTGACTAGTCATAATATTTTCTAATCACATTTGATTTGTTTTGTTTCACTGTGATCGCTGTATACGTCATAGTACAGTGTATTCGTTACAACATTCAAATAATCGGAACCATTGAATTGATAAAAAAAAAAAAACTCTACGCCGAAGAATTTTTAACGGATTCGTTTATTCTTCAGACGAAATTTAAAAAAAAAAAACAAACGAAACGAGATAATAAAAAATAAAAAATAAATACGTATAGCGGCGGTATTCGATGTATTTTATAGTCGTGTGTCGCGAGTTTGCGGATGAATAATATTCAAAACGTTTTAGTAAGGACCAAAAAAAAAAAAACGTTTTTTTAGCGATTAATAACAACAAAAAAATGAAGATTTTATTGTTGCTGCACGCCACAAACAAATTAATTATGAAAATGTCACGACGCCTTTACTTTCTATGTACAAAATATAATATAAGTTGGTATACGGGTATTTACACAAACTGGTTATGCTAAACGGAGTTAATTTCGAATCCTACGATATTATATACGAAAACAAATAGTTTCGGTGACATATTTTACGTTCAAGCTTGAAAATAGGATGCGGGTAGGAAACTGTTACACTGTTATACACGGGTAGTTGGGAATAAAGGATATCTTCCCAACTAAGTACCCGGCAAACCAAAAAATTTAGTTCGTGCGTGTAACGATAAATCGATAGTTTATTTATTAAAGAACGATTCCGCACGGAATAATATAAGTCGCGTTTTCCGTTGTTACCGTAACAAAAAAATAACTAATTAACAAAAAATTACCCGTTTTGATAGCCAATTATTATTAAGAAGATTGATGATTACTACGGGTCAAATCAAATAATGTCCTTTTAGACCAGTGGTAAGTTGGTTTAGACCAACTACCGCCCGCGATAATTTATTACTCGACCCATCAGAGTATTAAATCAAACTTTGACAAAAAAAATAACACTAACATTAAAAAAAGATATGTTTAATACTTCACATTTTTTTCTCATTTATAACAATCAATACATAATAAATAATTAACCATATTTACTGTACTCACAATAAAATATAATATTCTATCAATTTGAAAGTAAAAGTTTAAATTCTTGGCCTGCCAAGAATTATTATTTTTTTACGACCTTCTATAAAAAAAAAAAATTGATCACCACTGTTTTAGACTGATTAGATTCAAAGTACTAAAAGGAACTGTTATTAAACAGTTTTTTCGAATGGAGGAATATTTCTGGTAGAAATATTACGGGGCATCTACGATCAGAATCCAAAAAACAAAAATCGCGTTTGGAGGACCTCGAGCAATGTTAAAGATAATAGATTTTTTTTTCGTTTTAGTCATCATTTTTGTCGTTTTCTATATTATCTAGTTTTTCGGTCAACGTAACTACCTATACGACAATAAAATTAAATTTTCGACGTCATCGACCAGTGGCGAATTTACGAATTTCGCACGCGAAAAACAAAATGAAAAGATAAGACGGTATAATATATTTTTGTGCGTTTATTAGAAAACTCACTTCCCAAAAGAAATCGAAAGAAATCGAAATCGAAAGAAATCGAAACGAAAACGACCGCGGTAGAAACGTCGCGTCGCGTACCGTCCTCGGACGGACGGACAGCTCTCATTCATTCGTCGTAATCGGTGAACGAAAACATTAGAAAAAATAAATAATAATAATGATAATAATAACCGATTGCCGACCGATATTGAGTGAGCACCAGAGATCGAAAGTATGATATTATATTGCCCATTATAGAGGAGGGGAGACGCGCGACACGAATTCCTACGATTCTCTGGCGAGGAAAAAAAAACGAAATTCAAAACGTTACGTCGCGTCTCCGTCCACACGTCGATCCCCTCCCCCGCAAATATTATATTTGTGGTCGGTATATTCGCACCGCACAATACAATACCGTCGCAGAAAAATATTTTACAGCACCGCGTATAAGAAAATAAAAAAAAAAAAAAATGATCAATGAACACTATGCTAGCGCGCAGGAAACGATTTTCGTTGTTCACGGCCGAAAAGAAATTCGACAATGAAAATATCTGTTTGTTAGCGACGACGACGTAAATGGATCCGAATCAATTCCCACGGAGGGTATGTGTCGTTACCGTCGTTGACCGTGACTACATATGTATCAGAAAATTATAATCGGACATGACAATAATATAATAATACAAATAACAATAATGGTAATAATATATTAATGCTATAACGACGTTAAACACCCCGCGGGCGGCAGTCGGCGTGGTAGCACAAAAAAATTACATACGAATGATGCCTATAAACTGCTAGAACTTACCACCATGTTTTGAAAATTTGACCGCGTTTACACAAAGAACATAAACATTCTGGGAAAATATCAGGTCTATACGACGTATTTTTAACCGAATTACAGCATTTAACGAAATCCAAAAATAACCGAAAACTTTTATTGTCGTAAATTGTTTAGAAAACTGCGAGAAAAATCAAAAAAAAAAACCATCTCTGCTACCGACTAGACAAAGTTTCAGAAAATCAGCAACAGAAAACACACGCACACATCATAGTAAAACTAAGAATCTAAAATACATCGGAGTTTTCGATTTCGGTAATACGATTAGTGTTGTTTTAATCTGGGAAATTGAGCGAAAAAATCATAATTGAAAAGATTCGGTAAATCTTCTGTGGTGTGTGCAGATTACAATGTGTACAATAAATTCCGTTAGTATTTTCATCAAAAACGAAAAAACAACCCGAGTTGTGGGGAGTTCAATATAGGGATCCCATCATCTGTGGTCGGTCCGATTTTCGGACGCCGAAAGCTCTAAGTATTGGGTTAAACAAGATCAAGAATTCGTGACTCGGATTCTCTAGCGGTGATACCACTTTTTACCGATATCCGATGTAATATGCTAACGATAAAAAAACCGATAATAATATTATCATAAAAAAATTAATAAGCTTGGCTGAAGGAAGACGTGGAAATAGTAAAACCAGGAGAGAATTGGAAGGAAGCATTATTGGATAGGAAAAAACATAAACAAACATCAAACCAGATAATTTTACGAATTTTCGTTGAATATTGGAAAAATAAATTATTGTAATTTATAAAGAACCACTTATCAACACGAAAAGAATATTATCATGTTTTATTTTTATTGAGATTCAATGATACTGGTGTAGAATAGTGGTTAAGGGGATATAGGAAATGGTGATTTTCTGTCTTTTTCTTTGTGCAACATAGGAATATTTAGACGTGTTCTATTTCCTACGTACTGATTGATTTTTGAAGCAGTAAGAATTCTAAAAACATATTTGAATTTGTCATCAAGTCTACTTGAAATCGACTTTTTCATATGTTTGATTTTATTCTCCCCTAAATTCTAAAAATTCCATGCTAAAGAAATAATTTAAAAAAAAATTAATGTTTTAATTTTTAGAAAAATTAAAATCAATAACGTGGGAAAGTTTATAATTACTCCTTTATAATGGCATTTTTAGGATTTTGGGGGATAAAATCGAAAATGTGAGAAAGTCGATTTTTAAGAAGACTCGATAACGAATTCAAATCTGTTTTCAGAATTCTTATCGCTTTACTAGACCAATCGGTACGTTGGAAATAGAACACGTCTAAATATTCCTGTTGCACGTTGGTAAAACAAAGACAGAAAATCGCCGCTTCCAATGCCCTTAATGACGGCAATAAGAAAATATGTAGTGAGAGCGAAAAACCGTGCTAATGTCCTTTTACTAACAAACACAAATATTGTACACCTATACATTTTATGATATTATATTTGGATTTTTTTTTTTAACGATATCGATACAAATATCGTTTTTGAAGAAAAAAAAAACCCGATACCGCACCGACATCGGCTATCGGTTTATGTATCCCCGAGTAATAATTTCCTCGTCAACATTTCAAGGTCGACGAATACACGGTACTGCATCGTGAACTGTCCACTGATTTTCGTCTTCGTTTACGTCTCTATAATATCATTGTTATTACCATAGATATTACGTAGGATACAGAGACGACGACGGGGAGATCGACGTTTTCGTTAGGAGTTTGATTTTGATTTTGATTATTATCATCATCGTTTAAACGAGAACAAGGCACGGGGAGACGACACGGAATACTGCAGGCACACACACACACACACACACACACACACGGGCGCGCGTCGTCTCCGCCGCCGTAAATAAATTCCGTCGTGATAGATTGTTAATAACGCGCCGCATAGTTAACGTTTCGACGGGTACCTGTTGTGCGCGGCACAACCCGCGGGGTCGTGGAGGCATATACATTATAGCTGCCCGTGTTATTCGGCGGCGGGGGCCCGGGCCGTTGTCAAATAATCGACCACCAATATGTTATTATCATACCGCCGTAGTCAATGATATTATCTCTGTCGATTATCATTATCATTACTGGTGTCCGTGAGCGAGCGGAGCCATCGAGCGACCGCGGCCCAACGTTGTCGCCGTAATAATAACAATAATAATAATAACAATAATAATACAGATAGGAACGCCACAACACGGACAGTAAGACAAACAGGTAATAGACCGTTATGATATTCGGTGATAATGACAGACAACGAACGCGAGCACCGCGCGGTAATACGTACGGGTAACGGGAGACCGCGTATAATTAATGCGATATATTCATTTCTAATTGTGCGTAATATTACAACACGCGGTGCAAGTTCAATGTCGTGTCGAGACGACAAACAATATTTGTATATTATTATCGACGGACGTGTTTGTATTTCCTACAGGATGTTTTAACGAAACTTCAGTACAACGATGGTAATAATCGCCGGGGGTACCGCCGATTTTACACTCGAGGGCGTAGTTGTTGTACATTACACATTGTTAAAGAAAACTGAACTTAGGGTCGTCTACGTGCATCGTAGAGTACTATGTGTTAAACGTTAACAGTGGCAACGAGAGAGACAGAGAGAGAACTTTCGGATATAGATAACATACATGTTTAGGTCCTACATTATAAGACCCTGCAGGTGTTTGGTTGGTATCCGAGTTGTTACCGGACAACCTAAGATTCACTGCAAGTATAACTGCTGTTTTAGCGTGTATAAACACACGGACAACGAATATACGTGTAGTGAACTTTTGAGATTTGGAAGAGAAATGAAATCCGACAATTTTACTTCAGTATTAATTGTTTTGTGGTAAACTTCAAGTTGAAAACACGTGCCGATATTTAAAAAAAAAAAAAATATCGACATGCTATACAAATTTACTGTTTAAGTTTAAGAGTAGTGCGGTAGTAAAAGGTGAGGGAGTACATTATATTTTGACGCCGAGAGGTGGGGGGTTTCCGTAATACGAGTCTGTTTGCAAAATAACAAAAAATAAGCCTTGGTTTGTACAGATACAGTAAAAATATTATTGAATTTTAATGTCCGGCACACGGAAATACAATGGAAAAGGTACCTAACTCACATAAATGCTTAATAAAAATTGAGTGGCTCGCGGTTTTCTAAACCGTCAACAAATTGTTTTCCACAATTATTTAACCGTCACAGTTTTACTTAAACAATGCGATAAAGTGTGAAAAAAAGTGGTTTAAAAAGTTTATTCGAGTATTATCGTTCATCTATGCAAGTCCGGGTTGAAATATTAATAAGATAAAAAATAAAGTGCATTATTATTCGGAGATTATACCTACAATTTTTTTCTAAGGTTTTTCGGTGCTTTCAACACAATCACAGAAGGCCTACTTATAATAATAGTAGGTTATGTTATAGGTTAAAATAGTTATATAGGTTAAAAAATTTTTAATCGGATATAAAACATCTACACACGCCTATGCATGATTAGTTTGGGCATATTATATTATAGGCTTCATTAAAAATAGTTTAAAACTAATTAAAACTCAATAATAGGATCGAAAACGAATGCATTATAATTACTTTTAGTATAATATATTATATTATATTGTTCTGCGCTAGCGAGTAATAATAATATAATATGCATTATACACTATAAAAGTATAGGTACGTGATTTGTTTTGTGCGTACAAAATAATATACGCACACGGCTGGTAATAATAATAACAATAATAATAATAATAATATAGCCGTTTCGGTGTTTTTCACGCATACGTTCTAAATAACGTTATATTCGATATTATTAAAATAATATCATAATAATGTATAGTATCTATGGATAATGCAAAAAAACACACACACACACACACACACGCACACACGGAGGCGCGGTCTCGAAATGATTTTGTATTTTTAAAATAATATCCGCCTAATATAGGTGATAATGAAATATACAAGTAACGCGTGCGCGTTATTATCGAAGTGAATAATATAATATTAAAATATGCGTTTATATTGTACATTCGCGGCTCGTGAACGTTGGAAGCAAAACAAAAACCGTATTGTGCGAAAAAATCCGTCGAATCCGCTTACGAGTTTACATTTTTGTATAAGCCTCGGTCCGTATAACGACGATATTTAAACACGTCCGGGTTTAATAGACGTAAATCGCGTGTGCAGTACGCAACAATCGACGCGAAATTTGTGTATTATTTTTGTTTTCAAAACGCACGAATCCGATCACCGTGCGAGTACACCCGAGTACAGCTGATAATTGTAACCGCGGGTTGCCCGACCAGGAAGACGCATGGGCCTCCAAAATAGTTCCTTTCAACAATGACAACAGTGATTTGATAAAAGAACCGTGTATATACGGCTCCAAGTGGAACACGAAAAATATACGAATTACAATGCGCTTACCGATACTTTCAAAATGAGAATAATAGTATAGAGAAAGCCACTATGTATGGATACATACTACTGAGGCTCGAACTATATCGATTTCGCAATTTTTCGATACATTATTTTTTATGATACCTAATTTCGATTTTAGTGCAATTTTATATAAGTATATGTTTTTGCGTATTTTTAACAAGTCGGATAAACTTTTGTTAAATAATGAATGAAATGCTAACGTTCGGTACCAACTATTGTTTCGCGATAAGCAAAATTGAGATGTATTTTTAATTTAATTATATAAACTTTAATATTTTTCAACTATTGTTCAGCTAACGTGTATTTTGAAATTAAATTGTATCGTTTTTTTTTCTCTAGGAAAAGATTTTTTCGGTTATTAGAAATGCTCAGATTTGTCAGTGTCATGACTTAAAGATGAAGATTTTTTGCCCAGTGGTACTTTAATTGAAACATTTATTGAAATTTTCAGCAGTTCGTTCTCTATGTTCTATTATTTTGTTTTTGATTTTTATTGATTCCCGGGTTCTTTATGGCAACAAAGAAAAAACACTACTCTGCTCACGATCGTTTTTCGTTTGCAACGATTTATCGTTAAAAACTGAATTACCCTGCAGTTATATTCCACTTTCCAACTATGCCCGTTTACAGCTGTAGAGGCCTAACCCTGTAAGCAATACCGATTTTTCTTAAAATTATTGTTATGTTTATTGCAATACATAATATTTATGTTAATTAAACAGACCATTTTTAGAGCAATATAATGCAATCGATTTCAGTAACTTTGTAATGCAATTAGTTCGAGCACTACGCTTCACTTACGTTCAAATAATAATTAAAACAATATGAAGTTGTCCTAAGAAGCAGCGATCCAAAAAGCTTTTGGAAACCCCCGACGTAATAATCTTTATTATGATACCATACTGGGATGACTCCGTTGCATTATTATCGTTAGTAAATGCACACACTTCCGAATAGTTTCTCTTTAAGAAAACACCACACTGAGATCTACCGTTTCCATCTTACAAACGCGAGACATGACAAATTTACGTTCAGTAGGACACATTTTGTGCCGTCAGTTTTAATATTAAAGCAAATTAACTTATTACCATACTTAAAGGTAAGAAGATTATATTTGCCCTGGCGTTGATGTTTTTTTCGGTATTTTAATTTTTAAGCAAGATATAATCATTTTTAAATTGTGATATTTAACATACTTATATCTTATTTAAAAATAAAAATATCAAAAAATCATCAAGATGACGTTATACTCACATCTACTGTCTCAAGTATATCTACCGAGTAACATGCAAAAATAATGCTTACGCAGAATAAGTAAAACTAGCTTAATTTTGATTTTAGAGTAAAAGTACATAGAACGAAATTTATAGAGAACAATATTTCGAAACAAATATCACAGGGTTTTTGCACTATTCAAAATATAAAGCTCGGTATAAAAAATACAATCAAAAAACACCTTTGATATCACCTCCAAAATATTGTTCTCTATACATTTCATAAAAGGTACTTTTACTCCAAAATCAAAACTAAGCTAGTTTTACTTATTCTACGTAAGAATTGTTTTTGCGGGTTCCCCGGTAGTTGGACTAAGACAGTATATGCGGGTAAAACGTCCACTTAAACTATTGAATATTTCATTAGGATAATATATTTGTTTTTTTCCCGGCACTTTTATTCGGAAAGACTATAACGAATATTTCAAAAAAAAAAAACAATCGAATCGTTTTTCCCGTAACCGAATACCATAGCGATTCGAAGCAGTTTTCGAACCTATCGAACACAGTGCAATAGTAAAACGCCGTAGTTCGGTCGTGCCCATCACAAATATTATTATATCAAACTATACAATTATTATACCGATGATGCAGCAGCACGGGCCACAGTGACAAACCAAATACACGGAGGAACTTGTCTGCCTTTCTACACACACACACACACGCACACATAACATATTATATCTATATAGGCATACGCGTTTCTACGGGTCGTATACAACAATTTCGTATAATTTACATCTGTACGTGCGCCGCCTTATACACCGCAACCGCTATATTATAACATAATACGATACGAATACGATTTGATTTTTTTTTTTTTTTTTTTTTTTTTTTATTCGATTTTTTGTAATAATTAAATGAAAGTATATAATATACCCGCGTGTATATATAAAATATAATATCGTATAGCGACGGTATTATAAGCATGCGCGCGCGTCCTTGGGAACTGGTTTCCGACCGGCAAAACAGGGAGTCCTACTGTATAATAATAATAATATAATACACGCGCGGCACCACCACCGTACACCGAGCAACGCGCGCTGTTTCTGAGCTCACGAGATGAGATAACCACATGGAATGCGGTTTTTTTTCTTTTTCTCTCTCTCTCTCTCTCTCTACTGAGTAAGTTTTGTGCGCGCGCGCACACACGCACAACACAATTTATTATTTTCCTGCCTAATCGTAAAAACTGATAATGCAAATTTTATTTTTTCCATTCCCCCGATCCCTCCCCCCGACCACGGTAGAATCGTAACACAACGACGCCGACGCCGCTGCGGTAATATACCTATAATAATATTATTATTATTATTATTATTATAATACGAAGACGACGATCGTATTTTTTTATTTTCCACGAACGCTTTCTCGTTGTATAAACCGCGTCTATGTATAATAATAACCGTGTACCCAGCGGTCACGGGGGTCAACACGACGATTTTTGCAAACTTCAGCGCGCTCCGAGTCAATTGAAAAAAAATTTTTTAAAAAAAAAACCGCAACGTCGTCGTCGCGACCCCTCGTAAAATCGACGCAGAAATGATTAAAAAACAAAAAAAAGCTGATATATACGGCCAATAGCATGCCGGGTGTGATACTGTGGTAGGCGGGACGTTGGAAAGGTACCAGGACGCTTATAGAGTTATTTGATTTATATCTGTATACAATGATAAATAATTAACGTAACGAAAAATAATTCTGAACGAAGTTCGTTTGAACATGTTTTGGAATGCAATGATTTTTATGATTTTCGTCAGAATTTGAGCTAAAAAAAAAGCTTATCGAAAAAATGAATACTTTTTTTTTTACCACTATACATACCAAATCGATGAACCTTGTTGAATTTTTAAATATTTTTGGTATAGTATACACAATTTTATTTGCATAAAATTAAATAAAACTCAACAATTGTTGAAGCTTTAACCAGCTCATAAGTTGCTAAAATGTTTGAAAATGTCACAAACCACGTTCAGAAAATATAAGTATAATAATTGAAACCAAACCGGTTTCAATACATACAGCATTCTGCCGTTTTATCTCAATTATTAAGAAAACTAAAAATTGCTTTCAGAAAATATACTACACTTGAAGACCGAAGCAAGATTTATGGTAAAAAAGTTGTGTACCGATAGGAAAAACACGCGCACACACACACACACACACACATACATCATACCGATACATTCGTCGCTACGCTCATAATCTAAAAACAATAATAATAATATGCAGGTATACCTATTATACTATCTATACCTACCTATAATAATATATTCTAATGGGTTACGTGAAAGTCACATTATAAAAAAAAAAAAATTTATACACGGTGTGTAAATGTTTATTGCTGCACTATAGGGTGTAGTCGATACGTGTATACATAAAAAACAGGGTCACATATAAGAGCCCTGAGGACAAATGAAAGCGACATTGATTGTAATTATCTATATTGGCCGGTCGCCATTCTTGAATAAGGCGTGCATTACACTATTGCATTTATTTTTTTTTTTACGAAAGGGTACGAGGTTGAGGACGAATCTTAAAATAAATTGACAGGAGTAAACATTTTTGCGTCCACATGAGAACGCGGCATTCGAAAAAGACATTTCAGAGCTTATAAGCTATACGCGTAAGCCTATTGGAAATGGTGATTTTCTGTCTTCGTTCTCTACACAATATGCAACATAAGATTTTATACGTGTTTCATTTCCAACATATCGATTAGTCCAGTGTAGCGATAAGAATTTTGAAACTAGATTTGTTCACAAATTTGTACAAATTGTTCTAGTAAAGTGATAAGAATTCTACAACAAAAATGTTGCATTTGTCGTCAAGTCAACTTGAAGTCGACTTTCCCACATTTTCGATTTTATCTCCCTAAATTTAAAAAAAAAAACCCAAAGTAAAAAAAAAAAAAAAATTAAGTAGTAAAAATGGAATATTTTTAATTTTTGAAAAATAAAAAAAATAAATGGGAAAAGTATCTTAAATAATCTCAAGTAGACTTGACGACAAATGCAACATTTTTGTTGTAGAATTCTTATCACTTTACTAGAACAATTTGATACGTTGAAAATTGAACACGTCTAAATTCCTATATTGCACGCGTTTAAAACAAAAATAGAAAATCACCGTTTCCAATCCTCTTAAGATATATATCTGTGTATACACATAATATTATACAAACCAGATCGACGATATTTCGTTGGAATTTACGTAGGTCACGCGCAAAATTCCGTTTTTAGCAAACTTATGATAAAGGAACGCAAACATTGTATGTATTGTTTGATTCCTAAACGCCGTTAAATAACTGTTATATACTGTAACGAGATTATAACTTAAATATTTTACGAAAATTGTTTGTTGAAACCGCGATTATAACATCTATAGGTATAAACAGGAGTATGCGATGGTATATCCGGTTGTTTTGAGATTGTCAAACAATAACTATTCGCGTGTGACATCAGAGATTTTTTTCACCGATGACGTAATCTGTTGAAATACCTCGAGTATCCTCGATCGTCGGCACATTTATACCCATACAACAGAATTTGATGGTGGCAAAGTGGTTGGGCTACGGAAGCTCTTGAGCACCGGTGTTTATTATCCATCCACTGCCTGAATAATGATTATATTCAGTATTCCCTTATAGAACAAACTCTACGTTGTACTGCGAAACCGGGAGGGGGTTGGGGAACCAAATTTGAATAAATACTCTCTTGAGGTTATTGCTAGTATAGTCAAGTTCGGAATATCGAGTTAGTAAAAATATTTGACACCGATTTGTACGTACTAAAATTAATGATACCGTGCGGTTAATAACAAACTAAAATACTTCATCCACAAAGTTTTTACTATTACCTAAATGATCGTATACGAATAATGACCGATTATACTTACCTGCCGTTCATTTTTTTTTTTCTATCGTCAATAAATTATTAAACAAATGCAAGTAATAATGTTAAATAGTTTCTTCAGACTCGACAAGTAAAAATGATTTAACTCAAAATTGTATTATTTGTTCAAATTTTGTTTTTTTGAATCCCGTTATTTTACACACGCAAGATGTCATCTAAAACTACATATGTATACGGTATCATATAATAGCGTTCGTTAAATTATTTTGGTCGAGTAGACAATTACACGTAGGCTTTGGATTTCGTCTCGGGCGAACGTTTTTTACACAAATTTCCGTTACAAATTATCCCGACGTTGTTTACAGGGTATTTTTAGGTAAAAATGCGAAAGCAAAATGGAACGGAAAATAACTAGTTGCGTTTATACAATAATTATTGTACATAATATGCGCAGTATTATAAAAGAGAAGACATAAAATGCAGCTATCCGGTACGTATACTAAATAGACACACGAATTAAAATTAAAATTTTAAATAATTATAATTGGCATAATCTTTTAACGCTGCGACGTTTAACTGTATATATCAATTAAACACGCACAACATAATAAATATAATAATTGAAAGTTGTAGGTCATTGTTTCAGAACAATTGCGTATGGTATAATTGGATATAATTTTAAACACACCGAAAAAATGTGTATTCATACACAATTATTATTATTGTGAGCAAATATAATAATACAATATCCACTCGTTAAAACGAAAACTACGGTTATGAGGACGTGGTACCCGCATGTGCTGTTTCCGTCTCACTACACAGACAATCCGGCAGGGACACTTTTATGCTGTTAGTTTTAATATTAGAGCGTGTATTGACCTATTATCAAACTTAAAGATAAGAACATTGACATTATCTGTGTAATTGCGTCGTATTTTTTAATTTTTAAGCGAAATATAAGCATTTTTGAATTGCGATATTTCACATTGCTCGTATCACTTTTAAAAATTAAAATACCGAAAGAGAAACCGACGTAGTTGCACAGATAATGACATTATATTATCATGTGGGTAAATTCACTTCAATATAAAAAAAAAAAAACAGCACAAAATTATTGTCTCTGCTGAACGCACATTTTTTATGTCGTACGTCGGTAAGACGGAGACAGTACACGCGAATAACACGTCCTCTCAGGTGAATTGGATATACCAATATTTTCTTTCTTTGCCTTAACACACATACTCAGCGTAATAGCGATTTAGACTAATTTTACGGCAACCAGTCGAACTGATCGGTGTTACGAAACGATAAGAATAATATTCTGAAAACGGATTAGAATTTACTGTGTCGAACGGTCGGGCCATATATACATATATTTTTTTTAACACGAATTTAGTTCTGTATGATTTTTAGAAATTTTCTCCGTCGAATTTTCGTACATTTCAAATGAAGAAGATTGAAATCCGAAAAAGTATATAGTCTGACCTAACAGTTCGTATTCCTGGAACGTACATTTATGCACGATTTTTTTGTAGTTTCGTTTATTACGCCTTAGTCACTGTCGGTTATTAAAAAATTATATTGTCCGGCGCGGAAACTGCAGTACGCGCGCAGCACGTACGCGAAAACAAAAAAAGAGAAGTATAAAAACAATACGTCGTCGACTCTATAATACTACAGGTACATTATCTATTATACCTATATAGCTACCGCGTTTGTGACCTAGTAAACTGCAAATAGAGACTCTCGGGGGGAAAGAAAAAAAAAATCTGCATTTTGTCGTCCGACAACGGTACAATATAATATAATATATTATTATTATGGACGCGTTGGTATTAACCAGTGACCATCGTGCCCGCGATATCGTTTAGCCTAGTTCGAAAAAAATCGGAGGGGAATAATATAATCGTGATAACGTTTCGTGCGGGTACGTGATATTTGTTACAGCGTCGCGAACGCACGTCCAGAAGAAAAATCACCACACGTGTTGCCGAGATAAGTGCGACACAAAAACAAATTGAAATGTTTAATAATAATAATACTAATAATACTAATAACAATACTCGTACGTTTTGACGGCGGCGAAAATATCCAATAACGGACGGGGGACGTTATTATATTAATATTATTGTTATTACGTATAGAGACGATAATAATAATAATAATAATAATAATAATGCGATCGCAAGAGACACGTTTCGTTTTTTAATCTGTTTTTAATACACCGCGTAAGACCGATAATACCGCACTGGACGTTACGTCACGAAAATCATAAAATATAATATTGTTAATATAGACATATATAATGTTATGTTCTTCTTTTCGTCAACTTTTACAGCCCGACGTTATAATACATAACAATAATTATAAAAATAAAAAAGCCGATAAATACTGCAGCCGATACGAGCGTGCCACTGTTATTGGGCGGGAAGAAGATATTAAAAAACGTTTTTATGGTATTTGATTTATATTTTAACGATAAATCGTTAACGTAACGAAGAACAATTCTGAGGCGGATCAAATGTCGATTAAACGCGTTTTGGAATGCCGTGATTTTTACGATTTTCAACGTTTTAATTTTAAAACCCAAGCCTATAATATAGAAAAAAAAAAAAACTACTACATTACAGCACTTTTTACCGCTATTCAAGACTTATGATGAACCCCAAACATTATTGCTCAGCTAAATCGATTGTATCGACATAAAACTCGAAAATATCAAATGTCCCCAAATAGCTGAAAATCGCCAGAACGTTTTGAAAATTTTAATTATATATGCTTGTGTATAGGAACTGTTATCGCAAAAATAAATTATTAGGAAAATTAAAAAACACCTTCCTAATGCTTTAACTTCGACAAAAATTATTTTTGGAAAAGACACTATACACACGAATGCCAAAGCAAGATTTCCGACAGAAAAGTCGTACACAGAAAGAAAAAACCAATACATTCCTCGATTAGCTCAGTATATATTTAAAAAAAAAAAAATACATGTAATATAATTGTTAATATAACGTGACACGATGTACATCATAAAATATGATGTCCGAGACATAATAATATAATATTTTGTCCGTCGTCTTTTATAACGTCATCTTCTATCGAATAATTTGCTTTATTCATAATATAACCCTAAGGTCGAGAAGTTCGTTTGATAAATAATAAAAAAAAGCAATAATATATTCATCTCTGTGATTGGTAACACTGCGTGATATCGTGTTTGTTGTTTTATTTTGAACATTCGAGTGGAAACCGTTAAATATACGCGTGTACGTATAATATAGGATAGGTACCCGGTATACCTATATGCGAGACAGAACGAGTTTTAAATATTTTACACATTTAATTCCCAACAGTCGAGTCACTATATTATATTATTAAGGTATACGGACATTTAACGGAAAATTCAAAAGTATTAAATAACAAACGGACAATTAACTCTTTCTCGTTTTTTTATACAATAGTTGCAATGCGAATTACGAATCGCTATACGCTAATATGCTATATATTATTATTATATTATTATATGGTCCGACCCCGCGGGGATCGTTACCATCAACCATGACTAAACGAACGGTTTACAGATGAATCACAAACACGCAATCTGTGCAGTAAGTAACCAGTTTAGATACAGTAAAAAAAAAAAACAAAAAACAAATTTTTCGGGCTATTTCCAATAATTCCCAAAGGAAACGTGACGAAACAAAATAATTGTAATTATTATAGTAACGATGAAAATACATAATATTATTAAAACACCGGGACGATGAGGAAACATAGAATGTTAATTTTCAAAGGTAATATAATAACAAATATGTTGTTACTTATTATTTCTAGAAGAAAAAAAAACGGTTATGTACATAAAAGTATACCGAAGGTATGCGAGAGACGCCATGATTCATCGGCCAAAAGGGAATTGAATAGTTCGCATGATGTCCCAACAGGTTGTGCACGTATAATATAATAAATAAACTGGTCTATTAAAAACCGTCGTCGTAGCCGCTTTTTTCACGGAACACTGCAACTGCAGTACAATATAATCACAATAATCTACGAACATGGGCGATACTTTTTATACAATTCGTGTGTGTGTGTTTATTTTCACAAAAATAATATTATCCGCCAATGATTAGTAGGTAGGTATATTATAATACGAGTGCAGGAGTACAATATATAATAACCTTAAACTATTAACGAGTACAATATTCGTCTCGTTATATATGACGAAGAAAACATCAGTAAATCAAAGAATGAGAGAGAGACAGACGGCGACTCGGTTCGCTGAATTGGACAAAGGCACTAAGCGGTAGTATACCTAGTACTTATTTTGAAATAATATTTACATCAAGAAAAAATACGGGTATCAGAAAAGGTAACAAAAAAAATAAAAAAATATCCTATGTGAAGAACATTTCTTTTTTTATATGAGTTTACTTTTTGTACATGAGTAATCTTTATTTTATTGACAAATGAAAAAAAAAAATGTATATTATTCAAATGTAGATATGTAGATTAAACAGTGCTCCGCATATGAGTGTTCAGAACTTTACATAGCTATGGAGACTGATTGTGAATTTTTAATTTTTACTTAATAAAAATATTTAATTATGAACTAATAATACGACAATATTAGCACCAGGGTTGGAAAAGATGAATTACAGAACTGGAAAAGATTAAGATGCATTCGATTTTTTAATTTGTATATATTTATAGAATTCACTATAATAAATTAAATAACATTATAAAGACTTATTTTACGTTTAAATGTTATTTATGTTGAAAAGATTGCTCTAAAAAAAAATATTTAATTAGATATCAAATATTTTACTAGATAAATCTGCATGGCGAACGCGCAAACCTAAAAAAGAGAATACCAAGAGAATGTTCGACAGGGGCATATAAGCAGAAGTTATATAACATGTCTCCTTATGGATAAATAATTGTGTATGCAATGTAAGGACTTATTATTATCATTAAAGTACGTTAGTAGTTTTAGTTCAATATTTGGATTGTTTACTTTCAGAATATGGTGAAAAAAAAATTGTCTTCCGAAACTTGTTTTATCATTCGTTTCATAAATAATATTTTCTTTGGCATTTAATACACTCGTATATTAAATTCTGAATTGTTTTGGTTATTTTCATTTTTAAAGTTATTTACATCATTTGGAATCCACCGAATTTTAATATTTTGATGAAAACATGTATTTATAAAATAGCTTTCATTAATTTCAAATGAAAATTAGGAAATATTTTTTTTTTATTATTATTATTTTAATAAATTGTTGTGTATCTTGTATTTTTTAACACAGAAATATACTTAATACCCTAATAACTTCTTATCAGAAGGATCTTGTTCAAGATAATATAATTGTATCTTTGATACACGGCCATACTGAATACCGCCTAACCCTGATTATTAGCACCTATCATTATAATTTCGCCCTTCAACACGGCTCAATTTTGATCTAAAAATCGTATGAAATATAAACACAGACGGACCATTAGCTATCATAACAATGATAACAATTGATAACGCATAGTTAGCGTTGGCTGCCCTCGGCATGCATTAGTATACCTCACACTCGTGGCCAACATAAACTAGGTAATTCTCTCTTTCTTTTGTACTAATAGTATTTTTGTTTATTATTAACCTAATTGTGATTTCATTTTCTCTAAAAAAAAAAAAAAAACCGGAAAACCTCCACGGGAAAACGGCTGCAGCCCACTAAACTACACGCGACACCCTTTTAATTATTATTTTATTAAGACAAACTCATAATTATTTATGTTTTTATAAAATGGCGTTTGTCCGGTTCTGTAATGGTTCCTACCTACATGACGGTTAATAATTAAATAATTACCCGAGATCTAGTTATGTGGAAACTCCGTATAGTAATAATATAAAATAGGTACACGATCAAAATTTTACCATTGTTAGAACAAAGTACGAGTATAATATTATTTTAGTCGACCGTAGGCGTAATTAATTTCGACTCCCGAATACAATAATAATAATTGTTTGCTAGCACGCGCATTGTCTTGTTAGTCTTGGTGGAAAAAAAACCAAAGTTTTAGAAGGCTATTATCAAAAGCGCATAATATAGTAGGCATTAGACGAAAAATGGCGTCGTCAGCCATCCGAGCACGGATACCTTGTTTCACCCTGAAATAACCACGGGTCATTTGAGTGCGTTTTATTCTGGATATTTAATACGACACAGTGTTTATCCGTGTCATCCGGAATACCCGTTCGGTAAAAGAAAACCTAACCAACCCGTTGGTCCCAACGGCTCGGAAGGAAGTTCGTTAGGGAAAAACCTTCAACCCATTATTGTTGTTGTCGAGTTCTCGAACGCACCCCAAGGGGTTTATTATGAACGTTATCTTTCAAATTCTTAAAATTAATTTGATTCAAAATATAGTACATATCAGATTAAATAGTCAAAATCATTACTGATACCGAAGTTTTAAATCCACAGGTAATAATAATTCGCGATATAAGCAATTCTAATTTTTTTGTTTTTAATATAATAGGTATATAGGTAACCTATTTTTCTGTCTGTGTATATCGGTGATTTAAGAGTTGTTTAAAGTTAACACCCCCTCGAGGAGCAAACGGGTTTTCAAATCTATGGGGTTGTCGAATTGTAAATTTGAAAAAAAAATCGAAGACCGAAGACAAAAAAAAAAAAGAGATACTCTTTAAGTGTTCCTTATTGAAAGAAATAAAAATTGAACGAATAACAAAAAAAAAATAACTCAATTTCGTTCCAGGAATAATGCACTATAGCCAAGGCTGGATTTAAGGGGGGGCCTGAGGGATACGAGCCCGAAAGCCCTAGCAAATTTGTTTTTAAATTCGTTCCACACGCACAGAGCCACTATCTGATACGGGTCCTGGGGCCGCACCCCACAAACCAAAATCCGGCCCTGAGTACATCGATACCGAGAGTGACGAAATTTATCATAATATACACTATAGACTACAAAATACTCTCACACTCCCGTAATATCAACGTGTTGGGTACCCCTATATAGATAATAATACCTGCGAGTGCGTTTTACTTATCCGTTGACTCGGTGCCAGGGAAATCGTGTATGTGATCGATGCGAGCATAATATTATTACAACAATGACAACACTATATTACTTGTACGAATACACGGTAAATGCAGGTATACTACTATAATATAACACGCTGCGACTGCGTTATGCATACGATTAGGATAGAATCCAAGAAATGTGACCTTCCCACGTGAAAACGCCGAGCGTATTATTCACCGAACGATCAATATATTTTTTTCTTTTCCTCCTCGCCCCTCCCCCTCCATCTCTCGGTTCGTATACGAAATATGTTATAAAAAATCGCGGTCCGTAATTCATTTCGTTCGGTGCGTATAATAATAATATACGACGACACGGACGAGTGGCGCTCGGCAAATAGATAATAACGATAAAATATTATAGTAAACAACGACGAAAATATTATACTCCAAAGGATTTCGTTGCCCGGTCCTTTTTATAAACCTGTTCGTACATGACGGTTTATTTATTTATATATGTATTTTTATTTTTTATTTTTTGGGAGGGGGGTGTAATTAATTTACTACCCTCGGGCGGCGACAACAGGTGCGTTTTGCGTGCCATCCCTGCTACCTACTATACAACATAATAATATAGTGCCATACGTGTTCGGACGGGGCGTGACTTGGATTTAAGATATTGTCGAATCGTGTTATTGTGATACAGGCGCAGGTACTTCTGTAGCACCTGTACGATATTATACGTGACGATACCGCGTCAAGATTATGGTTTTCGTTCCGTGATGGTATAGAGGTGTGAAAAAAGAAAAGAAAGAAAAACACGTTCATAAAATATGTACGTAATACCTATATACCGATAACGCGTCCACTATACATAATATTATCGTCGTAGTCTATTTTTTTTAATAACGTTAAAATTATTATTGTAATATTCAAAGATAATAATTTTATTACGACATAAAATGTTAACGTTCATAGGGTTAAAAATTGTAATTATTTTGTTAAAACGTACGATATTCGCACGTAGATAAACGTGAATATGATTCGTTTATCGTTACGAATTCATCGGTTACACGGTGTGGATATGAACAATTTTCTAATTTAACACGCCGTCACCAACTTACTATAACGGACGAGTAGAATCCAAATCGGCCGTTTAGGATAAGGTGTATTTAGGCGAATGCGCGTTGCTTGAATTAGAAAACGATAATCCATTAGAAAAGGAGACGCGCGAAAGTGTACAAACTAAAGACAAATGTGGGCGCACAAAGATCTAAACGTCTCTATGTCCAAAAATGTTAAATTAAAAAGGATATACAAGCCGAAAATAATTGTCAAAAAAAAAAGACACTCCGCTTCCTCTAATTCAAACGACGGGTAAATGCCAAGACGAATTATATTTTATACTTAAGGTTTCGAATGAAACTTTTTCAAATCAATGATATTACCGGTTACGTGGTTTATTACTTAATTATGCGAAAACGTTACCGACGCGACACGTTCAAAACGTAACGAACGCAAGATCAGACGGGATATTATTGAAACGTGCGTTTACCGACATAATAGTACGCCCACGATAAGTAAAGAAAAACGCCGGTGCCAGGAACAACAGAAACCTTACAATATTGTCGTAATGACTTCTTCAGACTTCAGACACGCGGGCCAGACGGACAGAACTGCACCGAGCAGTAGTATCATATAATTGGATAAGTACCTGATCGGTGTGCGAGGCGGGGGGCGGCACTAGTTGCTGGTTCTGTGGTAACTGTTGTTGCTGCAGCTGTTGTTGTTGTTGTTGTTGTTGTTGTTGTTGTTGTTGTTGTTGTTGTTGTTGTTGTTGCTGCTGTTGCTGCTGTTGTTGCTGTTGCTGTTGCTGCTGCTGCTGCAGTTGTTGGTGTTGCTGCTGTTGTTGCTGGAGAAGATGGTGTTGCGGTAAAAATTGCTGTTGTTGCTGCTGGTGCTGTTGCTGCTGTAGTTGTAGTTGAGGCAACGGTGGCGACACGCGTTCCCCGTAGTCCCTGTGAACGTCCATGTCTACGCTGCAAGAAGTCTCCGACCCGTTATAGCATCCTCGGGGGTCGAGGAACACACCGGACGCGCACAAACGCTCAATTTTGAATGTATACGGACACACGGTTAACACGAAATCGTTAAAAAACAAAACCGAAAATCGACACTCGCGTACTCACCGACACTGACGACGCCGCCGAACGACAGACTGGTAAAACGCGAAACAAAAGTCGTTTATTTTGTTTTATAGCGGCGGTGGCGATCGACGTCCGAGCCGACGGCTGAGCGATTTCGGAATGCGGCGGGCGCGCAGCACTGAGACGCGTACACACAGAGAGCAACAGGTATTAAAGACCGTACACACGCACACGTTCGCGGCGAGCACACGACGACTAAGGCGGTGGTCGGCTATATAACGAGTACCACGACACTACGAGATACGATTACGGCGGCGGCGGCGGCAACCGGTGACTGGAGAAGAATCTCTCCGCGGTGGTGCGCGCGGCGAATGCACACGCGCGTGCGTGTCGGTATAGCTCTAGCGTCGTCCGTACAGCAATATTATTATTATTGTTATTGTTTAAAAATGCGCCATCGGCGAAACTGTAGACGAAACCGCCGGACGTTATACAGAAATATCGCCAACAATAGTAGTTAATACAACATTTTGCGTTTGCGCCCGCGCCACCGTCTTTCGTAATCTCGAAAATACTGTTTTTGGCGTGGATACCACGAAAAACAACACGCGACAATAGCCGCAGCCGCCGCCGCTCTGCGAGTGGAGTTTTAACGGATTTCCGTTCGGCGTTTTAATACACGGGCGACCCCGCTTCTGTTTTCCGAGCGTTAAAAAACCAAAGGGTCATGTCGACAATGTAAACACTTCAATGGGCAATATTTTCGTAATTAATATCAAGTGTCGGGGCCGGCCAAGATGCGGGGCGGAAAAAAGCGTACACGGTGCGTATCAGGCGGCAGCGCCGACGACGGGAAAGGAAGAGGCCGCGGCTGCGAGATGCCGAGGGGGGAGGGGGGACCGCGGCCGAGTCAGTGACTGCGCGCGTTACTCCCACCCCGGCGGCCGAGCGCGCTCTCACCGGACAACGCGCGTACCACAGGGTCCGGTTCTGCCGTGAAGGTTGTCTGCGAGTACACTCAAGGTCTTCGGTGCAGCCGCCGCCGTCGCCGCCGCCCGACCGAAGACCGGCGGAGCGAGGAATGCGGTACGTCGATCAGCGGCGGTGGACTTCTCGGCCCGGTACAGCTGACGACGACGGCGTACTACTACTGCGTGGCTGCGTCGCCACCACCGCCGCCGGGACGACGGCGGCGGCACACACAGGCTATTACACCCGAAGAGACGACACAATATTATTAACTAACGAAATAATAATAACACGCGCAACCGCTCACCTGACCCGCCGCCGCACCGACGACGGTATTGCGTCATTTTCCGTGCTCTTCTCGCATTGTTCTCATTCTCCGTGCGTACGCTGCAACGTTATTAAAATGGTACGCGTTGCGGGTTTTTTTTTTTCTGTTCGTCCCCTCTTCCCCGAAACACAAACAAAAAAAACCCAATTTGGAAAACTCGTGTGTCCAAAACGACAGCGTACGACACCACAGAGCAGCCGAATCTGATCCGGGCCAAGTCCGTCTATACTACTCCACGCTGCTCCCGTTTCCGGCCTCTACATCGCCTTACATATAATAATATTGTATCGGTCACTATTTCTTTATCCATTCCACATGCCCTCGTATGCCCCTAATGGCCTTTTATTCGGCCTGTCTCTTCCCCGGCTTCCGTCTACGTTTAAAAAACCCGTCTTCTTGACAATCACGTCGTTTCTCCTTCTTTCGACATGACCACGCCATCTCAATTAACAGCTCTCTCTCATTTGTCTTGCTTTTTACAACCATTTGTATGAAATCAATTTAATGTCTGATACAAAGACCCAAGGATCATGGCTGAGCTCACGTCAGTTTTATATAATTTCCCTTTTAACAACACATTTTTTATGACAAAAGTACACAACATTCTTCCCCGCCACTTCCGTCCACTTCATTTAGACACACCTAATTAGACTAGCCGTATCATCTACAATAGTTCCTCCATAAAAAATTGGAAAGGTAGGATACACAAAATTATTTCAATTTTGTTTGTACGCTGCAACGATAAACTATGCTAACACAAAAATGTCGCTATGGGCATTATTATGATAACGTTCGGTCGAATCGATATTACCGATTATTAGGATTTGGATTGATAGTATTAGTTTTGGAGGCTATAAAATGTAAAAAACGGGATGTTTGAGATAATGTCGTCTGATTTATGGTCCAATTAAATAGTTTCGCTGAAATATCCGTTTGCCGATATATCCTTTCACCAAAAACGATTCGCCAAAATGTCTTTCGCCAAGATGTCCTAGATCTCCGCGATTTTACAAACGCATGACACAGACATTTTTCGTTTAACAGGACCGATTGTTGTACTGCTAGTTTTAGAATTAGAACGTATAAATTGAACTATTATCAAAGAATATCATCTGTGTTTGTACGTTGGTTTTTGTCGATACTTCTAATTTTTAAGTTGATGCAAATTTACAACCCATGTCGTGTGTTGGATGATGGAAACAGCACATGTAGGTATAAAATATATTATTTAATTTAATGCATATTTTATCGACGAGAATCGTTTTATTTTTTTTTTGTTTCTGTACAGATAAAATATTATAATGTATTAATATTACGTTCAATAGTTTTAAAAACATACAGGATTAATTGTTTGATAGTTTCCGATGTTTTAAGTTAGTGCACGTATAATGCATGCGCTTAGAAGTGCATTGTATACATTGCACGATGAGCTCGAGGCGTCCTGAGCGGTGATCGCGAATCGCCATAATTATCATAAATAATATAAAGACATCAAACGAATTTGTTAGTGATCGCGCACCTTTGGCGGGCAACGCCGTCGTTTTGAAGTCGATTATAGACTTAACCCGGGTCGCATAATATTAACGTTCTGCAGTAAGAGCGACTCAGTTCTCTGATTGGCCGATTTCAAATATCGCATCACAAAATTCAATTATAATGTGTTATCATTATTATACAATGATAGTACAATAACGCTTCGTTTTGGGACCTTCGGCAGCCTCCGTTCGCTCGCTTATGCCGGATTTTTAATCGAAAATAATTTAGCTATGATAAAAATCTCGTGTACGCAGTTATGTGTGGTCCGCGTAATCAGAAATGCATGAATGTAGGTTGATTACGTTTACGCGCGAAACGATAAACATAGTAATAATATGGTTACTTAGCTCGGGGCCTGCGTAAAACAACAAATAATACAAATATACCTATTATATTAATATTATATCCGAAAACATTTTCGTATATAATATGATACTATTGCTTTGCGTATATAAAACGGCGTGATGATTAATGAAAACTATAAAGGGAGATGCCAGCCAATGATTAAGTGGCTAAAGGTGACCAGGAGGTAATACGAGAAGTGCACGCAAAATTAATAAAGCAATCGTGATAGAAATATAGATAGTACTTAGTAAACCTAGCACTAACGTGGCTCTTCATAACAGAGAAGAATAATAAGATGAATGAAAACAATTGTATCATTTTAAAATTTTTAACTGATTAAAAAAAAAAATTAATTTAACTTAACAATATACTTTTAAATACCCACGCCGCAGAAATCCGAGAGGCGACTGCTTTTCAAATAAGCATACGCCGCAGTAGCGTATATATGCCATGGGTTGCGAACGTTTAAAATGCAAAATAATGACTACACGAGTCAGCAGTAGAATATTATCAGTGGCATACATAGGGAGAGGGGGCGCTAAAGCCATGGAAGATGAATGGAGACTATAGATTAATAAATGGAAACTATTTTGTTTAAATTCCTCCGACAATGTTTAAAAAAAATACTATGAGAGCTTAAAAAAATAATTATAAAATAAATTTCCAACTATAATTAATATTCCATAAAATTGTACCATATTTTTTACAACTGCAACTGTTTTTCAACATTTAGTCGACTAAAAATCCCCAAGTTTTTAAGGAATCAACGAGAAAATTAATTAATCGTAGCTATTTGTACTATAAATGCAGTATTAATAACATAATTATAACTTATAATTTCACGTACCCCGTAACAAATTTCGAGTTGTGGCTAGCTTGTGTTATAATAATGAAAAACTGGCCCAAACAATATTCCTATATAATAGGCTAATGAATATTATAATTAATTTTAATTCCATTATTACGTTTAAAAGAGGATTATTTTTGAAATGTTCACCATTGTTTTACGATTGTAATAACGTTATATTTATATAAAGTATAGTATGTAAAGATCAAATATGCCCAAACCGGAGAGGCGCGCGTAGAAGAGTTATTTATTGGCAAAGTAATAATTTGCGTTGCGTACCACGATAATACTAGTATTTACTTATTTTTATTACCTACAAAAAAATTACGTAAATTCTATTTTCATATCAACGAAAACATTGTCAGCGTGTGGCAGCAATGCCGATGGATTTTAAACTACTTTTATATTGCAGTAAATAATACAAAACCGGTTGCTCGCCACTTCTTCAATATACGATATTATAATAATATACTACAAGACTACAACGTACAAATAATAGTTTAATCGTTAGTCTTGTAGTTGTTTTTTATTTAACAGCTACCACGGAATGAATTCGGTTACGACAAACACAGTAGATAATAAATAATAATATGACCCCAACACTGTTATCAGTGTGATAACTTATCACAATATAATGATTTACAGAATAACAATATTATCATGTAATGAATTACGACGAATGGCTAGTGTTTGCAGATAACATTTTAAAATAATATCATTATTTTTTTCTCAATAATATTTTTTTATAAAATTAAATTAACATTCGGATGTAGGTAACTATTGTTACCGAAATCCTTCAGTTTTCTACGGTAGAAAAACCTAAATTTAAAAATGTTAAAAACCTAAGATGTCAGAACTTTGATTGTGCTTTTTTTGTGTCATTGATCTTAATACTCATTATAAAAATAAAAACTCGACGGATTTTTGCGGTTTGAGGCCGAAAACTGAAATATTATATTTACCAGGAATTAATGGTAACAAGTCGTCAGATGGAGTTTGGGTTGTTTTCGATCAGTCCATCTGATTACTTGATACCGATTTTCGATTCAAAAAATATTTAACATTTATAAATCAAAAAAACCAGAAAAGAAGATCAATACTCGTATATTTTTTCGTCGAAAGTGTTTAATCTTTATCTGAATTACTAAGATTATGGAGGCATGTAAAAACTAAATATGATATCAAAAATCATGGAACAAACCCTAAACTAGACCAGTAGTTTACAGAAGATAAGTGAAAGTGCCACCCCCGTTACCAAAAAAATATGTAAACAACGTTTATAGTTATAATAATAATATAAAATATAAATGGGACCAAAAATTTAGTTCGGCACTAATTCGAAATTTTCACGTTTTTTTTATTTATAAAACGTGAGTTTTGACGTTGAAATTTGCGATTTCTTCAAAATACATCTTATTGCTTATTAAATGTTGTCAAAAATCGTTCAATTTATTTTGTTATATCTTGTATGTTCAGTTTGAGTTCGGCATTCGTCGCGCACACTGCTTGCGCTCCGTCCTGTGGTTTATTTATTCCGTATATTGGTCTTATATATCATATTTATATTTAATTATACTTAAAACTTCTGCGTTCAAATAACAGAAACTACGTAATGCTAAAAATTACTTAGTTTCTCTAATTATTCTCATAGTCGATATAAACAACAAAATTAATAATTTCGTCGTCGCTTACCTACGTATTCGTTATATCTACATCAACTCGTGTGCTAGTCTTATCACACGCCGCTACGGCGGCAGTGATCTCAATCTTATCGCAATAATAATGATACTGAAATCTATCTTCAAAAATAAAAACACAAATTTAGCATATAGATATTGCCTTGATTTCTGAAACGTATTTTTCAAAATACTCTCACATCCCTATACCTGGTTATCAACTCCTAAAAACAAATCATCCAGATAACTCTGCTCATGGTGGTGCTGCAATTTATATTAAATCTTCCTTGTTATTTCAAAATTCAATACTCAAATGTTGCTCTTTCAATTCCCGAACATATTCGCATCCTTATATCCAATAAGCGCAGAGTAAGGGCCCTTTACCTACGTTCACGCTTTCTATCCCCCAAACGTATTTATAACAATCTATCTAACTCGCTGAAAAAAATTCTTGTTAAGCATAAAAATCAATCATTTGAAAACCATCTCTCAACTCAAGCTTGTCACCTAATAATGGCAGTCTCTGGTCAGTTACTAAAAGTTTTCTAAAATACAAACCTCCGCTCGTTCTCATAATAAATCCCCACGATGCATTTGTATCTACCGATGCTGAAAAAACTATACTGCTTAAAGAACACCTAACCGAAACTTTCACGTCTCCCCCGGATATACAAATACCTTTACATACTGACATAGTAAATCGCTTACTTGATATCCTCCTTGTTATCTCTTTAACAGTTAAGCATTTCTCTCCTGGCGACGTAAAATGTACAATTCAAAAATACAGTCTCAAAAATTCTCCGGGGTTCAACCTGATAACTGCAGAAGTGGCCAAGTCCCTCCCCAAAAAAACCATTGTTCTTCTCACAATTAGACATAATGCGCGTCTAAGATTTTCATATTTTTCCATACTTTGGAAATTTTCTGTAACAATTCTAGTTCCAAAACCTAACAAATAAGCCTCCTGACTTATCCTCCTCCTACCGAACAATAAATCTCCTCCCCTTCTTTAGCAAAATTCTCAAAAGATTAATTTTTAAAATAATTCTTCCATGCATTTCTTCCAGTTCCATATTACCAAATACTTAATTTGGTTTTCGTACCGCTCATTCCTCAATACACCAACTGCACAGACTAGCCGATGCTATCTCATTTTTCCTTGAAAAAGTTATTGTTCCTGCGTTTTATTGGATAAATCCCAAGCTTTCGATAAGGTATGGCACGAGGGACTGCTATATAAAATCAAACCCATAGTACATCCAACTTATTAATCAAATCCTACCTCACGGATCGTTACTTTCAGGTCAGGGTTGACATATCCTTTTTTAGTTTAGTAAAGTTTAGCGCAGGCGTTCCACAAGGGGGTATTCTTTCTCCTCTATTATACAAAATCTACGATGCCGATCAACCTACCTCTCCGAACACAGCTGTTGCGAAGTTTGCCGATGACAAGGCTATTATATTTATCCATAATATTCCTCATATAGCTTCCCTTAATCTTCAACTTCACCTTGACCTCATGGCTGATTGGTATAAAAAATGCTGTATCAAAGTTAATCAATCCAAATCACTTCATACAACTTTCAATGTTCATTTTACTCCATGTCCTATGGTGTCTCTAGGCAATATTTAAATCCCTTCCTCCTAATCGGCTAAATACTTAGGTCTGAAGATTAACCGTCATCTCAGATGGTCACATAACATTAAAATTAAAAGACTTGCCTTAAATGCAAGACTCCACATCCTTAAAACTCTAATCTCCAACAACAAATACACTCTATAGGTCCAGAGTTTAGTTTAAATACTGAACTCTTAATTTATAAATCATTGTTTAAGCCGATATGGACCCATAGTTTTCAACTCTGGGGCAATGCCAAAAAATCCAACATTAATAAAATTCAAACCTTCCAAATAACATGTTTCGTAAAATCACAAATTTTCCCTCTTACATCTCAAACCTAACACTCTACACACCGATCTAAAAATTGAAACAGTCCATGAAGAAGCAGTATACATTAAATTTAAAAAAAAATCATCAAGTGAGGGTAGTTTTACCATTGGTTGACTCTTCTCATGAATTAATCATGTATCTATTTTTCTTTTATAACCACATATTCTTATTTTTCCTAGGGGAACAGATTGTATATACCGTGTAAATAAAAAAAAAATATATCTTGTGTGTGTGTTTTTAAGCTAAATAGAATAACGTAACCGGAATCGAAATCATACATTTCACAAGTCACAGCACTTTTTGAGTTGCTAAACATAAACTAATAAATGCACAATCATAAATACACATTTCGGAAAAAAAATGAAAACTTACATTTTAACCTCCTAATTTCACTTATGGAAGGACAAAGTAGAGTAAATAATTGTCGGATCCCCCCTTGGAGCACTATCAAGTTAAACAAACAATTTAAAGCTTTCTTACAGGATAGAAAATTTGTCTATATTGATTAAAAACAAAAATATTATTTTCTGACGAAGCATACTGAATTTAAATTACCTACTTCCAGAATAAAATAAAAAAAGGTAAAAATGAATATGGTTTATACAAATAATACATAGTAGATAACATACGAAACATACATTGGAACTTAATATACCGAAATGAAATAAAAATCAATTTGTAGTAAAATGTTGCATTATTATTGTTAAAAAAGTTCGAAACATCTTTTTTGTTCTTTACACAGGAATTTGATAAAATTATAACAAACGCCAGAAAACTTGCAATTTATACAACAAAAATGTACATGGTATGGTATACACAAATATTAATCAGGCGTCTTTAAGGCAAGAAAAAGACTAACTATAAAAATATATAAGTAACTGCTAGAAACTGTTGGGACTGAATACTTCTAATCGAAATAATGTAAACAAAAAGCCGATAACATTGTTAAATCAGTGAATGTATAGATTTTGAGTAGTATTTTTCTAGGGGGAAAATATTTATATTTATGTGATTTTTTTTTTTCCAAAATTCACAATTTGTTTTTAAATTTAGAAGTGGCGTATCTAAGATTTAAAACTTATGTTAAAGTTTCATTTAAAATAATAGCTACTTGTGATAGGGATGCTATGCTTCCCCTCAATTTCAAATACAAGTTTTTGTCTTTTACTATAACATATTAAAATTGTATTTAAATTATAAATAACATTGAACTTGATCATAATTGAAAAAAAAATATTATTATTTTTAAATATTTTCCTGATTCCACGAGGATTGACTCTTATAATTCCCCTTCTTGGGCATATAAATAAACACAATATTAATGTTAAAATATGTCTATTTACATCTATTGAAATGTATGTATTTATTTTATTTAATTACATTAAAAAATAAAAAATAATGTAATTAATTTAAAAGTAATGATAGCTAAATCTAAATGTAATACTTTAAGGTAGGTATGTACTGTATAGTAAATGTATATTATGTACCTAATAACATTTGTAGGTCATAAAACCCTAAAGTTTAAATATTCATTTTGGTTTTAATATTTACACAAATTTCAACAAGAATACATAATTCATTAATTAGTATATTTCATGAATATTTCACACATTTTAGACGAAAAATTTTAAAAAACAATTTTGTTTGATCAAATAATTTTAAAATTATCCGATTCAGTGTACTATTTAAAATTTAAAAATGTTTATCACAAGATCTAACTGGAAATTATTTAACATTTTATAAATACCTAGGCCGTGATAAATCTCCGGTAAAAGTCATAAAGCGCATAAATTTGCGCATAAGTTATAAAAAACTTAAACGTAAAATCCGAAAAAATATGAACATTATATTGCATTTAAATAAAAAAATCGATTTTAATGTTTTGACAAATCCGTAGAAAATGGAAATAAAATAAACAAACCTTTTTACGCCTATGTCTTCTACTAGAAGTTGACATGGAATCTCTTCTACTCCTTTTTCGACTAGACGAACACACGGAGGGAGGTGGAATGGGATTGAAATTTGTATTTTTGTTTGACCACATGAGCTTTTTGAATAGCCCCATAATGATTTTTATTTAATTAAATTCACAAATAATCAATACTTCATTTCAACAACTATATTCACGTAATACAGAACCAATACACATTGTATACCGTCCAGTAGTGAATCGCGAGAGAAGTCGGACGAATATTCACGAAGCCCCCAAATGAAAATGATATGTACTACCTAACTAATAATAATATGTCATTTTATTCCCTCGGGCACGATGACATAACTAAGAGGCGTATTTGCTGCATAGTAGATAACCCGCAATCCAATTAGGTTAATGTTACATTGTACATGCGAAATGTCAAAACGGCCCTTCGATAACGTCATTTCACATAATAATAATGGGAGATAGTAAGTTGCGTCCTAAAAAAAGATACCCAGAACAAAATTAAATTAAATATACGTAAATTTCGTCTAACGAAAAATTAAATATCTGTTGATAAATGAGTTATGAATTCCACATTATTAATTTAGTTGATAGTTCTTTGATAATAAACGTAATGCATAGTGAAAAAAGTAAAACCATAATAAGTTATCGATGGCTACAAATTTTGGTTTCACTAGTGTTTTTAAAATAAAACTAAACGTTCGAATTTTAGCGTACAAACGTGCAAATGTTATGCACAATTATAATTATTACATTTTGCAAAACAGTAACACTTTAAATATATTACATTTAATGGACGCAATTTACATATATATCCGAATAATACTCGGGACGTAATTTATGGCAAAAAGGTATTTTGGACGCAACTTACAGTCAGTCAAAATAATAATAATAATACGAGATAAAACACTTACCACTTCTTCTACAGGTTCTTCGAACATTTCTGACCCTTCCTCGTGTTCTCCATTGGATCGTTGCTGGCATTCTGTGAACGAAAGGGGTGGCGTTGACGATTGGCTTGAACTCTTACTTCTGTATCGGAAATAAAAACGAATAAATTATTAATTATATACATTATAATATAATATAATATAATATAATACAATACAATATTCTATAGTGACTCTGTAGATTAAGAGAGAAGGCTTATAACAGAGTGCTGAAAGGTTTTGATGTGAGCGTTAATGAGAAAAGGAGTTCCGAGATTGTATATTAGTTTAATATTATGTATGAAGGTTCAAATACAAGTGTAAGAAATGTGTGTAGAATAAAAGACGATTTTAAGGTTAGTCATCAGAATTCGACCTTGAGCCCTTACATGTTTTCTATGGTAAATGGATGAAGTTAAGAAAAATATACAAGACGAGATATCACGGTGCATGATGTTTGCAGATTATATAATTTTTATAGAAGATAATCAAAAAAAATTGAAAATAGGCTTGGGGAATAGGGAGTGGCACTTGAAGGAAAGAGACTAAGGATAAGTAGAAGTAAATCAGAGTATACAAAGTGTGTGTTTGGAAGAACAGGACAAGACAGCTAATAATAATAAGCGGTGACGTATAAAACGGGGTTGAATTTTAAGTACTATGTTTCGTACGAAAGAACGGTGGCTTTGAATATTTGAAACATAGAACTAGTGTGGTTGGATAAATAAAGAAAAACGTTTAGTGTTTTATGTAACACAAGTGATACATAGAAGTTTATAACGAGGATGGCCGACCCCAAATAATTGGATTGACGGCGAAAAAAAAGAAGAAGAATTGTATTATTGTAGGTAAATATTTATTTTTAAATAAATTTCGTAGTAATTTATATAACAAGTGTATAATATATCACACTAATAATTCTATTTAATTGTATTCAAATATTTTATAATTTTATAGTAAAATAGTATTTAACTATTACTAAATTAGTTGATAAAAAATAAAACAATTTAATTTCTAGTTTGGTACCCAAATACAAGTTTAAAATAACTATAAACTTTTAATGGTAGGTAAAATATTATATTTATCAATTATTAATAAATAAAAAGTAATAATTTAACACACAATCTAAATCACGATCACCTATACATATGATTTGTCAATTTATTTATTACCTAATAAATTATATTTTATTATTATCGTTATTTATGTATTGTTTAAATATATTTACAAATAATAATTTATGTATACATTTATTGACTATAACATCATATATTGGTATAGATGATTAAAAAGATTGGAATTTATTAGCTTTTATGTTGACATCTGTTACTGATTTACAAAATACGTTAAATTCATTAGTCTACCATGCGGTCTCGATGACAAGTGTTGAATCTACAATGATTTTTTTTTTTTTACGTCTATATATTGTTTAACGAACGATGGTTTGCGATATTTTTTTCATATGAATACAAAGCAGACGCTATAATAACATTATTATTAGTGTGGGAAAATGTTTAATTAATTTTAATATTACACAATGGTTTTGATTTCTAAAAATTGCAGATTTGTGTAACACTGAAAAATCATACAATTATGTTTACTATAGGTACTAATCAATTTAATGAAAATACAGTTTTTAGAAAGAAAAAACAATTGTTCATGTGAAAACAACATATATGTACAATTATTTTTTATTCTCGTAAACGAAAAAAAAACTAAATTTAGCTAATAACAAGAAAAACGTTTAGCTAATTTGAAAAGGCTGAATATTGAAGTAACTATGGTAATGCGAACATGACAAAACACGAGAATAATTTTAACGAATGCTTATAAAAGAAAAGTAACTATAGTCTAAATTCTAAAACAAATAATACATAACAAGTCATAAAATGCTTTATTGTATACGTTTATTATAATATTTTCGTAGTCTTATAATTATATGCACACTTTAACTGGTGGTTCATTAATAGTATGAATGGTTTATTTAAAAGGAATACCATACGATGTTAGGAAAAAAAAACGTATGCGCTCAAGGCTAAGAATGGGTTTTATGGCATTTAAGCATTTGTAATGTGTCGTAAACAGTAGTAAACACAAATGCTACTCAATAAAAGATATATTTCTCCCAATAATTACATTAATAATTTCGAGTGCATACGAGTTTTAGTGTGTTGTAACATAATTGATAATTATGTTATTTAAATTTACTAAATATAATCTAATAATATACTATAACAAATTAGCTCATTTGCTGTACAGCACCTCAACCCAGTATTTTATTGTTTACTAAACAAATGTAACAAACATAATGTAAAAAGACAACAATATTATACAGTTACTTTATGATATTACCATCAAAATAATGAACGATTTACTAAGCCGGATAAGAAAGACCAGTGGGCCTCGGGCCCATATAAATTTGTGTATTACAAGATTGTTGAACGAATATTTTGTACACATTTATAATGATAAAATGGGCCCTTTACATCCACAGATCCAAGGGACGTGCCTACTTGATCCGGGGATGATTATTTAAAAGTACCCGACAAAAAATAATCAAAATATTTTTATTTTTTCAATACTTTAAAATTAGATACTCGATACATTGTTTTTCAGTGTCCAGATACAAGATACCAATGTGTCAATAAGTATTGCAAGTACTCGATACTTGCATATTGTATATTGTATTTTTAAATACTATGATATATACTCGATATATTGAAATTAAAACATCAATTACATTATTTTTTCGTGCACGCTTTATCTCAAGAAATATACGGCGGTTATTTATACTTTCCGGAACAGTATCGCGATACAAGTAACGAAACACAATATCGTATCGAAGATACTGCTGAACCCTGACTATTATATAGTTACCCCGTCTACCGTTACCTGCAGGCGTAGCGCGCTCCAACGGACCGTCAAAATCGCCGTGAACCTACGCAGTTAAATCGAAACGCGCCCGGATGACCGGTCGTCCCCGTTTATTCGGTAGGTACACGCAATAATATCCATCGTCCACAACATTCCGGCACTACACTCTTACCTTAGGTAATCTGGCAAACGGCACGAACATATCTTCTGATAGATCAACAGTGCAGTCGTACCGTCCGGGTCCAGCAACAACGGTTCGGGCAGACGGGCCGGAGTGGCCATCACGCTGGCGCACCGTTGCGATCTCTTCGACTTGCACGGAACCGATTTGACGTGTCGGCGGGGGTCGGTGCCGCTGTACCGCCACGAAAACGACGGCGACACTGACCGCCTATTGTGGTGCGCGAACGACATGGCGGAAACCAAACGGACAAACCGCCACGGAAACCGTAAATACCTACTATTGCACTACTATATTACTATTACTAATCGTAAAATATTAAGTGCGGTAGCCAGCTCCCATCTCTCGAAATCATATAATATTACGTGCACTCCGTTGTATTGTACTCCGGTTTATTTTATTGACGATAGCCCACCGCACGACCGAGACATATACGACGACAAAATACGAGTAATTAATTAATCAGAAAAAAAAAAAAAACCCCGCACAATAGAACGCGACGACGGTTTTCAGACGGACTGCGCGACTGCGCTGTACGGATATTATGGGCTTCAAACGATTGCCTTACTTAATGACGACACCGCCGTGTAAATATTGACGGATTTGAGTATATAATATTATATTACGTATTATTATGTTTTTTTTTTTTTTTTTAGTTCAGTTTTTCATTATCTACCGAGTGAATCATTTTTTTTTTTTTATATAACGGGTAATAATAATTAAAAACGAATTCGTATTGGTGCACGACGACGACGACGACGCTACGACACTGCCACGTGCGGTTTTGTGCGCGTATACCGAACGAATTACAGAGACTCTCGACTGTCAAATAGCGTTTATTAATAGTCGTTCCAGAGAGACACAGTCTCCAGGATTTTGGCCGGGTTGCCAAAAGGACGCGAACGGACCGATTGAAAAGAATAATGGATCTTTTGAGGACATGAAAAAAAAAAAAATAATAAAAATAAAAATCAGTCGAATAATTATGTACACGCGAAGAAATACGATGGACCCAGCAATTTAGATCGTTGACCGACACCGTAGGTAATATCGAATTATTAAAAATTACACATTGTGTTTATTGGAACATTTGGAACATACAGACGGACGTTAAATATTTATTTGGAAAAAAATTAATAACTGCTAAATAAGTATAAAGAAAATAAATTAAATAAACCATATTAGGTACTAAAATAGAATGCCGAGAGAAACAAGATTCAAAATTCAAATGATAATAATTTATATCATAATAATAAATCCAGATACAGTTAGCTAGGTGTATGTTAAAAATATCCAAAGTCGACGAACAAATAAAAGTGCAACGCGCAAGACAAGACTTCACCGTCATCATTTCAGAATATGACGGGTACCTACAGTAGTGGCAACTCAAATTCCGTAATGGTACTAATTATACGTATAATAATAAAATCAATCGTCTTCAACATTTCTAATTGTCGTGATTTGACCATTTTAACAAAAAAAAAAAATTAATTTTTAATTTTATTTCCGATTAGGTAATTTTTGTTTACTTGTATTAAACAAATTAATACATTTTCTATTTTTAATTTCTTTTAACGAAATTATAGAAGCAGATGCGTATCAATCAATCAACAAATTATTTCTATTTGAGTTATTTAAACAGGAATTTGATTACCATAATTTTGAGCATTATTTGTATTGATTTCGGTACTTGTAGGCCTAGTTAACATAAAAATATACAAAATACTACAAAAATATAGTAATTTATTTTTTGAGTATACCTATTATTTGTTGGTGCTAGTTTGAGGTCTGAGGAGAACTTTCCTCTTAAACCATTTTAGTCCCCGATTATACCTCTAGACACTTCCAATCTTCGTAACAGTGCCAGATTAATATTTAATTTCTTCTTAATGGATAAAGTAATAATTGGGTTGGGAAACGACCCGCAGTAATGGGTTTTTGGAAAAAGTGAAAATTGTACATTATTGAATAGCTCTCAGTTTTATACCAACTTATTCATTTTAGATTCCGAACGTAGCAACGTCTTTGTTCTTTGTTCTAGTCTGTGGACTCGTTTTTCCCTAGTAGACTTGCTCCGATTTTTACACATAGCAACTTTTATAAAAGCTCAAGTTGCCTAGATTGTACTTAAAAAGGTCATTTTCAGATTTTTGACGCTTTTTTTAAATAAAAGCCCTTAAGTGAAACAAACGTAAGAAAATGTACAATTTCACGATTTCATTATTTTATAAAAACATGGACGACTTTTTTTGCCAGAAAACATGATTTAATCGAAAAATCACAAGACATATTTTTTGTCGCCTTTTTGATTTACTCTCTTATGGTATCCCTGTCAAAACTTTTGAGCTTTTAAGGAATTTTAATTTTTTTAGGATAAAGGATTTATATGCATTTAAAATCTATAAAAAGCACTTGAAAACGTCAAAAAGGCCGAAAATTCACTTAAAAATGTTTAAAAGAGCAATAAAGATAGAAAAGTTTAAAAGTCCCCCAAAGTAGAATCATTAAAAGCAGTGGCGTATATCACTTTTTTGGGGGAGGGACACATTATTTGAACAAAAATTGCTTGAATGTTATAACACCTTTTAACCATCTTTTCGCCATCAGAGAAATGAAAAACTCAACCATTTTTTTAACGAACTATAATATAAAAAAATATAAAACTTTACATTGCAATAAACATTTTTTTATTAGAGTTACTTAAATTCAAATTGAACATATTATATTTTCATACAAGAAAAAGCATACTTTGGAAAATCAAAAATTCACGGTTTTGGATTTATAGAAAAAAAATGACAAGACAAAATAAAGATTTCTCGGCACACTAGCAAACTTATTAAGAACTTCTTTGGGTATTAATTTGATTTATTACGCTTTCAGTATTTTTATTTACAACGGATTTTATGTTTTCAGCAGTTATAACTGCATGTTTATAATGTGTACAATTGTGATGTTGATTAAACAACTCTCTAGCTTTTTTTAGTTTAGTAAAAGGCTTACTAAAGCCCCAACCATTTGGTGTGCTCCATTTCCAACAAATTCAGAATGAGAAAATAATGTGCAATATTTACAAAATGATCCTAATTTTTCTTCAGAATATGCCAACCATTTAAATTCTTCAAGCTATTTAATTTGAAAAGTTCGATTATGAAAGAATCTGATATTTTTGGAAATGTATACTCGGGCTGTGGTTTTCAAGCATTGTCAAAAAGTGAAAATCGTTCTTCATTTGTTAAAGAACGAACAGAGCTTTCGTTGAGAGAATTCCCAGTGTCATAATGGTTTTTCGTCACTTCTTGGTTAGGAAGGCAGTCCTTAGCTACTGGTACGATATCAACTACGGCAGATGGAACGTTGCTATTACTAACTTCGATTTCATCATTAGTGACATTCTGTTTTTTAACAAAAAAGTTTTGAACTGACATTTGTCTCTTCATTGTAACGACGCTATTGCATTCACAAAAATATTAAGCTATAAGGCTACATTGTGATACGATAAAAATTATACGGAAACACGAGACTGCCCGAAAAAGTAACGAACAACGAAACGATCGCAGCGGCCGTCTACTGATAACTGATAATTTATTCTTCTAAAAATGTTGACGTTTTAACTTTTTATTTATATTAAATTCGTGATTTTCAATACATTTTTAAATTTTAGAGCAAAGTACCTACAATTATACAGCAAGCTGTAATAACATTCGCTGTTTATTATAATTATGATTTATGATTTATGATTTATTACTAATTGACTGAAGACTTTTTTCTTTGAACTTTAAAAAATCAGGAATTTAATGAAAACCAAAATTGATGTGTCAACATATTCAGAAGAATATTATTTACACTTTATAAAATGGCTATCTTCAAATTTTTCAAAAATGATAAAATTAAAATTAATTTTTCAATTTTTTTACCAAAACATAAATAATTAACTGAAATATAAATAGTACCTTGAGTTCCCCTGACTATATTTATCAAGATCTGCCTATAGTTTCAATTCGGTAAAATGGTGTGAGATAGAACGTTCTAACATTAGTTTTAACATGAAATCGAAAGAAAGGGATAAAAAAAGTAATACCAGAAAATATGATGTCAGGACAACATAACTCCCCATAGTTAGATTCACCTAGCAAACAAATTTCAATTTCAAAAATCATTACCGGGTAATAAACAATAATGAATATTATAAAAAAATTATCTTGCTTAATAAAATAGATTATATAAAATGAAATTAGATTACATAAATTTAATTAGTTTTATTGATTATTTAAAATATATTGGTACCTACCTGTATAGAATATTATTTTTTAAATCTACTGTACATTTTAGATATTTATTAAATTATTTTACTTTACTTTGGTATATATATGCAACTCTTCCAACAGGTATAGAATTTATTTAAAAAGTTATCTAAGATATTATTCAATATTTGTAACTATTTGTAAATATTCCAGTTTTTCTAGATAGGTTTAAGAAAATAATCATTGGGTTAGTTTCTATGTAAATAATGACTTGGTAATATTTAATATCCAATACAATGTTAACTGTAGGTACTTAATTTTGTTAGACACACTCGAATAAACATTAAAACTAAATAATGAATTGCATAAAGTAAATTGTTATATTATTTATTTAAAGAAAAAAACTGTATATACTTATATACTTAGTATCTATAGTTTTTGATAATTTACACCTAACAGGGCATTTCATTACTTAAAGGTTCGAGTTATAAGTGTTGTCCTAAAATAGTTTGAGACACTTAAATAATTATAAATCACTTCTTATTCAACCTGTTAAACCACACAAAAAATTCATCATTATACAGAATTTGTCAAAACACACAACAAAATGGTTCAAAAATGTATAAATATTCTCTATTAAACTATCTATAGAGTTCCTGGTTAGATACATTTTCTATATTATTTTTACTAACCAAAAAACATTTTCCATATTATTTAAAAAAAAAAAAATATTATAACTTGAATAGTTTCCTTGCTTTACTCAAAATTTAAAATTAATATAAGAGTAAGAATACAAGATCTTTGTAGGCATTATATCATGGGTCTATCTGAAGCTCAGAACACATACTGATTCATAAGGTAAGTAAGCTATGTCTGCGGACCATAAAAAGTTTAAAAATTACTTCTGAAATTTAAACTTGAATATTTTACTTAAAAATTAGTTTAATTTTATATTACCCAGTATTATATTATTTATATACGACATAGAATTATGAAGATGTTAAACTAATTTATTTTAAAACCAACGTACTGTTTTTTCTTTAATTATATTTTATCAGCAAAAAAAATAAATATAAATTCAATAATTTTGTATGCATATGGTTAATTAAAAATTGGATTGTGGTCATATTAAATTTGTATTATAATATTGATAGTAATAATAATATAATATAAACCTAATAAGTACAAAAAGTACAAGGTTAATGTCATTCAAGAAATAACTAGGTAAATATTTCTATCGCGATTAATATAGTTATATAAAATGAATACAATATATAAACTATAATCATTATTGTTCATTTAAAAATAATGTATAGATAATTATATAATTATTTATATACTTATTATTAGCTATATATATATATATATATATATATATATTATTATAGATTAAAATTAAAAGCTAAAATATATATCTATGACCTTGTTATATACACATATGATACCTTGTTATGACATATACAAATAATTTGTATCGATAATAAAACAATACAAACAAAATATTTATCATTCATACTGATATACTTCTATAGTTCTTTCTCTATTAATGTTTATTCATTCGAATATCAGTTAGAGGTCTTTAAGTTGTTTTAAATTACTATTAGGTATAGAGTAAGTAGGAAATACTGACAAGTAATAATTACTTACATTAGCTGTCAACAGTATAGTGTTATTGCTTAGTGATTTAAAATTAACAGATTTTAAATAAAAAATAATAGTAATCATGTCTAAATAATACAGATTTAATATTTCACTGTTTTATTAAAACATTTAATATTAGTATAATAGTATAAATATTTTTTTTTCAAGCCTTGTACAGTTACTTACATCTTTTTAACTTAATTAATATCTAGGTACACAGGTATAAGAAACTCAAAGGGGTGATGCATATTACTGAAATTTATAATTTCCATTTACTAAAACGTTAATAATAGATAAGTACCTATATAACTAGCATTGTATACGTATCACTGTATAGTGATATTGATCTCAAATATTAAATAGGTTTACAAAAACCAAGAGTATTAAGAATACCTAATGTTTGTATACGTTCCATTTTTACTTGGTTCCATTATTAAAAATAATTCTGTATTTCCGATGATTATGGGTAATAGGTACCAAGGTATTCATTAATATCTATAGACAGTTAAGTAATTATTAATACACCATAATGGTAACTATTATTATAGAACATTAAAAAATAATTTTTAATTACTCACTTGCTATTATCGGGTTTCTTACCACCGACACTTCCTTCCTGGTCGTCCGAATCTATATAATGCATTTCTTCGTTTTTTCCCATAATTATTACTTATTGTTTAATCCTCGTACAAACAGACAAATACCCACCGCACTGAGTAAAAACGTTGTTTTACGAACAGATTGATTGTAAGTTAAAACGCCGGACAATGGACGAGTAATAATCTGAGCAATAACGAATAATAATTCACCATGTCCTACATACGTTTCGCTATTTTTTAACCGAGCTAAATAGTTAAAATAAATCGAAAAGGTAACGGACACGGCCATACGAAACGGTTTTACTGTTGAACGCGGTAATAAACAAAAAATTGTAATATGTAGGCATCTATATACCTAAGTGTAGGTATAGGTAAACCTACTCGTAAATCGTAATCACTCGTAACGTAAAGTCAAAATAATGTGTTATTATTATTTTAATCCGTATAATAATATCGTTTCAGTTATCTTGGTTCGTTATGTAAACAAAACAAACTGCACTATCTCACGAGTTGTGAGATACGTCTAATCTACGAATAATATTTCCGAATGTATTCTACAATCGCGTTGTGGGCTTGGTACCCGTAGTTAGTTCGCATAATGTCCGCCGTTGATTGGTTCACCGGTTTCTAAGAAAACTGACGGTAGTGACGGCGACGGCTCTCTCTAAACCCATTGCACCGTACTCCACAATTCCTGTACCGCGATACATTTTCAAAAATCTGCGTACTGTCCACGAATAATATTAATGTAAAAATAATATCTAAAGACACGCTATCTTCCAGTCTAGTAAAGTATTTAAAGAAATATACTTCCCATTTCTTAACACTTGTTTAATATATTCAAAGTACAAATTAAATTATTTCAGAATTAATATACAATACATTTTATTTATTTCCATTTATCTATACAAAATTAAGTAGGTGGTACAGAGTTCTAATAATAGATAGGTAGGTACTTAAATAAGTTAAATATAGTTTTTGAAATTTCAAAATTAATTTTGGAAAACTACTTCAATTAACTATTAAGTTAAATTTAAAAAGTATTTGAATACTATTTAAATATATTCCGAGTATTTATGTTTGTTCTTAAATACTTTTTAACAACCCGTGTAAATTTGAAAACAATCAGTTCATTAGTTTAGGCTACAGAGAGATTGGACCATTTGTCGTAAAATTACCGAGATTAAATAGGAGTTTTCCCTAGTCTTTATATCAAATTTTCCAATAACGTTCTATCTGCCTCGTCTTTTATAACTGAATGCCTTGCTATATTTAAAGCCCTTTTTTCTAACCATCAAATTATTAGGTACTCGTAATTTTGTGATTTTTTCTGATTCTTAATCTTATCCCATGGCATTAAATTCTTCCCTTTTCATTTCCGCTATTTCCTATCTCGTACGCCAAATCCGTTCGATCTTCTTCTTCCTTTCCAATTTTGGTTATTCAATCTATTTTTTGGGGGTTCCTAGCCATTCAAATATCCTAGAAAACGAAATCGCAGACCAGCTCATTACATCATATTCCTATTCTATTTCTTCTCCAATAAAAATCCCTTATTTGACTTTTCCCCAGCTCTTAACACTCGTGCGGTTATGAAATCGTAAATGGATTAACTTATCTTCTATCTTTGTTTCCTCTTTTTGTTTTATCTGTCCTTTTACCAAACCCTTTCCTTGATTCCACAAAATCCCCATTTTTCGATGTACCATCGTCTCTTACTCCCTCCTCAGATTCGGGCATAACCGCTTTCCCTGCTCACGCTTATTACTGATTATCCCTTAACAATTCCCCTTTTTATATTCATCATGGCGATTTTTTCACTGCAACTCCTCCCATCTCTTCAACAGCCCTGTCCTTACTAATATGCGTCTTTGACTTTCCTCTTTATGAACCGCTAACAATATTCCCTTTAACTTCTCTCATATTTTAAAATCATCTATCATCTAATGTCTCTCTCATCCATTGCATAATTAGTTTGTTCATATCCGAAGGCTATCTATAATAATATTTTGTTGTTAGTTCTATAATATTTTTTGTTCTATGTATGACCTCTGAGGCATAGGTATATGTTTTATTAAGTTTAAAAAAAGAAATAAAAAACCTTATGGATTCTACCTTCTCAACTTCTCACCTATACAACAATGGCTGTACCCCTATCCCCTGTAACGCCTTTTATTTTTTTAGGAGGTCCTCCCACAAAATTCAACTCTGGATCCATGATTGAAGAAAAAATGTTTAATCAGAGCCAAATTAAGGGGGTTGGGATAAAAAAAAAAACGCTTCATGTATGTATGTATGTATGTACAATTTTTGAAAAAACTTGATATTAAACAAAGTTAATTTCACAATATATTTTTACAAGTACATTAATATAAAATAAATAATGATTAATGACTAATAAAGACAGTGCCGGATTTGGGGTGGGTGGGGTCCCAGGCTTCTACATAATGGAATTTTGTTTACATTATTATATACAACATATTATAACATAAATTAAAATCACAACTTCAATAGCATTTCGCAGTAAGTTATGTTGTCACATTAAATCCATTTATACCAAAGTTGTTGATATATTATGTATACCTAATTTAAAAAAATAATAGCCACAATTAAATATTATAGTTTCTTTCTTAATTTAAATACTTTAACATTTTAAATTTAAATTTGTTTTTTTTAATATGAACACTTTTCGGAAAAAAAAGTCGAATACATGTTCTGAATATTGCTTTTTGGATTTTTTATTTCCCTAAACAAATATTTTTCTGAAACCTATAATTATTGTAAATCTGTAATCTAATATATAAATCTTAAACCAAATTATATTTTTTACGGCCACATAATTAATGAACGTAGTATTTAATTTTTATATTTAATTAAAGTTTAATAATTGGTAATTAACGACATATCTACCTACTTAATATTTGATTAGCTATACCTACTAATCAGTTTATTTAATAAAATATTGAGTCACAATATATTAATTTTAGAGCTGTTGTTCTGTCTTCTGTAACTGATATAAATTAGCTAGAAAATAATATTTAAAAAGTATTAAAATATTTTTAGAATATTCGAATATATTTTTTCAACTTATTTGAATAGGCAATGGGAATACTATTTTATTCATTTATACACAAAATAAAATTACCTGTTCTTTACAAAACTACCAGTGCCTTTATCTGATTTGAGGCCCCACAACCATAAATTCAGCCCTGAGTATAGATAAATATTGATTGATACACAGCGCACAATAATATTGTGTAATTTGTCATTTAAAAACTCCGTAAATATGTCCGGAAAGTACAGAAGGATACAAGCTCAAATCAAACGAAAAAATTAATTTGCTCAATTTATTCCTTTTGAAGGCCTGTAATAAATAAATTAAGTTGACGACTAAATTTTAGATAAAAGTATGTCAAAAGACAACCATTTTTTCATAATTCCAAAAACTGTACCTGTATACGGTACCTAACAACTATTTTCTTATTTCAGAGACTTCGGGACTTCAGACAATCCAGTGGAACTAAGCCACCCTAATTGTGCTACTGAAAATAATACTTTATTATTTTACTAATACAATTAATATTAATGATTCATAATATTTAAAAATTTAGATTCTAAGCGGAGTTATTGGTTTTACTATGTGTGCTTTTTTGAGTGGATTTGTCTATGAGCGATTTTTCTACCAAAAATTTTGCTCCAATCAAAAAATTGCAAAATAAAACTTTTCTGATATATTTTGGATCTTGTTGGTCCATTGAAGACATTTTTTTTTGATTTTTTTTCATAATTTTTAAGGGAACTTGGAAAAAACGTATAGAAAAATAAATAAATATTTACGTTATAACAATTTCACTATTTTAAAGTTTTTTACCAAAAATCTTGTTTCAAATTTCAAGAGTAGCACCTTATCGAAAAGAAAATTTATTTCTACTTGTTAAATAAATAAATTTATCGAGTTCATCTATTATAAAAGCATATGAAAAGAAATTAAAGAATTTATCTCACGGTAAAACAAATTATCTACCTAGTAAAGAACCAGAGTTTGAAGAAAATCACTTGTTTCGAGTAAAAATATATACACATATGTTTTAAAGGTCTGTGAAGTTAAACTGCTTTCGAAATAAATTAAAAGTAGACAAAATGAAGATCTATCTATGTACATTTTAATTATTCACGATTTGTTTTTATTGGCAAGTTGACCGATAATAGTACCTACATATAAGTGAAATTATACTTGTGAACAATTTACAACAAATATATCATAAAGATCTCAAAGAAATTATTAAAATATTTAATATTACTAATTACCTTTATAAGTGAATTAATTGATACATAAATTACTGAAAACTAAAATGTTGCTAAAAATAATTTTGTGTATATTATAATATTATATTCTCTACCAAATTCATTTATTATAACACTGATTTTCGACCTAATTTCGTATTGATTTTTACGGCCTTAGAATTATTCATCTATGAGGCCCCTTAAAATAAATGTTCCAGCGTATTTTGGTGTATCAGGCCGACACTGTATGATTCCAGGTGGATGATTCTAGTAGGTCATAGCTATATGGTATCTATTGTTTCTGTAGGGTGGAAGAATTCAGCTTATAGTTGACAATACCATTCTCTCCGTGGAAGGGAATCAAAATACACCCGTGGTACCTTTACTTGTCGTATGAGGCGACAAATAGGGTTGCGCCAGGTCAACAGTCGGTATGAAATTCTGTCACAGTACGAGAATTTCTAAACGAGACTTTGACCAAATGTCCCATCTCAGATGTGCGTGAGAACAAATGAAGGAGGTACCATGATGCATATTTGTAGAGATGAATAAGTAGAAGTAAAACAGTGTATGAATAGGTACCTATGGAAGAAAAGAATACGACAGCTAACGACAATAAGCGGTAACATAATCGGCGAGGTTGAGTTTTAGGTAGGTAAGTACTTAGAATCTTTTGTCAAATAGAACGATGTGTCGATGTTTTCGATTAAGATGTGAAACATAAGATTAAGTATGGTTGGATAAAATGGAGAGAAGTGTCAGGTGTTTTGTGACAAGAAAATTTAAATGAGACTTAAAATTAAGTTGTGGTGAGACTATGTTGTACGGTTTGGAGTGTAGCTGATGGTAGGCGGAAAAATAAAATAGAATGAGGGAAGTAGAGATGGGAAGGAATGTTTAGGTTATGGGTCTGCGGCTTGTGCCTTGTCTTTATTTGTGGTCCGCAAACACGTTTTAAGCATAGCATATATTTGTTCTATTTTGATTTAAGTAGAGCGGCTATTAGATATATTTATCAAAAACGTTGGTCACTGGAAAGACCCTTGGCTTTGGTGGATGAGTGGAGTGATTAGAGAAGATAAGATAAGGTCGGTACATAAGATATAGATTAGACGTAGCTTCAATAGTAGACAGAATTATAGAAAATAGACTGATATGATATTTTGTGCATGCCATGGGGAGATTGGAGTCCGAAACAGTAATAATTGTAATGAAGATGTAGTTGGAAAGAGGAGAGAGAGACCAAAAAACATAGTTATAGCATATAACATAATATGATGTGTATACAAGGAGGGAGATCGAGTCTGGTGGAAGTTTAGAATAAGGATGGCTGACCCTAAATAGTTGGGAAGAAGGCAAAGGAGAAAAAATAGAATATTATAATAAATTATAGAAATGCAATTTTTGTATGTCTGATGTTTCTAATTAATTATGATGTTTTATATTGAACAATAAAAATAATACATTGTGATTATATTATGATAATTTAATGATTTTTAATTACTAAGATAATATAATTAACTTTAGGTTAAATTAATTACATAACTGGCTATATGATAAATCATTGAAGATTAAAAAAAAGAATCTTAGCTGAGTAGTTTTAGTAGTGTTTTTTTGCCCTAGAGCTAAGTTAACACAAAAATCAATGAAAATGGACTAAAGTAAAACAACATTTGTTGTTAGTTTTTAACATTTTTAGAAAAACTAATGTTAATTTTGAAAATTTATTTCAATTAAAATACTATAGGCTAAAAAATCCACATCTATAAGGGTACAAATAATTAGGAGCTGTTTTAATAGTCAAAAAAAAAAAACTGTTGAAAATCTTGATAAATATTTTAGATAAAGATCCAACATGCAGAAAATTTACATCTTTAGACATATTTGTGAAAAATTTGGAGAATTTGCAATGTTTGGCACACATTAAAATATTAATTATCATACTAAAACTACTAATTATTATCTACAGTAGTACATTAAACTAATAAAGTATCTTAACTAGTAATTATATAATTATTGTTATACTTTAGAAAAAGAGAATACATTAACAAACATTAAGTAAAATTAAAATGGCAGTAATACAATATTATATTGGAATATTTGATGAAAACTTATAAATATAATAGTATTATTACAATATTGTTTAAAGCACAACATTTTATGACAGTAATTAAATAAAATAAATTACACATAATGAGAAAATAGGAATTCAATTTAGATTTAAATTTAAGAAAAAAAATACAAAATATATATTGTATCACTACAAATAATAATAGAAATGCACATAGTGTTTATTATTTAACACAATAAGTAAATAAAATAAATTATACAGCGTTTCTCAACCTTTTTATTTACATATTTTTCGACTTCCAACCAATCCTCCATACACCACTTAACTCTGCGAGGCACACATTTTTACTTTTATTTTATGGCAATATGGCATATATATGAATGGCAGAATAAGGAAAATTAGGAACTGAATTTCATTAAACCATACAAACTTTGGTAATAGTTTGTTTCATTGAAGTACACTAGAAAGTATTTCTTGATCTGTAACTCCACCACCTATCATATTATTATATTAAATATGAGAGTTTTTCAACAATTAAACAGACAAATCATTGTAGGAGGAGAATGAAAGATGATAAAAACTATCTAAATATAGCATTTTGTTAGTAATGTGTTGACTACACCTTGCAAAAGTTATTTGGTCAACATACTTAATTGTTCATTTTCCAGTGAAGCCCAAAGTGATGTCCCTGTTCAGAAAGATAGTACACCCACTGACCAATGCTATTCAATTTTAATGGTGGAACTAGTTAAGCCTTATAAATTTTACCACAGAATGGTCACACAATATGGTAGTATGTGTATGAACCATGCAAATTTTTATTTGTGTATCTAGAAATTTACAAATGTCCGAAAAAGTGTACACTAAACAGCGAAGAGGATGTCCAGTTGAAATTTCAATGCCTGTGTTTAAAAACAACATTTAAATTTGATTTTGGCAAATAGACGAGTAACTATTGAAGAAATTTCACTCAAATTTACCATCCATAAAATTATTCACGTCAATCTGAATTTGTGAATATTAGTCCCAAATGGATTCCTAAAATATTGACACTAATAAGAAAAATCACCCCAAAAATTGCATAGAACTTAAAAATTGTAACCTGTGATGAGACATGAGTGTACCATTATAAACCAGAAACAAAAAATTAAGCATGGTTTGGAAGTATCTTGAATCGACATCCACCAAAAAATTCAAATCATGCTCATCTGCAAATAAAGTTCTTGACTATATTTTGAAATACAAAAGGTGCGATTCTCAGTCATTTTATCAAAAAAAAGATGTACTGTGAACTCACAATCATACTCACAACTTCTAAAAGACCATATAAATCTAGCAATTTAATAGAAACAACATGTATGTCTTGACATGATGACAAAGGGAGATTCTTCAAAAAGTCAATGCCACCCCTCAAAACACCAGGAAGGCACAAGATTTATTACAAGAAATGGGTTCGGATGTTCTCCCACACCACCCCTACAGTCCAGACTTGGCACCTTCTGATTTCCATTGGTTTGAAACACTCAGAAATTATTAATGCAGAAATATTTTCAAAATAATTAAGTCAAAGAACATGAATAAATGGGTCAAAGATCAGTCCAAAGAAATATGAAGCAGTGAGATGGATGTATTTGTGTAAAGATGGATTATGTTGAAAAGTAAAAAAAAAGTATATGCAAAGAATACGTAAAGAACACAAGTATACATTAAAAAAGATTTTATAGCACTTAATTTACTTATTAAACAACCCTCGAACCAGTTAGGTTCAAATCAAAAAAAGGGTGTTTATGTATGTGACAAAAATTGTTTATTTAATATTTAAAACAAGTGGGGAGCGGAGTAATTTTTAATTCACTACAAACACGTGCTGCGCCCACAACCCACTGTCAAAGCACGCAGTTTGCCGCTAATATTTTCATACATAGTTCAGAGTCAAAGAAGCGTGCGCATTTTAACAAAGATGAAAACATTAAAAACACATTCACACAGAAAACTTTAAACTACTATGGATTTTCTACTTTTTTTTATGCCTATCACTAGTTGAGAAACACTAGATTAATGAATCCATTATAATGCTAAAAATTATGTTGGACTAATTATTGAAAATCTTTAAAATTATAAATATTAAATGTAAGTATGTATGTATTATTTATAAATACATATATATATATATTACAGTGGAACTTAATTTTAGATGAAGAAAAAAAAAGTTAGATAATTTTGATCAAACTCCCATTATTTCATTTATCAATATATGAGAGTGAATTTGGTGATGATAACTCAACCCAAAAAAAAAATAGTCTTGACAAAGTTTAGCATAGCTTTGAAAATGCTTTATTACGTAATAAGTATTTTATTGATTTTATCAGAAATGTTTTAATTTACGAGAAACTTTGTCAAGACATTTTTTTTTTTTATAGACAATTTGATATCCTATAACAAAGGTCTGGTACATTTTTATTTTAATGCAAGTTTTTTAATTAAATTTTAAAAACACATTTAAAATATTTAACTTTATTTTCATTATCTATAAAATAAGAACCACCCTAATACATATATATTGTAATAAATTATTGATTAAAGTGTAATATTTCATAATCACATATATGATAAATAATACATAATAGGAATTTAATTTGAACCTATTTCAAACCTAAATTTAGTTTGACAAAAACTCAAAAATTTATGTTGATGTTCACGTCGAATTGTAAAAGCAGTACATGTAGTAGTCCTACCAAAGGCTTTCGGAATTCGTAGTTCCAATACAGTCCAATTTTTCTTAAAAGGACAATATTTTTCAATTGTATAGATTTTATTACCACCGCCAAACACATAGAGATATCCATTTATAGAAGCAGCACCTATTTTGAAAATATACAAAATTCAAAATTACAATAATTTCTTAATAAAAAGAATAAGCAAATAGTAATTATACTGGTAATTAATTAAAAATCTAACCTGCAGTGTTTCTACCATGCTTTAAGCTAACCACATCTTCCCAAGTATCAGTAATAGGATTATACTTTTCCACTTCTTTTAAAAAAGTACTCACACGTCCTGCACCTCCTATAGCATATATACAATCATTCAATACACAAAGCGAAACACTTCTTCTTTTATATTTCATTGGAGAGACAGTAGTCCACTCAGCCGTTTCTGGGTTATATTTTTCTACTAAATTAGTATCACTTCTTCCAATATTTCCACCAATCTAGTAATCAAAAATTTAAATTTAAAATAAATAAATAAATTTCAACCAAATACTACGGTTTGTAATTATAATTTTAATTAATTAATTTATATTATTTAATCTCTTACAGCATAAATATAACCACCAAAAGCAATAACGCTACAAGAAGTTCTAACATTTGTTGAACACTTCATTTTAAACCATTTATCTTCAACAATATCATAGTATTCACTATTATAATAACACACCTATAAATAATATTAATTAAGTGATAATCATTAAAATTATATTGAATTTGTAATATACCACATAAATTTTACTGCCAATTTGAACAATGTTGTTTTCATTGTGTATTTCATTCATTGGTGTAGTAGTTGTTAGATTTACTTTTCTATCCCCTAATTCTTGAATTACTGCTTTAGAATAATCATCAAAATAAGGGCGTAAAACTGCATTAGTCTGTGAATTCAATAGTTGACAACCAGCTAAATGTATAATGCGGCTATCATTAAGCACATAAGATGCAATACTGGGAATACTTGGAAATCTCAAATCTATATACTTCCATTTTTTTGATATTGCATTAAACAAAAGTGAACGATTATTATTTTCTCCAACTTTATTCAAAATTAAAATATACTGCAACAATATATAAAATTACTCAATTGTAATTAAAATAATAAGAATTAAGTGCAATAAATATAATAATAATAAAAACAAAATACTAATAAAATAAACAATTATAATAGGTAAAATTAAATATATTTACTTCTGAATAATTTGGACGAAATGGAATACTAATAGAGTATGTTAGGTTTAATATAGCATTATTCTCCTGTTGAAGAGCAAAAGCTTTAGATAAATATTTCACACCTGTTAAAATATAAAGATTGATTGAATATATGTCAAGAAATATATTATTTCTAATTTACATTTGCTGTTTAATTTCAGAAATGGTTCCTTTTGAGTTATTGATTTCATAAAAGAAGTAGAAATATTTAGCAAGCGTACATAATTCAACAAGACTGGTAAATGCTTTGTACGATTAGCTAAGTCATGCACTGTCCACTTTAACACAGATTTATACACCTAATCATGATAGAAAAATTATTTATTTATAATTATTACAAGATAAAATTTAAAAAATACATGGATAAGTTCATTAAAAATAAGATAGAATAATAAAGTAAAACAAAATAAATTTACTAAACATAAATTTAAGAATAAACAAATTATAGTAATGATTATTAATTGTATAGTCATAGTATAATTGAGGAAATATTATTAATAACTAGAGATTACAAATTTTTTACTCACTAATTCTTCACTGACGCACAATTCTTCGCTTTTAATAATTTGTAATATTTCTTCAAAAGTAATAAATACAAATTCATCATGTTCAATTACTTTCCTATAGAAAAAAACAATTTTGTATTTAATATAAAGAATAATATAAATTATGAAATTAACAAAATAAAAAAACTAATTGTTTAAGATACTTAAATACTTTTTAGATACTTTTTTGTTTTAGTTACTCAATAAAATGTCAAATAAATAAGTACTGATACTACTGATGGGTGTGTCATTGTTGTAGGTGGGGAAATGGAAGGGTAGGATGCATAAAGCTATTTAATTTATATCTGTAAGCAACAATAAACCATTGCTAACAAAATACGATTCTGAACAAAGTTCAGTCATATATATTTTGAAATACCATAATTTTAAAATTTTTTTGTTAAACTTCTTTTTCTTAGAACTCTTATAAAAAAAAAAAATACTATTACATTAAATTCAACTCTTTTTTACCATCAAGTACAACTTATAATAAACCTACACAAAGAACCTACAAAAAAAAAGAAAAAATGTACTTTAAATGCTTATAAATAGCTTTAAAATCGTCAAGATGTTTTGAAAATTCAATCACGTCTTTATAAAAGGCAAATATAAGTATTTTGTGAAAAATTCAAGTTTCTTTGAATAATTTTAACTAAGTAACAATAAAACAAAATTTAAAATAATGTAACTTTTAGTTTTGTAAACTTACTTCTCCCCTCAATTATTAAACTCGAAAAATCAATAATTATTTTATTACAGAAAACTTTAATAGAAAAAGATTACAAAAATATTATAAATTTACCAAACATTCACTGTGAATGATATTGTTTTGACGATACTACTTATTCGAAATATTATAATCACAAAGATATTTATAACTTTAATACGGCGATAAGACTACATTGTTATGAAAAATAAACATTGATGTTAACATATTATTATAAAATTAAAAATAAACTCATAGCAGCACTCTTATGACAGTGGTGTATTTTAGTATAATTGTTATTATTTTGATTAATATTAAACCAAAATGTGATATAATTTTACAAATAGAAAGATTATGAAGTAGTCTTAAATATATATGATTAGGCCATTCGAAAAAAAATAAGTTCATTAGCAGTTATTTTACTAAAACCAAAAATAAAAAAAATATTTCCGTATATTATATATGGACGCCGTCAAAGTGAACGAAACTGTAATACCACGCACAATATTAAAAATCATCATAACTAGTGAATGGATAGTCACAAACTAATTTCAGTGATATCGCTTTTTTTCATCATACTGTGTAGTATGTACTATAATTTAAGCCAAAAAAAAATTGTTGAGTAAGATAGTCCTTTAAGAAAACAAAAACTCATAAACAAGACACTATCCTTCAGAAATATCCTTTCTTACTTACCAACTAGATTCAAAATGCAGCAAAAAAGGTTATTATTTAATTGAAGCAAGTTTTTGGTAGAAAAATTATTTAATTGCAAAATAAAATAAGCTACGCTCAGAATTAAAAAAAAAAAAAATAATAATAAAAGAAAACACACAGTAAAACCAATTCTTTATTCGCTCCGCTTAGAATCTAAAAAGAGAGAAATAATAAAAAAATTAATGTGGTAATTTTATATTAGTGAATAATTTATGAAAACATACTATGCAACAAGTACATTGAAAAGACAATGCGAAAATTGAGAATAAAATATAAAAAGAGGTTCGAAATATTAATACTTTGCGATATATTCATGACATAGCATTCAGCATAGAAACAGAAATAAATACGGAATACAATTACACAAAAATAAAACTGAGCTTGTTTTACTTAACATAGATTGGATAACGTGCAAATAAAATAAGTGCAATATTTTATATATTAAGGAAGCAATGTAACAAAAAACAAATATACATAATAAGTAATATTGTGCAAGCAAACTAGAACTTTCCAAGATAAAAGCCACAGAATTCATTACTTTATTTTATTATTATTACTATTTGCGTCAGTTTTATATCAGGAAGATACCTTAAAAGATTTATATAAGTAAAAGGTTGTTAGGTAGCAAAACCTGGATAATTCAGTTGAAAAAGGAAATTAGAGGCACCCGAGTAATGGTTTTTAAGAAAAATGCTAAATATAACATGGGTTAAAACAGTAGTTTATCTGTATATAATTATATTTTCTAACATATCTAATAATGTATATTACCTGTAGAGTATGAAAATATATTTCAAACAAAATGAACATAACTCTTGTAACCCTAAGTGTTCTGTTATTTCTTTTATTCCTAGACAATTGTTAGGATTAACTCTTGTTTTAATATAGTTAAAACATTGATTTTGGACTTGTTCATTAAATTGTAGTAAGCAGATTCCATTTAGAATTTCCTAAACAAATTTTTAAAGAACATTATATAATAAGTTACATTAATAAATTTAAAGTAAACAATTAATTCACATGTATATTTTGTTCAGATATGAATAATTTAGATGTATAAATAAAATCAATCAACAGATTTAATATGAATACATCTAATTGTTGAATAACAATTTCTGCGACTCTGGATTCTTTAAATTGGCCATTAAACATTATATTAAAGTATTCACTGTTGGCTGCAAGAACAACTTTATGAGCCCAAATAATATCACCATTTTTGGTTTTAAGTTTAACATCACATAGTTGTTGATTACTATAACAAATTAATTAAATAAGGATGAATTAAATAGATCTTTGTTCAGTGTAACTGAATAAAATTACCTCCTCATTTCATTAAATTTACTGAAGCACTTTTCATATAATCCTTCGCAAACTACAAAATCTCTATTTACTGGATATTTTTTTTTATCGTCTATAACCATGTTTGGCGAAAGTCTAAAAAAAAATAACCAAGTTTAAATTGAGATTAATACCATGTAAACAAAATTACTTTTTAAAAATGAAAAAAAGTGGATTATATTACCTTCTTCTCTTCGAAACAGAATGCATTTTTAGTTTCAAACTCTTAACACTAGGCAGTTGACTGTTCTTGTAAATGATATACCTGTATATGTATTAGGTATTATTAATTATTTAACCATGAGTAATGAAACAACGAGGAAAAACTAAGAATACCATACCTAATGAAAATAACTATATTAAATTATAATAAAATATAATGTGGACTAAATTTGAAACATTTTATATTATAAGAAAAATTAATTTAATATTTTTGTATCTAGTAGACACTGTCTACAATCGTCAATAAAGTTATGTATTTATTAATTTACTTAATAATCTATGTATTTATTTAGATAATATAATATAAGATGGCCGTATTAACAATGGCTAAAATGCATTCATGGAAAAGATGATGTATATGCTTGCAAATATCGTATCAACTCGCGCACTCAATGACTGGCATTTTCTCTGGGAGCATTTAAATACAGGAATGAACCACTAATAGTGCGCATGTATAACGTAGATAACATGTTGATTATCATTTATCAGTAACAACCGACAAACTATGAGGCAATCACTACAGCTCGGAGGATCATATTATCACTATATCACTATACCACATTACCACATTTATATTACACAAGTTGTAAGAAGGTTCTTGTCAAAAATATACTTTGATATTACTGATGATAATGTTGTAATATATTGTAATTTATTAGTGCTTTGCCCAAAATGATAAATTTAAAATATATTTTGTTAACTTAAAAAAAATTAAACTTTTCTGAATGAAAAATAGTCACAAGTAAAGAATAAATATACATTGTAAGTAACTAAAATTAATAAATTAGTAACTGTGATCAAATTGTGTGTGTACATTTTGAATAGCTGTAAGAGGATTTTTCAGACATTGTTTGATGTTAGTGTTCTCTGGATATGTTGGTTTCACTAAGCCACTAGTATGTTTAATTGATTTTATGTTTGAAAAAATCTTCTTTATTGATCAACTTTCTTATTGACTGGTGTCAATTTTGTTTCTCCCTTAGCCTCAAACTTCTCAAATTTATCCAAACAACGATCAAGAGATTTTATAATTTGACTTTTTATTTCACTGCTGTAGTGATATTTTGGAGAAAATTAACTCACTAGTGTCTCTATTTTACATCGAATATTGTAATTATCATGAATGTCTGATGAGGAAATGTTATTGAATATTAATACTAAAATGTCAATATTCTGAGTAATCCTATCACTAAGCTTAATATTATTTTCAAAACAAGGGGAAACTCCAGATTTAGCTGTAAGAATATCATTGGACATCAAAGATAGACACAGTAGCTTTTTAACCACAAGTTCCAAATATAACTTCCATAATTTTCTATAAAGTTGAAAACAATTTATTAAATAAAGGCAATACATTAAATACATATCAAACATTAAATTCTAGAAATTCTATTAAAATTCGATCAGTATTATTTTATATAATTCTTTTATTGATAATTGATCATATAATTATTTTAAATTCACAATCTATTTCTTTTTTTAAATAGATTTTCCTTGTGATATTTGTAATAAAACTTTCAAAAAAAAATCCACAAGGTAGAAATTATTATTCTTGAAAAATAATATTTTTCAAATTGTAGGTATTAATTGCTTTGACCTTAATTTTAAAAATAAAAAACTTAATTGATTCTTTAAGTTCTGAGCATGGCGTGTCGATCAATAAGGAAATTGTACAATTAAATAATATAGGAATATTCTGAGGTTATTTCACTATATTAATATTTGTTTAAATAAAACTTATTTATTTTACTTTATTATACATATTTATTCAAAATTATAATTTGCCGTTGATAAGCGTTAATCAACATGTTATCTATGTAACATGCATGAAAGTGCAATGCGCATGAATATTACACTGTATGTTCCTGTATTTAAACCATAGTGTTACTCTATGATTTAAACCTTAGATCATAATATGTTCATCATAGTATATGATTTAAGATTTAAACGCTCTTCTTTCCATACATAGACACATATCTCTTATCAACATTTATAAGTGACAAGTGTGGTTGAAAACAGTTTTGCTTTGCACATTTTATAAAATTTGAAAATCATTTTTAATAAGAGTATAAGATTTATCCACTAATCTACAGCAATTAATGTGAAGGGATACAGACATACAACTGCTTTTACAGATAAATATGACTAATAAGCACTAAGTGTGGAAAATTGGACATAGTTCACAATGTAAGATTACAATTTCTAAAGCATGTATAGATTTATTGACAAATTGTCTAGATTATTCTGGAAATTAATTTTCAATTAAACACAGTGCTAAATCATGTTCCACAAAGATCTGCCAAATTTACCTTTGTTTTATTAAATATTTTATTTAAATTACTGTTATACATTGTTTTATTGTTTTAATTTTAATTTGAATTATAAAGACTTGATATAAAAATGTACAAGTTCCTTCTATTTTTTAATCAAGATAACTGTAGACACATATTTAAAAAAAATTTTGGCGATTAAAACTTTTATTATATTAGTATATAATTAATTCAATTTTGCAAAAATAGTTCCACAATGTCAAATGACTTAAATTTTGTACAAATATCGTACTTTAGTAAGTATTTAAATGCCTTAGTTATAAAGCTTATTACATAGTAAATTCAAATTTAAACAATAATTGACTGTTGTGGATACACAATTTAAACAGATAATTTGATACAAAATTAAAATAAAAAAATAATAAATTTAACATTGCAAATCCAATTGTAACAATAATAATAGCAAACAAATTTGTAATTGTAAAAATAACCTTGTAAAATCAATAAGCAAATATCACTTCTCCAGTACCTTAATGCAATATAACATATTATCTTGTTTGAAAAATATATATCAACTTATTGAAAATATTTAATTTTATTATAAATTTATGTATAAAAATAGTATTATAAACATTATTTTGCACGATTCTTATAATCTTGATTTTCAGATACAAAAAAAAAAATAGATTTACAATAATAATTTAAAAACATTTCAAAAACTAACACATTTCATGAGTTATTATAAATAAGATATTTAGTTTATCAAAAGACACTTAAAAATCTGATTGACAAAATATATAATATAATGTATACAATAAATTAGTATACAGTTTTAGGCAAAGTTTAATTGATCAGTTTTAATTATATTAATGATTAATTGAATTCAACTTGGCGCGAGATTTTTTTTCATCGCTTGAATCACTAGTGTCAAACCCAGAATCTTCAAAATATGCTTTGGAACACAACGATTGAGTGCGCCGTGATATCACACAGTCTATAAGTTTACCAAAAAAGTCCGGGAATCCATCATAACCTAAGAAAACAACATTATAGTATTTACTATTTATAATTAAAATAATTTTGTTGTTTCTTAAAAAATAACCACTTTACCAGGATAGGCATTAATATCAATAATTGCATGTCGATTTGTATTATTTTCCACAACAATATCAACCCCATACAGAGACATATTTAAATAACTACCCAATGTTTTGACAATAGAATGTAATTTTATTGGATCTACAGATGATTTTTTGGCACTTTCAGATGGGTCAAGTACACTAAGTTCACTACTTGAATCTGATTTTGACACGGAATGGCTGTCAAAAGTTATTGTATCTCGATCAACTAAAATAAAACAATAAATTATGAATACAAATATTTAAAGATTTGTTTTTAGTTAAATACTTTACCGTTTGAAGTATAGAAATTTTTCAATGATGGCCTTTCTACCAATTGATAATGATCCCCAACAACATAAAGTTTGTATAAAATTGCATTATGATTAATAAATGATTGAGCAACACATGGGGGTTTACAATCAGCTACACCTCGTTCATTGAAAATTACAGACATCTAGAAAAGTAAACATGCATTTGTATTTATTCATAAGTATGTATATGCAATGGCAGATATAAGAGAAGGGAGACAGGGCAATTACCCCACCCTAGGACTGTGTTTATTTAACGCAATTCTTGTATTCAAAAATTGTTAAATATCCTCCCTAGAATAACCACTGGATCTGCCACTGTATGTATATTTGACCAAAGATATATTATATTCAATTATTTTGTTCACCTGATGACAGTATGTTGTTCCTTGAGCCACAAACGGCTTACAAACTAAAATAAAAAATATTTGTTACATTGTTAAAAAAATATTTATACTTTAATAAAAAGCTTACTGAAAGGAAACGTTACTCTAGCATTTTTTAGCTTTATAATATTCTCTTTCACATCATTTGAAAGAATTTCCACGAATGTTGGCGTAAAAACATCTAACAAATACAATAGACAAATATAATTACAGTTGAATTCATAAGTTTACAAAGTGTTCAAATTAAAAATAATAATGTTATGAGAAAATAACATAAACTGTCATTTTTGATAAGGGCCTTGACTGGGAAATTTTTAGGTAATATTAAAAGTATTATTACAACAACAAAAATGTGTTTAATTACAGTTAAACTAATTAGATTCACATTGGGTCATTATAAATAATAACAAAAACAAATTTAATGATGTATACCACTAGAAAAGGTTAGTATCCATTGGTTAATTTTAAATTAGATTTTGTTATACAATTATATGCATATATTTTAAGTTGTGAAAAGTAATTTGACCACACTAATACAGACTAGAAAAATATGTGTTTTCTATAAAATAATCTAAATCTTACTAACATTACTAAATCAAAAGTTTGATTGTTATCCTTTTACACCAAAATACTGAACGGGTTGAGCTGACACTTTAAATAAATATAGATCTTAACTAGGAATAACATATAGGCTACTCCCCTTCTCTAAGATTTCAATCCCTAAACACAGGACTACTGGTATTTTTAGTACAAAAAACTAATTATTTTTATTGATTTATAGGTTACTATGAAAGGTTAAAACAAAAAAATAAATATAATTTTATTTGACACACGCAATGATGAGCAAAATAGCTAGTAAAGATATAAAACTTTGTAGAAATAAATATTGGAAAAAAATCTAGTACATTACAGGTGTTTTGTTCATTGTAACTATGCGCCTCGAACAGAATACTGCTTATGGATGCTGTTGACAGCAGGAAGTTCAAGAAGTAGGATATAAAGGGGATTTTAATTTATATCTGTACAAATATTTTTTTACCAAACAAAATAATTTTTGAATTTATCTATTATTGTTAAACATTATAACAATGATTCAGATGATTAACAGTGTTTACACTCATCTTGTTTGTCTAATTTTATTGTAAAATTTGAGGTTTGTATTACTTTAAATTTTAAAGGGACCATTTAACTATTATAGTATGGGACGAATATGCATAGTAAAACAAAATATTAATGAACTGTTCCTACTAAAGAATTTAAAAAATATAAAATTACAAACCTAAACTACCATCAATATTTAATTTTCTATCTACATGGAAATTTAAATTTACATATACAGATTGAATTTTTAGTCATGAACCAGCAATTATCTCAGAGGATTTTAAGTGAATTTGATTTTTGTTTTTTTTTTTTTTTCTAATCATTGTGGAATTGTTTAAAACCATTTTTAATTGTTTACCTCTACTTTGTATGCCTAAAGAAAGTACATACTTTTGATTTTTAAATAAGAACCCCCTCCCTTCTGAACACTGATTTAAATAGAGAATATTTTTCTAAAAATGTTGACATGCATAACACTAATATCAGATTAACCGTTTATGAGTTATAATAGTTTAAAATTTAGACCTGAGGAGTGGGAAAAGTAATAAATTGCCTATCTATAACCCTTCCCAACTCCTTCGAACAAATTGTTTAACTATTATAACTCATTAACAGTTAATCTGATATTAGTGTTATGCATATCAAAATTTCTAGAAAAATATTCCCTTTTCAAATCTTTGTTCAAAAAAGGGGGAAAAAAGGGTTCCTATTTGAAAAATCTTAATTATTTGCTTATTTAAAGTACATAGAGTAGCGGTAAAATTTTTAAATAGTTTAAAAATAAAGCTTAAACAGTTCTATAATAATTAGAAAACCAGAATTTAAATTAACTTAAAAAAATCAGAGATAATTGCTGGTTCATGAAAAAAAAAAATCAACCTGTATATGTATTAATCAATACATTTAACACAGTTTACTGAACTATTAGGTTAAAAACCTTGTATTATTGAAAAAAACATCACTCTTGCACAGCTAAGATCTTAAATGTATACAATAATTATTCATTTTATTATTCTATTTAATATGTTTCAGTTATAAATAAGTTATAAAAAAAACTGTTATCAAAAATTTAATTTATAATACCAAAAAAATTATAACTATTGTCAATTTTAAATACAATTTACAACATATATTAATTTAACTTGTAAATACAAATAAAATCATAAATATAGCATTCATTATGATTAATAAATAACTTCAGAGTAAATTGTGTGGAAAAATAAAATTTGCATTTAAATTTAAAATCATAGGCTATGGCAATTAGCCAAATGGATTTGGCAACATTTTAAATTAGTTACCAGTTACCACTAATAAATCTTTTTATGTGATATTAGTTCACATATAATATCACCAAACTAAACATTATATTAGTACCAACATAACATACAAATATACCTAATATATTTATTTAATTGACTAAATTTAACATTGAATAATTGTTTATTATACTATTCTCATAAAGCAAGCACACATTAACAGTTATTATTTTATAAATGTCATTAAAGTATATTGTGTTTAATTAACAGAGTTAAATGGGTTTTATTTCACTACATTTAAAAATATTATAGTGGTATATAATGAATTTTAAGAACAAATTAAAATTGTTGTGCAGTAAATACTACAAAACAAAATGATTAGTTGTAGATCCCTTCCCTGAAAATATATAAATAACAACACTACACATTTATACCTTAGAACGATTTGTCAATGTTAGTGCCAACAATCTACACTCTAATATACTAAAAGACAGACCTCTTACACTTGCATTATTAAGTACTTATATTCTTTCTATATAGTTTTACTATGTCATATATGCCCCAGGTCAAGGTCCTCTATTTAGTGTGATATTGTAAGCGAACCAAAATAATTTAGACAACTTAAAATACCTAGTTACAATAATAATTGTATATTGGTGTACCAATATTGTTCAAGCCGGTGTTCAACACGACATTATACGTCTTGTATCGATCGAGTAGAGTGCGTACACTTTCTAATGGATCAATGATTAATACTTTCGGATTATCCTTTATATATTGTTCAATTCTATCTATGATTTGAATAGCCTTTAAGAAAAAAAATACAGTTTTTTGTTAATACAACATAAAGAAAAATAACCTAGATACCAACATACCTGTTCATCATTTCTGGCAATTATTTCAGTAAGTTTGTGTACAATAACAGCAAAAGGTCCTTGATCTTCCAATGGTTTATCTAGATCCAACTGGAAAATAATATTTTTTTATTTTATCATTTAAGTTCTAGGCACATAATTTTTAGTTCAAAATTATAATTATTATTAATATATGATATCATATCATATCAAATGTTGGTTATACCACCACTAACTAGGCAATGTGTTTTAAATTTTTCTTTATATATTTTAATTAAACTTCAAGACAAATAACTATACATTTCTACATTACAAAAATTCTAATAATATACTAGAACTACACAAATTGAAGTAGATAATATAAATTTGTTCAATGCATTAAGTTTAATAAATATTTAAATCCAATATATTATTTCTAGAAGTAAAAGTAAAAATACTTTTAATCCATGTACCAGTCAGATTTTAATGAATATCATCTACAACATTCCCTAATATTGGTTTAATATTAGTTCATACACAGTTTGAATTTCTAGAACACCTTATTATCTTAAATGTTTATTTTTATTAAATCAAACAAAAGTCTTGGTAAATGTTATATTGGTAGAGATTGTACCTATACATATAAAAGCTCTTTAAAATTTATATGCTCCTTCTTTAGTTCATCAACTAAATCAAAATCGATCAAAATAAAATAGATAATCTATTATATTAGACTATGGTAAAATGCAATGCATTGATATTTGAATATTACACTAATCAATTAAGTTTTTTAACAAGTAATTTTTTTTTTTTAACAAAATCCGTTCTTAAGTGGTTTTTCTTTTAAGATAATTATTAAAATAAATTATATTATTAGTTTTTAAATGAAAAATATTTTATCAGTAGAGAAAAATTAATTATTATGAAAGTTATACTATATGATATATATTGATAAGAAGTAATAAATTAATTAATTAAAACAATTAAAATATGATATTGAAAACAAAATATTCATGCCCCAAATAATAAACTGGACAAAATATAATTGAATGTTTTATCAAAAGAAACAAAATATTTGAATTAATTTATTATCAAACAAGAGGTAAGTAGATGATAGAGAATAATTGAGGAAGGCTGCAAATCAATCTATATATTGATAACTACAAAGAAAGAGAGATTCAAATATGTAAGAAAATGTTATGCATTGAACTAAACAGTGTTACAAAAATATTTTATAGACTTGAAGAATTAAACACTAATTTAATTAAACGAATAAATATTTTTTTTAAAAATTAGTTCTTACTTAAATACAAATTTAAAATAAACCGATGTGTTTGTATTTTATAAAATGCAATCACTTCAAATACATTTTATAATGCATTAATACCACAAAAAATATATTTTAATTTATGTGAGGATGACTTTAATGCTAGAAAATATTTGAACTCATTAGTTATTTTATACTATCACAAAAAACAACCCCCAATTAAATACAGGACATATTTGAATAACTCATGTAAATAATAAAATAATTTCTTACTTTCACTAATTCATATCCATGCTGCCTGTAAAAAATAAAACAAAATTACTAATAATCATCTAAACATTGATAAAATATTATTATAATGTAACATAATTGTAGACTGTTAAATACTAGTGACTGTGGCAAACACAAGAAAATGTTGGGGTTTCAAACTTCCTCCAAAATATAAATTACTTTTTAATTTGTATTTAAATTAATTACAGCAATGAGATAGATACTTTTTCACCCCTTCCCTCCGCATCCATTACCCTTGTTTGTAGAACATTGATTTAAAAAATGACATATATTTCTATGTAATTGTCAACTCTTTAGGTATTTTGAGATCTTAATGTGTTAAAATTATAATACAATTAGTAATTTAGGTATGCCTATATTTGGTTTTATATTCAATGTAAACTTGATATTTTAAATGTACTTTGTATAATTTAAATTTAATTATTTAAATTATAAAACCAGTTTAATTTAAAATTACATTATTTTCTTACATATTGTGTAATATTATTTCAACTTATTTCTATATGATATTAAAAAGGAAAAAAGTAGTCTATGAACATGTTCAGATACATGAAGTATATAATTACATTGAATATAATTTGATTTCAATAAAATATAATTTCTAAAGTGAATAGTTTAAAATGGTATTTTTAAAAGAAATTAAATTATTAATCACTTTTTTAATAATATGTTTTATATAGGTATTAGGTAGATACTAGGTACCTAGTACAGTGTCATTCGTTTTATTTATTTTTTAAATAGTTGGTACAGTATGCAGTACCTAATTATTTAAAACTAATATAAGTAGGTACTAAAATGCATTTATGATTTCTATCATGAGTGAAACTCTACATATTTTCCATAGTTAAAAAATGGTTATTACCATGGAATTTTTAAAACCAAATTTATATATGAATACTAAATTTAATAAATATAATAAATATTTAGATATTTCGGTTTACTAAGATTTCTAATAGGTATGTAACAAATATTGGTAATCCTTCTATAACTTGGAAACTCAAGTATGTTTCTTATTTCACTTATATATATATATATATATATATGTTTTAATTTCACTTTTTAGTTATTCAATAATCTCTCTATACAACAATAGCTATTTATAAACTTATACATATATGTGTATGAGTTATATTAACAAGATGCCGGTAATTTTTTAACGAGCCATATAAAATTTCCCATAATAGGTACTTCCCAACACATTTTAAATAGGTAATGATATTACCTATTATGTAATGTAGATATTTACAGAGATATTATATATTATTGAAATAAAACCTCATTATAATGTTTCTTGTTTTTTTATAAATGAATGTGTATTCTTACGAATGACAATACCTATTTAGATTTTTGAGAAAAATTAAAAATTTGATAGAAAATGAAAAGAAATTATTCCACATTCAACAATAAAGTTAGAAATTATTGTTATATTTCTGCTAATGGAAATACTTTGTGTATTTATACAGTAAAAAATCTTGAAAATGATTTTAACAATATTTACTTTTGCAATAAAATTGTTTTGTTTAAACAAAATATAAATAGGTATTTAACTGGATTAATTAGAACAATATAATATTAAGTTCTTGATTATAGTTTATAACTAATCAGGTGTTTAATTAAGAATTATTTATTTTGGTGTAAAAATCTATTTTGTATTTTTATTTTGAAATTCTGAATCAGTACCATATTCTATTGAAATAGTACAACCATTATCAGTTATAATTTTATTTAAATGGTTAATGGGACAAATCAAAACTAAATCAAAAATAAAATATTAAATACCTTTTTCTTGATTATAATTATTTTAATTTTTCACTTAGCATGTATATGAATATTTACATATTCATTAAATGTCAGTATACAGGTATAAAATTGGTTTCTAAACAAATATAAACTGCTAAACGACGTACTGCATACAAAGTAAATAGTACCTACCTAATCATAGGTACCTAATATCATAATATTGTATTAATCATACCACATATGGTACTTAATATTAGTAATAAATATTTTACCTGCACACTTTGCCGAATTCAATCCAATTGAGTTTCTGACTCTTGCGGTCAGACATCCAATAGCCAATGACCATTGGAGATGGAAGCTTTTCGTTTTCAGTCATTTCAACACCTTCTCAAGTGGCAACGCTGATACCGAAGTCGTTGGTTGACAGGAACTACAAGTCACGTGCGTTCAACTCATATATCCGCAGGCAAATAAAACAAATTCGTCATTTTGAAACGAAAATGTATATTTTTTAACAGAAAAATACTCGTTGGGAAACAACAGTAATCACATTCGAAGGCCGTTTACCGCCCATTGCCTTGTTGTGTTACCTGATAGTTACTTGCAGTACGAACGGTCTGTAGTTGCAACAATGGTTTCACTTTTTTTCCTCGGCCTTATCACAATTATTTTTAATATTATAATACAAAATAAGTACAAAATAGTGAATAATTTTGATAATATTATAATATTATTACACATTTATAAATACATTTATGTTTGGGATGATATTCCGGTGTGATAACGATCAACTGTGTATGTGTGTGGGTGCGTGTGGTATTCTACAGTTCTACAAAAATGATCGCATACGATCACGGTTATTGATTCACCATAATTTTGTTCTATGGTGCTCAATTTGCTTATCATTTTTTTATTATTTTAACCACTCCATTTGAACAGTCTGCAGATACTACAAAAAGATCTCATGAAGGATTTCATTAATTTATTATGTTTTCATTCATATACATTTTATGGTGATTCCTAAGTATAAAAAAAATCCGATATTCAGTATTATTTTTAATATTTAATTGAATGCAAATTACCTATCTCTTTAATACAGTAATATGTTTTATATAGTTATATGGTAATTTAATCTATGATGGTATCTTTATTCTTTAACCGTGATCAGGAGTACCGTATTTTAACAGGTTACCAAAATGGTAACCTGATATTTGTAATTTTTTGAACTAAATTAGGTATATTTCTTTACACGATTAATAGGTATTCTTAGATGATTTTTATTTTATAATAATGTAGGCCAAAATATTATAGGTACCTATTTAAATTTATTATCAAAAAAACTGTTTTTCGTGGCAAGTGTTGTCACCGGATTTATGTAGTCCGCTACTATTTGTTTAGAATTTAGGAAATATTAAACGTATAATTTTGTGGTATAATCATAAGTAATGGTGACTTCTCTCCTCAAATAATTTTGTATAATGTCCTTGTTAGATTTAACCGGTTATATGACGTGTAAATCGTCACCACATCCTTGTATCTACGTCCCATAGATGATATCTGTGTGGAATTTTTATCGTCAGTCGAAAACGAATTTGCAATTTTTTTTAAGTAATTTCATTGCCAATTTCCATTGATAATATCCGAAATCTATTGCCAAAAACTCGGATGACCTCGGTCGACTTCTGGTTGACCTTTTGAAGTCGAATAGTCTGCAGATTTTTCAGACAAAATATTTTACACTAGATGCCCCTTTCTTATTCTTCTTCGGGTGAAACCCAAATGTTAACAGTCCACTGTCCACAACTATGTTTAGATATTACATGTTTCTTTGCACCAAAAACATATTTTGTCGTTAATGTTATCACGAGTAATAAAATGATGTCAGCTACTCAGCTGTTATTTTTTTTTTCAATATTAGATATATTCTTCAAAACTTGATGTACAACCACGAATATAAATACAAAATATATTTTAATTCGTGTTTACAACTAAAATAGATGTTCCATATACTATCTATTTCAGACCATTGATTAATGATTTCCCTCCAAATTATGTTTATGTGATTACTGATTGGTCATGTTATCAAACCGGATAGTTACAGTTTTCAGATAATCAATAAGAGGCCGGTCACAATATTTCAACGTTGCCAATCTATACAAAAAAAAAAATGTTTAAATTGTAGGGTTTATTCACAACTGCTAACTTATCTCTCCTAAAGTATTATAGCATAGATATATATATAATAATTATTATATATATTTATGTATTATTGTACCATATTATAGTATTTCGTATTTTTCCATAACCCTATATTGGCGATAACCGATAAGCACCTAATTCCAATACGGCTATACATCAATAAGTTATAGACTGGTGTTATACCAATTAAAGGTACTCTCACCCACAATGCTTTTCATTTTTTCTTGTAACCTATCCGATGTGGTTTTGCACAACAAATCAAAGGTTATTTTCGATTTACATTGTCCGAGTGAACGTAGCGAGCGAGTGATCATCTTGAATTTTTAGTTCCACCTATAATGCTTTTTGAATTTTTCTTACCACTCACACAACGTGGTTTTGCATAAGACCGGTCATCATAAATACATAATTTGAAACGAAATTTTTTTCTGCGTTGTTGGTGTAACTACATTTTTAATTCATTTTTTTCCTTAACGTTGGTGTTCATACAGACCGGATATGCCTTACGATCTCTTATCATTTTTCTGAAAACTGTTTGCTTCTTAGATCTAATCCTTAGATTATACCTTAGAGTAATAAAACTATAGACTGTATTATTATACAATATGCATATGATACTGAGCATAATTGAACGCTATTATACACCTTTTGCAACTCTAGTAAACACTAGATGACGTTGCTGACAGTTCAATAAAATGATAAATACCTAGGTACATGATTATCCATTCTTAATTCTCATGACTCATAGACATATTAACGTAAGTAATTTAAGTTGGTTAAGTCCTAAATAGTAAATAGGTACCTCTATATTCTCCTAACTTCTTTTAATTAGTTGTTTTTATTTTTTATTTTTCTGTTCTTTTGAGTTTTTTTGTCAAAATCTAAGTATTTTATTATTTAAATTAAATATTTCATTGCATTTAATTATTTCAATCATAGTACACCGTATATGATATATCCGTATGGAAAATAATTAGAATTATGAACCCTCATTAGGTAGACAGCGCAATCAATTTTTAAACGAAGTGTTTACACTTGTATGTAATATATATATATGATTATAATATTAATTACTCTAATATCCACCTTGATCATGGTAGTAAAAAATCCATAATCCATAAATATTGTACAATCTACATAGCATGGTAATTTATTTTTCGTATTATGGTCACACTGAAAGTATCCCGTTTTCACTTCACGTCATGGTGTTAGATACATTGGTTGCACAACTATATAAAATAAATGGACCCTCTCATAATTGCCTTATTATAAGCATGAAGAACTACGAATAAGCGCTCCTTGTGTGCAATTTTAGAAACACGATCCAGTGGACTGTGGAGGATTCCACAATATTATTTTTGTGCAAGATTCCAAATTGCAAGATGCGAAACCACGAATTATACGGAACATTAATGTTATTGTCAAAAATGGTAAATGATATAAAATTATTTTCCTTATTTGGAACAACAGACACACCAATTTCGCCATACCTGCATCATTTGGAATTTTTTGTTTTGGCTGTGGCAAAAATGTATTTAATAAGTTTACACTGTGTAACACTTATATCAGAATTAGTTAATGACTGCTATAAAGAAATTCCTGAAGCTTTTTGCGTCTGAAGATGTGCATCACTTAATGCATTTTTCAACCTTTTTATTTCTTTTATGGTTCTATTAATTTTTTTTTTTTTGTTAACTTATAATAAATAAACCGCTAGTCCACAGCTACAAATTAAAATTATATATACAAATGTATAATTTGTAATTTGTATACTTTTTTATCTTAAGCTGATTGTACACTGATAGGCTAGTGTTTTGGTTTTCTACCAGTGTTCGTTGCAATCTAGACCTGCATAAGTCTCATCGTGTGATATATTTAATGGTTCATCTATTTAAAACGATTTAATATAGGAGTTGTGCAACCATTAAATCTACAAAGTGTTTCACATTTAAAATCTCGAACGAAGATATATCTTACTTCGTGTTTAAAATATGATCATGGCTATAGATAGTATCATCATAATGATATTATCTATAGCCGTGGGCCACCTCTGAATATAATATAGATTATACAGCATAGATATTAAAGATTAATATCTATGATAAAGAGCGGCTGTTCCATGGTAAGTACTTATCATCAGATGGTTTTGTTTGCCAACCATAGACAATAAATTTTTTTATTATCTATACTGCCAACGTGTTCGGATAACATTATCTGGGCAACTTGTGTTATGTTGATATATACAACAGTCGTCATATTCGAGCTGCCACTCACTTTCATTTTTTATCCAAACAACTAATGTATATTTATTGTAGGTACGACCATAGTAAAATTGAAAATATTAATACGTTGTACGTGTTTATAGTATTGTGTTGAATATTTCAATTATTGTTTTTTGAAAATCGTTTGGTAACTACAACTCTGTGGTTACGGTTTTTCGTAATAGCGTATACCTAATAATTCACTTTATAATATTTTCATTTTGTTCAGATGACTTGAACATACTTTACGGACAATGTTTTTATTGAAAACAATTGTCATCTTGTTAACGGTATTGCATATCATTGCGGCACAATGCAATACTGATCAATTTATCGAGTTTAACTGTAAAGATTCAAGCTGTAAGGGTGAGTGCTTTTGAGTACCAACATTGCTAAGCCCTAGACCACAAAGAAAGGGTTAACTTAAAAGTTTTTTTTGAAACTTAACATTCATCTACATTGCCTGTATATATTATGAAATTATTAATATTTATTACATTATAACATAAATTTTAACTATAATATTTAGGTATAATATTTTTAATATGGAAACTATACTAAAACTTATAAGGTCTAATTTTTCTACCAACTGATACATAGGTACATATTAATATAGTTCTACCTGTTACTTGGTTTAGAACATAGAAAAAAAAAATGTATGATAAAGTGTACTACACATTCCACCTATGCACAATAAATAATTTGAACCTTTGTAGATAAGATTAGATTTACCTTAATCAAACTAATTATATGTTTTTTTATCTTAGATGGAGATACAACAGGTAAAATGAAAACCAATTTAGGAAAATTAATTGATGTAACAATTATTGGTTATTCTGTTGACAAATTCTTAGTAAAATATAAGGTAATGATTAAACAAATAGATAATAACTTTTAATTTAGTTTTAATCATGTGTGTTCTATTTGTTTTCCTAGGATTCATTTTCGATAATTAAACATTCTGAAATTCATAGATCCGATTTTTCAAAAATGAAATTTAAAGAATATAATTTTAAAGTAAATATTCATAATACGACTTACAAAACTTGTGAATCAAGCAATCAAAATAATGATAGTCCTAATGATTCAAATATTGCTCAAATTAGTAAAAATGTTGATACACATCATATGAATAATATTAGTCAGAATGCAAAATTTAGTAAAGATGAAATCACAAAAAATCAAAATCAAAATAGTGAAACAGATTCCATCCATGGATTTGTTAAAAAAGATAACTCAGATGAAAGTATACCGATTAAAAACTCGGAAGATGAACCAGAAGATAACACTACCAAAACAAGCTTGTCTACAAAAAATTTGAATGCTGACGATGATTTCTCAAAAGAAACAAATCAAATGAATATTGCTAAATCAACAAATTCTCAAAAATTTGAAAACGATTCTTCAACTAAATGCCCTTTAGGTTCATGTGATACACATGCTGCAGAAAATATTATTCCAGTTAATGAGGATAATTTACATCAAAAACAAAATAATCATAAATCAAGTGCTCAATATGATGAGAAAATAGAAAGCTTAAAAAAAGAATCAGTTATTAATGTACAACAGCAAAATACTAAAATAAATGGTTTACCGGATAGTGACTATAATATAGATGAATCAAATATTTCAATTTCTAATGAACGAAAAAATATAGAGAATTCAGGAAGCATTGAAACATCACAAAATGACGAGAATGCAGATACATCAAAAGAACCAGGTAATAATGAACAACAACAAAATTATAAAACTGATGGTTTACCAGATATTGACAATAATACAGATGAATCAAATATTTCAATTCCCAAAGAACAAAAAAATGTTCAGAATCCAGGAAGCATTAAAACCTCACTAAATGATGAGAATTTAGATACATCAAAAAAACCAGGTAACAATGGACAACTGCAAAATTATAAAATAGATGGTTTACCGGATAGTGACAATAATACAGATGAATTAAATATTTTAATTTCTAATAAACAAAAAATTGTTCAGAATCTAGAAAGCATTGAAACATCACAATCTGGTGAGAAGGTGAATACAACAAAAGAACCAGGTAATAATGAACAACAACAAAATTATAAAACAGATGGTTTACCAGATATTGACAATAATACAGATGAATCAAATATTTCAATTCCCAAAGAACAAAAAATTGTTCAGAATCTAGAAAGCATTAAAACCTCACAAAATGATGAGAATGCAGATACATCAAAAAAACCAGGTAACAATGGACAACTGCAAAATTATAAAATAGATGGTTTATCGGATAGTGACAATAATACAGATGAATTAAATATTTCAATTTCTAATAAACAAATATTTCAATTTCTAATAAACAAAAAATTGTTCAGAATCTAGAAAGCATTGAAACATCACATTTCAATTTCTAATAAACAAAAAATTGTTCAGAAAATTTCTAATAAACAAAAAATTGTTCAGAATCTAGAAAGCACAAAAAATTGTTCAGAATCTAGAAAGCATTGAAACATCACAAAATGGCGTGCAGGTGAATACAACAAAAGAACCAGGTAATAATGAACAACAACAAAATTATAAAACAGATGGTTTACCGGATATTGACAATAATACAGATGAATCAAATATTTCAATTTCTAATGAACGAAAAAATGTCGAATTAAATACACCAATGGATGAGAAAACCGAAAGCCCTAAAGGATTCATGAATAATGTACATCCCCAAAACTCTAAAATTAATAGCTCTCCACAAGACATCACTGAAGTAGACAATGAAAATTTAGGAAAGACAAAAGATTCTCCTATTAAAAAGAAATTAAAACAAGTTGAATCTATAAGTATTGTTGCATCTTTTGGTCACCCTGATACCTGCAGTGGAGTTAACTGTCTCAAAAATAAGAAAAATGCATTTAAACCGGTCCATATTTTAAATCCTATACCTAAACAAGTAAACCTGGAGGATACTTCTCATTTAACAATTACTGACTTTGAAAAACAAAAAAAATATGATATTAGTGATAAAATAACTACTGAAAAATCGAGTGTAGAAAGTTTCAGTGATCATATTATAAATGGGCTATTTTCACCTACATCAAATTCATTCAATTTTCTATGGAACATGTTTGGTGATTATTCTAATGAATATAATGGTGAGTAATAATTAATTATTGTAATCTTATAATAAAATAAAAATCTAATGTTACCAATGACATCAAAATCTAAAATAATATGTGTGATATGAAATATTGTATATTCTATCACAGAAATAAAATATTCATTAATTTTAGATTAAATTCTAGTAAAGAAGCTATTGTTCTTACTAAAATGTCTTTCTTTTTTTTATACCTTAAAATTTTAAGGATTTTTTTAGTGTAGTAAGTAATTAGAAAAATAATGTGTATGGCCCTTACAATTTCTATAAAGTATACAAATAAACAAATTTCAATATATAGATTTTATTTTGGTAAACTAAATTACCCTGTAGATATTGCCTTCTTATCTACTCACCTACAATAGTAGTCTATGTGTGATTTGTACATGTTTTTTTTTTTTTGATTAAGGGCAACTATTTCAAAATGATAATCCAATAGATTTAATTTGTATAGTGTTAAATTAATTATTTTTACTTATTTGTTTTATAATGTGGGACAAGCTTTAAGTACATGTGGCTATACAATTTAATATTATATATGAAGTGAGGGGTCCAAGTTGACGGCACTTATAATGTGGAAAGTTACAGTTAACCAAGTTATTTGTAGAAAAGTGTGAGATAAGGAAAAAGTAGAGAAGAGCAGTTGAGACTGAGAGATTTGTATTCTAGTGATTGATTTAAATAACATATTTTATACATTTTCATAAATTAATTAAAATATTTGTATTCTACTGAGCAAAGTAATCCATTATTGTGATGTTATTTTAAAATAAAAAATCTGTGAGAACAAGTCAATTACTAATAAGTAACTATATTCAAATATATAATAAAAATTAAGCATTGTATAAAGTAAAAATAAACCATATTCAGAAAATTGTTTTAATATGGGCTACTAATTAAAAGTTTATATTATTACAGATAAATATCCTGACCAAAGTCAAGAAAATCAAGTGGGTTTATAGATATTATTAATAACTAATTATTACAATTTATTATTTAAACTAGCTAAACTAATACTGTTGAAAAATTATTTTTTAGAAAATGTTTGAATACAAAGAACAAACGAATAATTCAGAACTGTATTTTGTTATTGCGGATTTAGTAACAATACTAATTGTAGTATTTTTAATATTTCATTATAAATATCAAGTAATTACATACATTCAATTAATTATACCCACAAATATTCAGTAATTTAAAACTATATAGTTTAATTAAAATTAAAATTATTTCATCACTTTAAATTTATAAATCTTTGTGGAACATTGGGCCTAAGTTAATTATTATTTTTTTTTTTTTAATAACACAAAATTCAATTTAAACATAATGAAACAAACAATTTGTTATATGATTTGTATTTATATCATTTCATTTTATTTAATATATGCACCCTGAATTTGAGTATAAAGTCAGTACAACTATATATATAATTAATTTATATATTTATTTGTGTTTTTATTAGAAAGGAACACATGCAAATGATTTATTAACTTCGTTGGCGGCCAAAGATCAGTACTTGTTAATTATAGAAAAAGAATTATCATTATTGAAAGAACAGAGAGTTGGAATTAATACGAAATCAGTGAGTTTCTTATTATAATTAATTATATACTTGTAAATATATTTGAATGATTTATTTGGTTTTTAGATAGAAACAATTTCTGAAATTGAATCCTTGAATGAACAATTGGCTAAATCAGAGGTGGTTATTTTATATTTTTTAAATTTTGTTAAGTCTATACTTTATTATAAAATGTTTGATTATAAATAATCATTTTTTATTCAGGATATAATATCAACTCAAGAATTCCGTATTCAAAAACTTGAACAAGAAGTTGAAGAATTAACTGAGAGTGGTATGGAAATGCATGCATTATTGTCTTCCGCATTAGAATCTAGTTCTAAAAATAATGAGAAATATAGTGCTCTTAAAGAAAAATTGGTTGATTCTCAAAATTTGGTAACAGCTCTTACTAAAAAGGTAGTTTCATTTTTTTTTTCTTTTAATAATTACTATTCAGTATTGTAAAGTTTTAATAATATATAGTCTATAAATATTGTTTATGTTCTTTTCATCTAGAATTTTAACAAAACTACAGAATTAGAAAAAAAAAATGATATTATAAAAACTCTTCAAACTACAGTTGATGAACTAACAAACAAAAATATTTGTTTGGTTGAAGATAATACTAAAATATCTTTCCAAAAAGATCAAGTGAGTAAAAATATTATTACTTTACGAGATTGTTTTTTTTACTATCAATTATAACAAATATAACCAGAAATAGAAAAAAAAATGTTTTGTCATTAAGTTTACAACTGGTGAAATATTAACTACAATGGTTTTCAGTTTTTTTTTTTCGAACATTATTAAATTGTTAAATGCTTTAATGATTTAATATATAATATCTGTATAATGTTACCCTTATTTTGTATACCCTAAATATATAAACTATTCAATTTTAAATAGCAACATTTGTTTCTTAACTGCAATTCAAAATATAATATAATATTTTTCTAAAAAAGTATTCTCCGATGAAAGATGTTAACTATGTTTTATTTTAATAAATAAAAAGTATTCAATTTTTAATTTTTTAGATTGTGTCCAAAAACCAGTTGAGGGAATCGAAGTTACTTGATGAAATTAATAATTTACAATTTGAGTTGAATAAACAAACTGATGCTTTAGTAACTGCTGAAAATGAAGTTTTATTATCTAAGGACGCTTTAGAAGAAATGTTCTCACAGAAATTTAATGCAAATGATGTCAAAAAAAATATGTCACTAGTCAAATTATCTGCTGAAATTAAATCTGCAAAACAAATTGGAGAAAGTTATAAAAAGAAACTAGATGAATCTTTAAAATCAAATCAAGAATATTTAGGTCAGCATTATTTGATAATGTTTCATAATTTATAAATATAACAAAAATAATAACAATCATGACTATGTTTATAGATCAAATAGATGATTTAAAAAGTAATATAGTAAATTTAGAAGAGAAATGTTCACAATTAAAAATCAGTAATGAAGAGTCTTTATCTAAATTAAATATACTTACACAATTTTTCAAAGAACAGGAAAAAGAGTACATTAAGTATGTATTTGTATTATATATAAAAAGTGTGGGAAAAGAACTTCCTTATTCTAAAATTGAATAACAAACAAAATAAGAGATCAGTTTCATTCTTTTATGTTTTAAAAATTATATCATTAAGGTGTCCTCCATTTTGGTCAATGCATTGAGATAATAGTTGAATTTTAAAGTTGCTTTCCATTATTTTCATCATATTGATGGATATGCTGTTGATACCAGCTTGAATATTGTTCTTGAGGTGACCCAGATATTTGGACGGTCAATATAAACTAGGAATTTCAGATAGTCCCACAAAAAAAAAAAATCAAAGGGGTTAATTCGGGTGAGCATGCTAGCCACTTAAGACTGTTCCTAAGGAGATGATGTGCCTGGGGAAATTTGATCGCAAAATATTCATTGACATGTGGATTGTGGCACCGTCCTGCTGAATCCAAATATCTCCTACATTCATTTCATCAAGTTTTGATACAAAAAAATCAATCATGTGGACATAATGTACAGAATTTACTATAACTGTTTGGCTGTTTTTCTTTTTAAAAATCCATGGTTCAGTGATGCCTATTCTGGACAATGCACACCAAACAGTCACATGTTCTGTATGTATTGGCTGTCTAATGTTTCCTACATGGTAAGAAAACGTAAGATCTCGCCCTTTTGAATGAGTGTCACCCTACCCTTCTTGGAATAACATTCACTAGAAAACACCTATTTTACAAAAGGAAGTTCTTTTGCCGCACATGTACTTAGAATATTTATTTTTTTTTTTATTAGTTTTCAATTTTCTATTATTAAATAAAGGTCACTTTCAAGATTTCTTAAGAATTGTGAATTTGTATACATGTATTTTATACAATATTAGTATTTAAAATAATGATAATAATAAGAAAATGTTATTAATGTTAATTTTTGTACAGGCAAATAAATGATAAAGCAATGGTATGTGATGATAAAGATGAGGAATCTAGTAATCTTCATGAACGTTTAAAATCCCTTAACCAAGAAATCACTAATTACAAGTAAGTTATGACATTTATGATTGTGATCATTAATCACTATCAAGTAAGAGCATGCCAGGCAGCAATGGTTAGATTGAACACTTTAAAATGTTATAACTATATATTTCACAAATGTTTAGATCAGAAATTCAGTCATTGAAGAAAGAAATAATTGATCAAGAAGCTAGTTTTAAAATCCAAATATCTGCTGAAACAAAAAAAGCTAATGATCATTGGGTTTGTTTACTATTATAGTCTTAATACTTAACTATAATTTGGTGTATTCACGAACAACTTTGTTCATATTTTTTTTTAAAGATATCATTCAGACAAGCTGAGAGAAAACTTAAAGAAATGGAACTTGAAACTGCACAACTTAGAAATAAATTAACTATGGTCGATAAGAAACTTGAAAATGATACAAGTATGTTCAGTATTTTATTCATTACCTACTATATTTCCAAAATATCTATTGGAAAATTTCAGTTTTGTGCAATACAGTACTTCGTTTTTAAAGAATAAGGAAATAATAACCTACAGACTTAAATTATGGTTTTTTTAAAAAATTTAAATGTTGATTATACAACAGAATTGTAGAGTAGTATTAAGGTGTTTACACTATAGTGAACACATACAAATATCTACTATAGCATTTGTTTGTGTCGAAGCAGTTTGATCCAGTGGCGATCCTTTCAAATTTCCCATTCAATTTGAATGATATCTGGCTATCATTATTAATTCACCAGCATTCATGTGATAACTACCTAGATTTATCAAATTATTCTAAAAATGTTTGTATTAAAGACCTGGGATTGAAAGATAGTAAATATGTAACAAATGGATCCAAATAAATAAATAAATAAATAAATGATGAATTTGTTCAGTATCAAATATTCCTACTTGTTTATGTTCGTGTCATGATATAAACACACCCTTTTAAAAGCAAAACTCTATACAGCATTAAATGTATTCGTTATTATAATACTAATGGTATTTAAAGTAAGATACTATAGAACACAATAATATTAAATAAGAATTTAGTTTTTAAAAAACATTATATTTTTTATATATTAAACAATACTGTACAGAATAGTTATTACTAATTAGTGTACATTTTTTTTACTTTTGTATTAATAAGTATCATTTTAATTTTTTTACAGGAAGCATAGATTCATCTAAAGATTTTGAAGATGAATTGTTGGACATTCCATTACCAATTGTGTCTCCAGATTTTACTTTACTTGACTTTGAGCCTCCCCCTCCAATTTTCTCACCTACTTTTTTACAACATGTGTCAGCTGACCAACGATTACCGCCACTTGGTGCTTTAGGTCAAGCTTCAAGTCCACCAATCCCTTCATCCAGACGGCACAACAGATCCTTGTCACCTGGTTCTCCATCACCTCAACAAAGGTCTTCCTTATTTAGGCCATTGCCTCTAAGACACAACTATATAAATCGTCAAAGTAAGATAATATATATGCAACAATAATTAAAAAATTTGAGTTATTAATATTTGGTTTTTTCCAGATTCATTGGGTCATTCAACTGAATCACTTGACAAATAAATTTGTTTTCTATTCATTGTTACTATTACAAAATGAAAATATCTAAATTAATTCAGAATTATAGTTATTGTTAAGATTAAATAAATTTGATTGATTTATTTTTAGGACCAACAATAATCTCGGGATTTTTATTTTTTACAAATTGTTTATTTTTTACTTATAAAATGTATAAAAAAATTTTCTAAGTAATTTTGTGTATTTTTGTTTTCACCTGTAAAGATATAAGTAGGTAATTTCACTGTGATAAAAATACATTTTCCATTTAATTATAATTTGGAATTTGTTAAAAGTTAATATTATTTATACAGTATTGTTGAAAAATAAATTAAGGATAAAAGAGGATTCCTACAAGACATTTTAATTTAGCAAAAACAAATATCTTATTAAAATACATAGGTAGTTAAATGTATTTTCAATTTTGGTGGCTGATAAAAGAAAGTTTGTATTTTACATAAACTTAAAAGTTATGATTCTATGGCAGTGGTGGCCAACTATGGCCCACAAGCCAAATCTGGTCTGCAATCATTTAAAAAAAAAAAAAAAAAATGCAACTATACAGTAGGTATTATTATTATTATTATTATTATTATTATTATTATCATCATCTTAGTTGATAAATTTACAATTCATTTATCAGAATCACTACCAATATGATATTTATGCTCCTACCTATTAATATTATAATTTACACAAACTATTGTTGTTTAGAAATTTGTTTATAAGCGGCGCTACTCTATGCGGATGATTCATGTGAACATCGTGATTGCCTTGTACCCTAACGATCTTGAAATTCGGATTCTGTTCGTATATATGGACGAATATCTTGAACACACCATTGTAGTACACGTCGCTTTCGGATGCCCTAATGATGAGTGTAGGACATTTGATGTTTTTCACCACGTCCCAGAACTGTATGGCGGAAAACCACTCGCTATACGTTACTTTAAGCCGCAGATCGTTGGCCAGAAGATATTTACCGCCTTGTCCCTTCTGTCGAAAATAGCGGGCCATCAACGCTTTTGCGGCGTCATCGTTAAACGTATCCTCGGACTCCAAACCGAACATCCTGTTCTTGATGCGGGCCACAGCCTCCGGATATGCGTATTCCGGCGGTGGGTATTTAGCATCGCCCGCGAATTTCCGGTTTTCGAGTTTCAGCAGTTCGTCCAAGGCCCGTCGAATACAAGAGCCGATCTCTTCGGGATGTACCTCCACGGGTCCGGCCGTGTCCAACATGACGAGCTTTTTGACGTGGTCCGGATAGACGGCTGTGAACAACTTGGCCACTTGGCCGCCCATACTGTGGCCGACGCACACGAATGCGGACCACCGTACGTGGTCGGCGACGCGCCGGATGGTCACCGTATAGTCTTCTAGCGACCAGCGGACTCCATACGGCGTGCGTGACGAACGTCCGTGATTCGGCCAGTCGAAGGACAAATATGTGCAGTGTTGGCCGCCGTCAAGAAGCGGAATCAGGCGATCGAATGAACCGCAGTTGTCCTGGAACCCGTGAAGGAACAACACCCGTTCACTGTTGCCGCCACCCGCAATTTTCGGACTGTCATTGTCATTAGTCCAGAGTTTCGCTAAAAAAAAAAAAAAATCGGAATAAATTTTAGGCCGGGTTAGACGATTCGGACGCATTGACGAGGAGTCGGTTAATACACAAATAGTACCGGTACTCCAGTAATTGGACACCCGTGAGCGTTTATTGAGAATGTTCAGTTCGTCGGGAGTGTGCAACCCCATCCCGTCTCGTAATTTAAAAAACGCATCATATACAATAGGTTTAGCTAGTTGTATCATTCAGAATGTTTAATTTTTTTTACTTATAATCCCCCCCCCCCGAATTTTTTTTCGTGAACGTGCTTGGGAATATTTCTTAATAAACTCCTCATGTTTGGTATACATGTAAAAAGTGGCGGCGCGAAGAACTTTTACCTTGAAACAACGATTTAATTTTTCCACACCCCTACGAAAAATACCGAAAAATCTACAAACCAGGGATGAAAAAACAAGTTTCCTCAGGGGTCTTTAATGAAATTTATCAAATTTTCGCAGTATAAAATTCTATTAATGATCTGTTTTGTAAAAACATAATTATTTTCATTATATTTCTGAACACCCAGGCATTCACGACCCATTCACTTTTTTTTTTTTTATGAATCACGTGATTCAAATATACCCCTTTCTCACCGCCACTGTATGCAAATGTTTTAATGCTAGTTTTAATGTAGGCAATAATATATTTTGTTTTATTTTTAATCTAATAGGCAGGTTATACTAATACATACGAATGAAGTATAAAATACTTCACACAACGGGTGTACGCCACTAGTTGTTGTAAGTGGAATGCTGGAAAGGTGTATTTTAACTACTTTGTGCATTAGAGAGTTCATTTTTTAATTTTCAAAGGGGTATTCAATATAATTGGAAAGAAAATTATAGGCCAGTGGCACGCCGAAGTAGGTTTTTTTGAGGCGATTGCCTCACGACTAAAATGAGTGTGTGGGTCACTGACCAAATATGCTGAATGTTGATAAGATTGATTAGTTCAGACATCGGAGATGCCTTTAGTTTTGTGTATTACATTATTAATATACCTACTTATGAATATGATAGTCTATATTATATAGTCAATATAGCTAAATAAAGTTATTGCTGTAATTATGCGTAATAGGTACGTGTAAAAATCCATATTTTGATTGGGTGGGTCCTAATTTATTTGTTTTGCCTCAAGTATGAAAAATGTTTTGCACGCCACTGTTATAGGTACCCTACCTAAAACGACAAAATATATTTACGGCACGCCGTGACATTAAGCGATTTCGTTGTTTTTTTGGCAAATTTCGTTTTCTACCAGAAATATTGTTCCAATAGAAAAACGACAGGAAATCATTTTTGTTACATTTTGGATCTAGATGCTCACGAAAAAACGACTTTTTGATTTTCCAAGAAGTTTCATTATTTTAAATTGTCTGTTGATTTTCTTCTGATGTTTTCTACCAGAATTATTATCGATCTAGTAGAAAAACGACGCATTTCCGTAGCATTTTTAATCCAAATGGCGAGAAAGTAATTAGTTTTTTGATTTTTCTAAGTAGTTTTCATAATAATTTGGAAAAATCGGAAAAAAAAAGCCTAACCTAACTGACAAATTTACGGCGTTATGATTCCTTTATTTCAATAATATTTTTTTTTCTAATAATTAAGCAAAACCGAACAAAAATGTAGTAATGGAAAAATGTACGTAAATAACAATTTTTTTTTTTTCGAAATTCAGTTTGAAATTTTCGTTGACTAGACATTTTGACAGAAAACTTATATTAAATTTTTCTAGACGTGGTGATTTTCAAAATTGTTGAGCTATTATAGACATTTTAACTTTGAGAGATTTTATCTGGTAAGTAATTTGTGTAAAAAATTGTGAACTGAACAGAAATGCTTTGAAATTTAACAAGAGGTTCATTGTGTGTCGTACTTAGTAGCCGAAAAAAAAAAAATCGGGTATCAAATTTTAACGAAAATCGAAAATATCACGGCCTTTTTTAAATAGGTATACATATACGTATTACCGAACTTCGATTTGAATCGGTCTTCGTTAGCAATGGTTCACGGTTACTTACAGGTATAAATTAAATGAACTTGTGTATCCTACTTTCCCAATTTTCCAACTGTAACAGTGGCACATCCGTCCCCGGTATCAACCGGTTCGTATTATAGTATTACGCGTTTGGCGTAGGTAAAAAGAAAACCGTTTATAAACGCAACCGATGCCCGCGTCACGCGACATTGTCTACAAATATTATCGTTCGTCATTTGAGGTAGACACAGCCGGGTGTCCGGGTCAGATGCGCACTTGAATTTGTGTACTAATTACTACCTTTGTGAATGAACACATAGTACGAATATACCCACACGAAGTGTACTTAATATTAACAATAATCTGTAAAACATTACTATAACGAAAAGTAATCTGGTATGTTTGTTGTTCAGTTAGACATCATAATAAATTACCCATATTTATTATATTACATTCAATTATAGACACACTACAACTACGCTCACATTATCATATGGACAGGTAACCCGTGACTGGTCAAAGGCGCGAAGTATTTTCGAAAAACATTTATTTTAATATTTTAACTGCGTTATACTACGGCGGCGGCGACGGACTTAAATTGTACAATGCTGTCGCAAAAAATCGCACACGTGTTTGAACACCCTGTCCGGGTGGTTTAAATGCACGTCATGATCGCCACTGACCACTTTGACGGTAACGTTAGGTCTCTTGGTGTAAAACTCGTAGGCGTCCTTTAAGTACGTCGAGTACCGGGCACGGTTCTCGTCGGCCAACACGAACACCGTGGGACACGCGATGTTGCTGAGTATCTGTTCGTGCTGGTCGAAAGTCATCAGCGGGTTGAAGGCCAGTTTGAGGCGTTGGTCACAGGCGAACGTGTACGACTTATCGTCCGCTTCGTCGTCAACGACGACCAATCCCCTCCGGGCTAATATGCGGGCCGATTCGTCCGTCAGCCTGGACGGCCGACCGGCCATCATCTTACCGACCGCTTCGTCAAAAGTGTACACAGGCGGTTGGCGGCCGCACTGGCGTCGGTACAACGATTGCGCGTCTTCGACGCGGCTGCGGACAGCGGCCAGCGTGTCGGCTAGCTTCACGGGCCTGGGTCCCATCGTGTCCAGCACGACAAGGCACCGGACCAGATCCGGGTAAACGGCCGCGAACCACGAGCCCAGTTGCCCGCCAAAACTGTGACCGAGATACACGAGCTCGGACCAGCTGAAGTGGTCGACTACCCATTTGATGGAGCCTAGGTAGTTGACGAACTCTAGGGGCACGTGAGAGGGAAATCGGGCGGAGCGGCCGTGACCGGGCAAATCGACGCACACGTAATAGTAATCGTTCGGTAATAACGGTAGGAGCGTGACGAAGGTGTCGCAGTTGTCTTGGATACCGTGCACGCAAAGCACAGCCGGACGAGTGTCGTCGCCGTAGGTCTTTGCTGCAAATAAATATATTATACAAAGTAGATAATTAAGAGCACGTCGTACCCGCATATTGTGCGGTCTCCGTCATACAACCGCGGGACACGGCAAATTTCTGTTCAGCGGGAAAACCCTGTGCTGTTAGTTTTGATATTAGAGCGGATTGACTTATTATCAAACTTCAAGATATTATCATTATCTTTGTCGTCTCGTCGTTTTTTTTTTTTCTTTTTCTTAATTTTCAAGCGAGTCGGGCATTTTTCAACCGTGATATTTCACACGACCATCGTATCTCGCGTGAAAGCTAAAATATTATTAAGAAAAACCACGAGACAACACAGATAATGTTCATATCTCCGAGTTTGGTAACAGGTCAATTCGCTGTAATTTTAAAACTAACAGCGCTAACTAATGGTCAACATAGATATACTTCAGTTCTATTTATATGTATAAATTTCCGTCTTATCATTGTCATCCGTATGGTTTTTTTGGTCTATAGATTACAAACGAAACGACGAACATTCACGAAAACTTCAAAAATAATTTGATAACCGTGTTATCTACTCTCTCATGTGAAGTTCGCATGGACTTCTATATATATATATATATATATACATGTATATAACTATAATTTTAGTTGCCAAATATCCCTATGCCATAAGCTATCTAAACATTCTAAAATCAATTGTTCAGAGCGATAAACTGTGGAATCGGGCATATCAAACACATTGGATATTTTTTTTATTTTTTTTTGACAGCAGTGTCCAATAATATACGCACACGAACTACTGATTGATACGATATTACATATTTGTTTAACTATTTATTATTATTTTTTTTTTTTTTAAACAGACGTGTGCACATTAAACACTCAAACCTCTGGCGATTAAACTAATTGTCGTATACATATAATTTTGACATTACAGTTGTTTCGGGGATTTTTTTTTTTCGGGATTCGAATTTTCCCGGCTGAACGAAAATTTGCTCTATGTCCCGCGGATGTATGACGGAGATAGCACGGAGACGATTTCTTAATAATTGTTATTGTAATGGTGCGTAACCTAATCTAGGTACCAATATATTATTAGTTAATATTTATTAACGAGGAAAGTTGGACAAATGGAAATTAAACATCATACATAAAATCGACCACCCAAGTAATTTTATTTCCAAAATAAATATAAATAATATGCTTACAGAAAAAAAAACTTAACAAGTCACCTTAGGTACAAAATTAAATAATAAAAACGAAAAAAACAATAAAAATAAATAGGTATCATAAAAAATAAATGTCCATACACCAATGATACAATAGCACTTGTCAAGATTATATTTTACTGAGTTTTGACAATAAAAAATTATTGATTAAATCAGCAATTCGTTCTGGATGATTCAAATGCACATCATGATTTCCATTTACTTTGACAATTTGAACGTTTGGATTAGATTTATACATTTTTTTTACCGATTTTATTTGAGGTAAATTGTGATATAGATTTTCTACAGCAAGTAAATATAACACAGGACATTTAATACTGTGTATGATAAACATATGTTGCATTGGTGAAAACATTTGATTGTAATCAATTTTCATCCTTTGATCCGTGCTAAGTGAATAACTGTCATTAGAATGTTTTTGCAAAGTCCGTTGTATTAATACATCTGCAGACTGTCTAGTTAATTTTGATGGTCTTTTCGTTAATACTAGATTAATAGCTTGTTCGTATGTATACGATGGTGGCGATCTGCTCATAGTTTTACTTTCAATTTTCAACAGATTGTTGCAAGATTCTCTCAAAAACTTGACAGTATCTTGTGGCTCTATTGATATTGGACCAGCACAATCAATCATTATTAGCTTTTCAATATGCTCTGGATATAAAGATGCGAATAAACTAGATATCATTCCACCCATACTGTGACCGATACAGTTAAATGTTGTCCATGCTAAATGATCTACAACACGTTTAATAGCGAGTACAAAACATTCTAATGTTATTCGAAAACCGGGAGGAAAGTGTGAAGAATGTCCGTGTCCTGGAATATCTATGCACACAAAATAGAAACCTTGTCGGAGTAATGGAATAAGTCTGTCAAACGTGCCACAATTATCCTGTTTTCCGTGGAGACAGAGAACACGAGTTGCCAAAGGGTGGCCCCAAGTTTTCGCTGAAATTAAATTTGTTTACATTCACTAATTGGTTAATTTGTTAATAAGGATATATTTTTATATAAGTATTAATAATATGCACCATAATTATAACTATTTACATAATTAAACAGATTGTAGATATTGAAAAAAGGCATGTAGTATAATAGGTATGTGCTACAATGTATATTTAAATGGGCATTTTATCAGTTTTTTTTTTTTAATTTTTTATAAAATAATGTGTTTTAAATTAAATTATTAAAATTATACATTTGCAGTAAAGACATATTGAATGATAACATTATAATTGACAAATGACAGATACTAACTAGGTACTTTTAGACAATGTTGTTCTAGAATTACACTAACTTTACACAATAATATTACTGGTGTTTTCTACCTGGTTACTAAAAAAAAGTAATCTTTTCTTTCCCTTATCTCAAGAAGTACCTACCAATTTAATTATTTTTTCTCATTAGTTTATAATAATTGAAAACATTAAATATACTTATTAAAACAAATCATACACACTATAATTATAGTATACTATTATATTTACACACAACTGTAACTATATTGTATACACAGTTCAAATCCCTTGTAAATAATGTAATATAATAATTAGTTTGTTTGTAACTATTAAATAAAATTTAAAACCTTACATTTTATATTTTTAACAAATATGAAACATTAAGTACTTATAGGTACTATGATTATATAATTATAAAATAGGTAAATTAACACTAGATCTCTTTTTAAAACTAAACATATTATTTACCTACGTAATAGACAGTGATCAAAAATAAAATTAAGTTTAAATTTAAAATATGCAGGACAGTATAATTAGACTGTTTGGTACCTACCTACCCCCTAAGTTGAACAATATCTTCAACTAGTTTATACCAGGTGATCCATTTAAGTGGGTACACTCATTATCTCGGAGAGTATTAACTTTTTTCGGAATTTGTTTTGTAGAATATTTAAGAAACAAGCTGCTCTACAATTTTATTTCTAAGCTATTTTTTGTCACTCTTATTATTATTTTTTTTTTGGGGGGGGCGGTTGGAAAACTACCATCTTCTTTTGATTTTCAAATGGTAACCTATATTAAAAATGTCATAAATAGATGGAGTTTTAGCTAAAATAAATTTGAGTGATGACATTTTATGATTTCTGTCAAGCCGTTGACGAGATATTCCACTTTTAAGTTTAAGTTGGAGTATCATTTGAGTGGCAGTATGGTGTTAGCGTGTTAATAACGCACCACTAATCTCCTCAAACATAAAATTAAAAGTGGAATATGTCGGCACCAGCTTGACAGAAATCAAAAATGTCAATATTCAAATTTATTTGAACCAATACCCAATCTATTAATGAAATTTTTTTTACATAGGTTGCTATTTGGAAATCAAAAGTAGGTAGTGGTTTTATGCCCCAAAAAAAAGGTGATAAAAAGTAACATTAAAATACAATTGTAGAGCTGCTTGTTTCTTAAATGTTCTAGAAAAAAAATCCTGAAAAAGTTAATAATTTCCAAAATAATGAGTATACCCACTTTAATAGATCACCTGATTAGAGTACACTATGTCACTAGTACACTGATTTATGTGTTATGTTTAATTTAAACACTAATTTTATTAAAATATCAAATACCAATTATAAGTGAAATTAAATTTATTCAAATAAAAACAAATGGAAAATAATGTTTAATATTTTTATCAATTTAACTACACTTACCGGCAATATGTCCCCAAGGAACTGGAATTGAAATTTCTTGTGAATTCATTTTTTAAATTGTAACACACAATAGGTACTGGAAAAGTAAAAAATTATTATTCTATCTAGTATTTTATACCAAAATAATTAGTAAAAAAAAACTACACTCTAATGAACTCCAACAATGAACTTAGCAGCTAAAAAAAGGATTTATAAAAACATAAATGTTAACATATAATAATTATATTTTAACAATGGTTTTTCGTTCGATGAATATCATTGTTAAAGTTATTGCATATCTAACAAGGTTAAAACTATATGTTATATTCAAATTTTGAATAAATTACATTTTTTTCAATGATAGCTTTACGGGGTACAGGATAGTTGTCGGAAAATTGATAAGGATAGAAATACAATACATTTTATATAAGGGGTGTTACCAACATAAAAAAAAAAATAATTTGCCTACGCAATAATTTAATGCTTAATGCTCGTAAACATTATATAATAAATTATGTATTCACTAGTGATTAGTTAATCCACTTCGGTTATGTATGGTTATTAAAATTATTAATGATCCAGGTTCAGAATGGGTTAAAACTATATAGTGCAATCATCACAAATTAATTTAGTTGTTAGTTTACGAACAATGAAGCCAGCAATACGTTCAATAATATCATTTATTACTTGCTGTAAAAAAGTAAATTGATTATATTCTTAAATACTTGTAATGTCTGTAATTGCTCAGATAGATGAAAGAAACATTTCTAGGTGATTTTGGCCTTATGAATCATAACCTGGCAACATGTAATCGTGATCAATCAAATGTTCCATTGTCAACAAATTATTATATATATGTACACGCTGTCCCACAAAGATATATTCCTATCTCCGGAGATAATAAAGATAATTAAACTAGGTTTTTTTTTTTTACATTACTCACAAGGATGAGGACTACAAATATGTATATTTGCAAAATTGATATTATTTAATCAAAAAAAAATTAATTCAAATACACATATTTGTAGTACTCATGTCTGTGAGCATTGTAAAAAGAACAAAATTTGGAACAATTCTAGTATAGCTACAATGCGATTTTTGGTTTTTTTTTTTTCAAAATATGTGTTTTTGCGTGTACATTGAGAATGTAAAAAAAAAAGTCGGACGAACTTCGTTTAGAAGTTATTGAGGAAAACTTTATAAAGTACGGCTTTTCTTTTTCACGTATTTCTTAGTTAGAATTTAACATTTTCAAATTTTTTTTTACCAAAATGAGTATATTTGGATCCGTTAATCCATTGGTAAAATCAAAACGTACCCATCATATTTACTTTTCAAGTTTTTGTATTAAGCGTCTAAAAACAGACATTTCGAAAAAAAAACCTAAAAAATCGCGTGTGAGCTAAACTAGAATTATGTATCTTATATTTTATGGCATTTTTCTGGAAATACTATGTTTAGTTTAATATTGATAAAACATTTTCCAAAACGTACTTTTTCCAAATTTAATGCAAAACATACTTATTCCGGAAAAGGTCCGTTTTGCAGAAAACAGTTTTTTAAAATCTCAAAAAGAGCAATAAAAATCATAAAATAGAAAAGAATGAGTTTATAAATATTACAAGAATATTTTTTAGTTTTTTTTAATACCTTTAGGTGTGGCCCACACCAATTCAAAATACCTTGAACAGTAAACCTGCTCTACTGAAAAATAAGAAAAGAGGAAAAAGTACTTTTTGAATTGAAACCATTTCAAATGTCTATACAAACATTTTGTTGTTCAACGTTGGCAATATTTCAAACTGAATCAAAAAACAAACTCTTATCAATTTTCTGATAACTGCTAATATCCCAATAGTAACGTAGCATTTAACATTACGTATTGTTGAATATCGGTATGAACCACAGACTAAGAAATAATGGACTGTTAACGAATGTCTTATCGATGAAAACGAAATGTTTCCACTTTGATCGGTACAAGACAATCAACGACATCTATGAATAAATAATTATAACAATAGTTTTAAATGTTTTTATGGTTTTTATTTTAAATGTTTAACCACAGACTAACACAAGAAGATAATTACAAAGTAAATTTTAAATTTTATAATTACGTCTTAACCAGTTTAGAAAATTTCTTTTTCTTTACGTTAATATTATTTTGATCTTTATTATAAACAAGAGAATACTAGCTGTCGCATTCGTATGGTAATATAATAATAAGTTAAAATATATGTAAGAACTACAGTCTTGTAAATTTTTACATGGAAAATGATAAACTCATAAATCCAAAACCTTTTTATGGCATTTGAAGATGTAGCTAAATGATGTTTTGTTGTTTCTAATACATTTTTGTACTTTCATTAATATTCTATGAACTATTCCAATGTTGTCTATTCAATTGTCTATGCAATTTTAGCAAAATTTTACAAAAGTGATTATGAAATGAATACATTTAAATCTTTTGGTATCTATATTAATTTTGGTACAAATAATAACTACTTTGAAGTATACATTTGCCATATACAATACATTTAATTCAACTTGATATATGGCAAATTTTGAAGAGATGGCTGCTTTGTTAACTGTGTTATTGAAAATATTTATTAACATGAGAATTTCTGAGACAAATGCGAAAACCAGAATTTATAACGGTTCTATTCACCCTATTAGATAAATTTAAAAACTTCCGACTTACAAAAGATCTTGTTTTTTTTTAATGAAATTAAGACCTTTAAGTCTTTATTTTATTAAGAATATTAAGAATTATTTAATCATTAAAAATAAAATAAGAAATAAAACAATTTAAACAATGGTTATGAAGCTGCGACGAAGTCATGAAAATTCGTTGATATTAATTTGGTATTTATATGAATATCAGCTTTTATGGCCAACCAAAACTAGTTTAACTGTTTAGCAAATACCGAAGCATTTTGAAAGCAAATAGGCAAGGTTTCTGAAAATAGATATTTTTATTTTCTTATATTGTTATTATAATAGATTATCTTTCTGAATGAATGATAATCTTTTTCATCTGTATATATTTTTGGTTTAACCGAAAAGGGAAGCGTACGATTTTGATCGAAAACTGTTATGCCCAACAAAAAAATAACGTTCTATCCAACAGTTTGCTGTTAGTGTACAAATTAAATTCCGATTGACAATATTTATGTTAGAATGTGTTAAAATATGTCATAACTTATTACATTTTGCATACATCAGTTTCTTAAAGTCACTTACATCATTGGAAAATTAACCTATTATAATTTAATTTATAGAAATCGCATATATTTGACTAATATACCTACACAATTTATACGCAAGTACCTACTTAAATCTTTTGTATAGATCTGATTTGAAAAAGAAATATAAAATTAATTTTAATCAAACAATTTAGGTACCATTTCTTACATTTTGGCGATCTAGACAACTGCTTACTCTGAGCTTAATAATACAATTTCGGTGGCTACTATTTTAATGTTAAAAGTGATTACAGAGCATATTATATTATTATTTTTAAATACCAACTATGGCAGTATGGCACTATGTTGTCTATTTTATATCAAATACTTAACACATTTAGACACAATAGTTATTAATTGGTTAAATTGATGGGTTAATTAGTAATGGGTGTTCTGTTATTTGGTATCTACCAGTAAAGTAGGTTCTAAATACGATTAACTAATTTATTGTAATTAAAAAAACCTAACCACCTATGTAAATACTTACTTACATACTGTAATTTTTCGAAAAAAAAAAATATACGTACTCGGGCTGCATTTACTATTTAAAAACATTTTAATAAGTAAGCATATTATGAATTTTGATATAATACCTAAAATACTTTTATAACTTTTTCTCAAGAACGTGTTAATAATAATGATTCCATCATTCCATCAAATCATCTTAACAATATTTTTATTTTGCACGAATAAATAGTATTCAAAATGTATTTAATTTTGTTTAATCACAGTCATTTCAATATTTTAATATGAACAACAATATTGAACAAATATTTAATTATTTAGGTACTTATGATAATTTTTAAAATGTATAAATAAACCGCGAATATTATATTTAACTGATAAATCAAATATGTAACTTTATTTACACTTTAGAGTATCTTTGGTGATTACTTGTAATTTATAATATCCCATTTGATAAACAGCTGTTTGTTTATCACTTGACCTGACATTCATATTATTTCATAGCCATTATTCATTGATTCACATTTTGCTCCAATTGATTAATATAAGTTAATAGTTGATATATTTTTTTTAATTTTACCACAATTTTACTTGTCTTACCTTCTTATATCTATTTACAAAATGAGTGGAGCGTTAAAGAAAGTTAGCTTTATAAATAGTAAGTATTAATTTCTGTTCTATAATTTTATTTTCAATAAAATATTATATGTCAATGTAGGTAGGTATTTTATTTAATTATCTAAAAAATAAAATAATTTATATCTTGTATTTTAACATTGTATAGCGTTTATTAACACAGCCAAGCCCAACTTGCAAACATTTGTCAAGTATGCTAAGGTGGAATTAACTCCACCGAAGTTTTCTGACTTACCAGAGATCAAAAATGAAATTTCAAAAATTATTCAAACTGCTAAAACTGGACGCTGGAAGAATATTACTGTTAAGGTATGATTACTTTTAACTTTTCTAAAATTTTATTTTTCAACAAAAGTGTTTTAAAGTGACAACAATGAGTAAGTAGTTATTAAAAATAACTTCCTAAGTGATTAAGCATAATTTACTTAACTTACAAATCAATGTACTTTTTAGAGATACCTAAATCATATTAATAGTCACCTTTTATATTAGTATATTGAATTATTTATAATGTATAATACTATCCATCATTCTTTTTATCCTATAAGGGGTCTATGATAATTTTACTGAAATGTAATAAATGGAGCGAATAGGTACAGAAAGGGTTAATATTTAGTAAAATGTCTATGTGTAGGGATGGCATAAAATCTAGGACTTTCGATATATTGAAGACCTAATATCGATACCACAATATATCCTTAATAATTTTTTTGATATACTGAGAAATAAAATCTTACCCAAAATAACGGTATGATATATTTTTCATCAAAAACTATTGTCTACAATTTCTGGTGATAACAGATTTGGTGGAAATAATTGAAAAATATCATAATTTGGCCATAATTTTGAATATTTATTAATATATTGGTTATATGATTTTCGAATTACTCGCCTAATATCTTTACTGTTATGCTGTGTGATGCGGACAAAATGGGTTTCCCTATTCAACCCATCATCATTAATAATAACTATTTTTGTTTTTGTTTTACATTGTAAATTTGTAAAATATATCACTATAGTTTAAATTTTAAGTATAAACAATATTGATATGTCGATATTTAGCATAAAGTATCGATTATCTCTGTGTATCAATGAGGAAGTATCAATACAAAAATGAACGATGCATATTAACATAAAGTTTCATTATATGCAATATATCAATATTTCGTTGCCATCCCTATCTATGTGACTATACTATGTACATTATACATTAATATCGCTTATATCAATGACGGTTATGATGAAAAAATAATTATAATGGTACTAACAAATCGATGTTGAATGTCCTGGCAAACTTGGCTTGAGTGTACTAGAAATAATAAATAATTACATAGCCCAGCTTGTATTTTAAATTGTTATTTAAAATGTTATTATAATTGTGTTATGACAACAGTACTGTAATTTTGTAATTATTTATTGTATTTAACCAGGTATTATTATTTTTAAATTTTCATTATTATTTATATATTTATGAATTAATTATTTACAATTAAAAAAAAAAAAATACAGAAAAAGAAATAAACAAAACGACTTCAATACTTTATGGACATTAAGAGAATTAAATAGGGGTTTGTAATTATGATATACATATACCAAACAATTGAAAAAAATAACCAACAGTAGGTAATAATAGAAAAAAGTAATTTATTGATCAGTAAAAGTTATTTATTTTTCTAATTGAGTGAGTTACCATAATTTGATAAAGGGATTTATTTGATTTTTAATTAAGTACTTATCAGTGCCTTAAATACAAAATTTGGGCTAAGAAGCAAAGTTTTCAACGAGCCTCTTCTTATCTAGGCATATATAGAGAGGTCTGATGGGTGTGCATCTGCCTTACCGAAATTATTTTATACATTTTTTTTTTTTAATATTGTGTGTCTTATTATTAATAATAATTAAATGCTAGGAATAAAACAATATATTCAATAATTAACATAAACAGGTTAGTTGATAGTCTTAGTGTTGTGGATATCAACATTGATAGAAAATTTTTTTTTATTTAAATCTGTGTTAACAAGAGGATTGCCACCATTTAATGTATAAGGAGTAAGGATATAATTTTGAAAGTAGTTTTCATATAAAGATTAATTCACTCATTTTTTTGTGATCGAAAAGACAAAAATCAAATTCATTTAAAATCCTTCATATAGTCAAAAGTATCAAAAGTATCTAAGTAATCTTTTGTTGACTCAAAATTATATGATGTGAGCAGAATAATTAGATACATATTCATATTTATTTATTTCTATTTCCTGAAGTATTTATGATTTTTGAGTTTTTATTTTTTTTGGTTTATTATCGTAAGTAGGACATTGTTCTCTGATTTTTCACTGTTTTATGTTTTTAAAAAGAAAAGCACTTAATCCTAATTAATTTTTATTTTACAGGATGCTACTGTCAATTCACTTGTCGCTATTGAAGTATTGATGTGGTTTTATCTTGGAGAATGTATTGGAAAGAGACACTTAGTTGGTTATAATATTAAATTATAAATGTATATCTGTAATTTAAAGTAAATTTTACTTCTTCAGATTGTATACATATGTTTTGTATTTAGAAATTATTTTTTAGTGTAGGTATGTCAAATTTATACTATTAAAATACATTTGTGAAAAAAATAAAATAATCAATTTGTCAAAATACCTACAGTTATATAAATAGTAAACAGTAAAAGCAAAATATATCATTTTTATGAACATTTTATGCTATACATATTATGAATATTTATTTATGTATAATATACTAGGTAAACCCTAGTGTTCATTATCTAATGAATGTAATACGACAAAATTATTAATAGATAGCATATAAATAAATATAATAAAAAAAAAAAAAAAAAAAAAAAACAATAAAAACTAATTTGAAACCAAATTTAAAGTTTAAAATACATTAAAATTAAAAACAATACGTGATATAAAGAAAAAGTCTATATAATCAATAAGTTGATTTGCTAATTTTAATGATTTAGGGAAGAAAGTAGCAGAGCCACAATTATTATTATTATATCTATAAAATGGTATATGAAACAATTTTACTTTCCTCAAACAGTGACTTGTAATATTAAACCCTATTATAGAAAGCAATTCTGGAGAATGAGTATGTTCATTTAACAAGTGATAAATAAATATAATATCAGCAACCTTTCTCCTTACCTCACATGACATAATCCCTAATTCACTGATCACATATTGTAGGTGTTTATGTAATAAACGCATATTTAGCTTGTAACTCAAAATCTTTATACATTTTCAATTTTGGTTTTTTCAAATAAGAGGAGAAATAACCTAAACAATTTATTGAAAATAAATAGTTCATTTTTTATTGCTTCAACAGTACATAACTATAACTTTTTAAAAACATTGTTGGTATAAAACATCAAGTCCTGTCCCAGGTATGAGCATCAATCCCTGTTTTAGGTATAATCCCACTTTTTTGGAGCTTGGTCCACCAAAGCCTCAATTCAGCTATTGCATTATTTTTATCATTAGTCATGAATAAAAATCAACTAACTCAGTAAAATATGCTTTGTCATTTTCTGTTAAAATGTCATTATTTGAAAACAAACATTCAAAACCTATGAGAACACATTAAACAAATTTATAAATGTACTTTTTAGATAATATAATATAATAATACTATTAAACACTTTAGAATGTGACAAAAATCTTTCTGTCAATTGACTTATGAAATAATCAATATAAGGAATAAAAACAGTTATTCTATAATAGTCTTTAATATTTGTAATTGGATTGGAAGTATTATAGTTTGTTAGTTTGTATAGAAAAAAAAATTATAACTTTTTACGAATACACGAACTCCATGAGCTAACAAATTTAAAATATTAAATAGAGGGTATAAAAATTGTTTAAATACAGCGGAAACAAATGAAATAATTTTTTTAAATTTATAATATCTATAGAATATAGTATTATTATAGTAATAATAATGTAATAACCGTCGACCACTAATATTCTATAAAGGAAAAATGGTATTATGTCAACGATAATCATAGATTAAATAATTTAATCTAGAAAAAAAAAAAAGACGCGTCGTTACTTATTACCAGTAATTTCCCACGTGGAAACCTATTTATAGATTTATAGATTTCTTTAAATTCATTCTATTATTTAAATAAATTTTATATATATTTTAATTTTATAATATTTATATATATATTATAAAGGCTCTGGGGGATCTATCTCCCTCATCCCCCCCTCTTAATTACTCCTCTGGTTTAGAAGGATGATTTAAAAGGCATTGTTACTTTTTTGTGTTTAATCTACATTCAAATTGTGGATGAATACCCAATAATAATTAAATATAAAATTCAAAATATTTTTACTGATTTCTTAAAAAATGTTAAAACAAACAAAAACTAAAAATTTTGTAATTAGAATGTTTGTTAACATTCTTATTGATTTGATTTTTGTATAAATAATAATGATATAATACAGAAAATAACAAATAGTAATGCTAATCAGTGTTAACATAATAATAATATCTACAAAAATGTAAAATAAGAGATTGGTACCTAGGGAGGTTTAGTTAGCTTGTACTTGACTTGCAATGACTTTCACTAAGCTGCCTTGACACTACATAGTCGCCCAGAAATATCAAGTTAAAATATGTTTGAATATTAATATATTTTAGTTAAACAAATTTACCAAGTGACAATTGCCAACTGAAATTCTAATATTGTTGAGTGGGGAGGGGGTGTCATACCCCAAAAAGTTCCACTGTAAATTAATATAATGCATTTGAAAAAATAAATAATTGTAAAAATTATTGGAACGATTCTAATTTACCTTCCACCCGATTTTTTTTACAAAATATGTTTTTTGCGTGTACATTAAGAATGTAAGAAAAAAAGTTGGACCAACTTCGTTTGGAAGTTATGAAGGAAAACTTCATGAAGTTCGGGTTTTCTTAGTTATAATTTAACATTTTGAAATTTTTTTTTTTCCAAATGTGTGTTTTTTAATGCTTAATCCATTGGTATAATTAAAACTTACTTATCATACTTACTCGTGTAATTTTTTCCATAAACATTGAAAAACAGCATTTTTGAAATTAACCAAAATGTGGTATAATGGCTATTGCTATATTTAGCACAATATCCAATTTCAACTTATGAAAATCAAGTCAAAATATTATTTTATTTAGTATTTATTATAATGTACGTATATTAAGTACAATTTATGATTTTTTTTTTTTTTTTAGTCTAGTTTTTTTTATCTACTTTATCTATAGTAGATACTATTAATTACTATTACTACATAATTACGGCATTAGGCACGTGGTACGTCGAAATTCAATACAGATAAGCGTAGTGTATTACTATACTTACTGTAGCGTGCGAACAACAAATGACATTTTATCGGTTTACGAATAAAATAGTTCAATTACATATCTTTTTTTGCTATCTTAAACACAAGCAGTTTTGAAGGTATATCAATTCGATTTTATTTTTTTTTTTTTTTCGTACACAATAGACGTGTATAATGTAAACAAATCGTAGGGAAATTACCATCACCACATCAAATTTCTACACACCGAGCCATTGGTAAATCATTTAATAATTTCAATTATATGCTGAAATCTACTGGTTTAGATGAAAATCATATAATATTGATGTTCGATTACGGTTGATTAATACTATCACACGTAGATGGGCAAATAGTTTATTACAACGATTTGTGTCGGTTATTGTTGCCGCGAAGCAACACCGCGCACTGGGTATGTTTATGAAACATACACATATGACCTTTATTAATGCGCAATTTTACGAGCTATAAAATGTATAACGAGTCATGGTTCGGAATAACGTATGTGTTTTTTTCAAAAAACACGAATAATTCCAAACTACGCGGTTTAAGTTGACAACCCTGGCGTACGCGTCGCAGCCTGTGGCCGTTTAATCGTGCGACTCATTACGGGACGTTATTTCATGCAGGCGGCCGTACGAGTTCATTCTCCTTATTGGAGTCTCCATGAAATTAACCATTCCGATATGATGATTGTGTGCGTTATTCGCCCGGAGCGCTAGAGTAGGTCAGCACGGTACCTACAGTTGTTTCCGGCTCAAAGACGGTTCGGTTATTTTACGATTAGGTTAAAATACATTTCGTATAATATGTATGTGTTTCGGATTAATTATATTTCGGTTAATATACTGATCGGCTACAATATGGATCGGCTAACCTAATCTAATCTATCCTAATCTTTTCGGTTGAAATACGGTTCGGCGGTTTTGTTTTCTGCTCCCCATACGGGCAGCCGGTAAGTGTATACTTAATATAATATATGTATTACATACTGGGTATAAAAGATATAATTGTTATAAAATGCACAAAAGCGTTTACAGAATTTTATCTAAAAAACTTGTTCAAACTACACGCTATTAGTAATAAACTTTTTTTTTTTTTGTGTGTACTGCATTCCTTGTAATAGTCAACTAAAGTCTAAACGGTGTATTTAATTTGCGCACAATAGACACAGTATGGGGCAGTGGCGTGCTCAGGAATTTTTAATGGGAGGGGATTAGAGATGTTACGAACCCTTGTTACCAAATGTACCCATTTTGATATTTAAGGCCGAACTGAACCGAACTTGAAATAAACGCTGGAGGTAAGAGATGACTGAAAAAATGTAATTGGATGCGATTGCGAACGATATGAGGACATTCAAGGGCAGCCGGTGAATGCGAAGATGAGGATGGGTCAAGTGGGGATTTAGGACGGGGGTGGCCGATACCAAATGGAGGCTGGAATGGAGGCGAATGAGAAGAAGAAGAAACAATTAAAATACCGTGTGATTTAATTTTTTGCTTTTTACCCAAGTATTAAAGGTATATATTATAATAACAGTACGTCATATATATGTATATTTTATTATTAATACGGATAATTGACATTGATATGGATATTATTGTTTTACCTATAGGCAGGTACACAAGTACCTATATAATAACACGGGGTTTAAGTACATACATTTTGTCAGTAAGCGTCACTTAAAGTACATTGACGTGCACGCATATGGTATGATATAAATATGTATAATGGATATAATACAGTATATGCACCCGTCTAACCCAACTGTTCGGGTACTGACCGTACAAATATAGTCGTGTTTTCACAAGAGAAAATAAAAACAGAATGTATTATAACATTGACATTTTAGCAATTGAACATTTTAACGACAATTAAGTCGGTTTGAAACGTTACGATTGTCTTTAAGAAAATTATCGTTTATCAGTGTCCGTGAGCCGACATAACGTATTAACTGTTAACGATCCGTTTTAATGTATATATATATATATCCATGATTAAGTAATTAGGTATGTCAGCAACTCAGTGATACGCCTATGTGTACGTTTATTTATATATATCTCCGCCCATGCCCGTGTCGTCCGCCGAGGATTTGTTATCAGTATTAAACAAATTGCTCATCCGAACGCGCGATAATGTGGATTCGATACTATTTCAGTGTGTTCTAAGACTCCCGCTAATAATATTAAATAAAATCGTTGGCGGCCGACGTCATATTTTCATAGGATACCTCCTTATCGAGTTATTACTATTTCTCCCCTGGCTGTGCGCCGATTAATTCTAGAGCCGATAAGTTGCCGACGTGCCTAATTAGTTAATCATGCATACAGTCATATAAATAGGTAGGTAGGTAAAACAATAGGCGAACGTGTTTAATTAAATGTACTGGTGTCCGACGTTGCGTTCGGAGCTCAGCGTTTTTTTCGAAAAACTATTACAAGTAAACCTCGACGGTTTTTCAAAAGCGTACACTGGTTTTGGATGGGGCTCGAGCAGCGCATCCAAGATTGTGTGTACGGCGTACTCGGGCAAACTCGGTCTCGGATACTTTTCGTTGAGCATATTATTATTTTGTTCGTTCGCGTTGCCCGATGACCGTATTGGTTCGAACAGATTCTCCGGTTGAATGTGATTGGTGTTTACTACGATGACGTGCACATCTAAATCCCTAAGGTCTTCCCGCAATGACATACTGGCACCAGCTACAGCATGTCGCGCAGAGTCAAACGCTGTCATCCCTTGCCGGCGAGGATGTCCTTTAGACGTACCGAAGTTGATAAGACGGCCTTAAATATTTAAAATATATATTAGAGAGTTTCGCGAACGGCCGGAGAGTTATTCGAGCCATTACTAATATTTCAGATAAAAAATTATTTACCTAGCCAATAAATATGTTAGTAATACTGTAATAGAAAAATAATAAACGTATTATTAGAGGGACACGAGAAGAAACATTTTTATTTTTTGAAAATCTGTACGGGACCTAGTCTATTATGTTTAGTAAATTCTAATTTTAATAATGCTTAAGTTATATAAAATATTAAAATATGTATAATAATTTTAATTTAATTTTATCAAATCGTTTTTTTTTTTTTTTTGGAAGAAGACAGAAGATTGTTAGTCTTAATAATTTTGTTGTTCGTTTCGAATATGATCGTTGATTTATGAATCTTATTTCAAATAATATTTGTCCGTTTAAATACCTAATAAAGTATTATTGATTACCTTTTTGGCTAACTAGTAGAGGATAAAACGTTCTGGCGGCCTTGAGCGTGCCAAAAACATTAGTCTTAAATAATATCTCCCATTGAGCGCTTTCTTGCATTTCAATTCTTCCCTTCAGACACACGTCCGCTGTACTAATAACTGCCCATAAACCTGAAAAAATATCAAACCATTAATCAAAATATGTATACACAGAAAAAAAAAATACAAAAACCTATCATTGTAAAAATATAGGTATTCAGTCGCATAGAGTCGTGTTTAAAATGGTACCTATATAAAACATAAAATTTATAAATACAATAATTCTTTATTTTATATTTTCCATAAGAATTATTTGTTCGTTTTATCTCAATAACTAAGTAAATCACATACTAAACGCGGTTTTAAGCGTGGACGCCCGCACGACCTGTTGTTTTTTTTATAACCTATTCACATTCTTTACTTGTAAATATCAAAACTTAAATTGTATATATTTTCGTATTCTATAGATTTTTAAGTTTCGGTTCAACTTGGTAACATTATCTTCTTGTATGAATCTACGATTCTTTATTGTTAACTGTTTTCCCAAGGTTAAACATTTGTCTATTTTATATTAACATTAGGTTTAGACGACTAAGTCAGGGAAACATTTAAAACAAAAAAAAATCTCAATAATTAAAATCGTTACTATATGTTTTCGGTAATTGATAATTAGTTACAATAGGTCCAGCTAATATTAATAATATAGGTGATTGGTATCTATAGAATATTTACCTTCAAGGAAAGGCCATTTTCAAGTAACATTCAAATAACTAGGTATTAATAAATACTTTGAATATTATATTACCTACTGCTATATCATACATTTTTGGTATAATTTTCTAGATTCCCGAACTGTTTTTCTAAAAAAATCGATAACAAACAACGATACAAGTACGATTTTGGAAAAATGATTGGGTGGATTATATTTACCGAAAATTGAGAAGCGATCCTGAGAATTAACTAAACTTAAAAGAACTTTCGGAAATCCCGTCATGGAGACAATATTTCTAAAATATTCGTCTCTCACACATATAATATTCATATAATAGGATTTAAAAATAAACTGCGTAAATTTTCAAATATTATCCTTTGCATAATGCATATATTCTTGCTCGGTAAAAATAAAGTAAAACAGAGTCAGAGTCACGTATAATTTAATAGGTAGGTAGGTACCAAAGAATTTATTTTTAATAATACTAATTCGAGTTTTTAAAATTTCATTAAACATGTTTCAGTGACAACAACTAAAGTGTCCCCGGGTCTTCGAAGACTTAAACTAAAGGGAGCTTGTAATTTTACTTAAAATAAAAAAAAAAAGTGGGATTTCATCCCGCTCCGTCCGCCTCATTTTAATCACTGGATGGATGTGACGTGATGCGCTATAATTAAAAAATAAAAAAAATAATACCTATGGAAAACTGCTTAATAGTTTTTGAAAAATATACACAAAATACAAATGACGCAACACCAAAAAAATGTCCGTAGAAAAATGTTTTAAACACGTAAGCGTATAAATACTTTTCGAAACAATATAACCTACCCGTATTATTATGTCCGTGATCGGTATAGGTTCTTTTTCTTTTCGGACAATCGTAATGCCCCGTCGAAGTGTAATAATTATTTTATGCGTTTATGCATTACGACTTTTACTGTTGTCCCGAATGCAATAATAATATAATCCTTGTGCAGTGTATCGTTTACACTAGCGGCCGCGTAGAATGTGATTAATGGCTGTCACAATCACGTACGCCGCGAGTAATCGGGACGCTATGCGAGTCGCAGTCGACTAATATTATATTATACCTACACTGTTACGGCCCGGCGAGGTTATGGAATGATAATAATTAATATAAAATCTGTGCAGACAAGGACTGCGAGTCGCGAGATACGCCCGTTTGCTAAAATATATATCTTGGGTTTATGTGCCCGTATTATATTGCACGTTATTTCGTATAAAACTATCGCATGATAATAACGTACATACCTACCTACCTATATTATTATTAATAATAATCGGGGGCGGACTGAAAGTACTTCGGCCCGGATGGAGAAGTACTCGATCGGCCCAACACATACAGCGCATTTTTCAGCTTTGTACACCAAATTCGATGCTCACATTTGATGATGATTCACTTATATCTATCAATATTTCAATCTCAATTCAAGACGCGATTCGTATTGTTATAATGTTCACATGCAACAATATGCATATGCAAACATAAGGGGACAATCCTAAATGGTCAAATTAATTTGAAATTATTGAAAACGCGCCATTATTCTCTATTTATCGAAATCGTATCGTACAAGTATTAAATATTTATGATTTAATGTCGAACGACTCGATCAAAATGATGTGAATTTATTAAATTATCCAAGTCGTATATTACAATGTGACGTACAAAAAAGTTATGCGTGATACGTGAAACCGTATGTAGAAACGTACGCGCGATCTCATAGAAAGATTATATAAAAGTAGTAAACGTCGATTAAATAATATAATATTATGATGACCATAAATCAAAATGTTACCGAAGTCGTTTTGTCGGCGAATTATAAAGGTCGAAAGAAACTTAGTGTAGGTAGGTACTTAAAATTAGTTTGTATATTATTTAGATATAATAAATAAAGTCGAATATACCCGGATTATTTTTAAAATTTTAATATGCGCCTTTCGGTTCAGTAGGATGTGGATATTAGGTATACGTTAAACAGAATTTTTCGGACGCACACAACGGTATCTTTGGTAATAAAACTAGAAATTCGTTTGTACAAACCGATGTACCGATACATTTTGTACCGGTTTACTAACATTTGATACCGATTGTTTTACACCAGTATAGATATTTGACGATGGAAATCGGTGTATCCCCATAATTGTCCAAAATTAACAATGATAATACTATAAAAAATATATTATCTATGCTACACTTCTCATTTCCCGCTAACAAGTACTTAATAAAAATTAATTTGAATAAGCATTGATTGTTATCAATTAAATTATTATTATTATCATTTATCTGTTCGTTCATTATTTCGAGGGGGAAACGAGAGGGGATGAAACCGGTGTTAATAGTTCGCACCATACGCATGACACGGTTACTCCGAAAAATGTCTCAAATTCACACCGGTGTGAATTTCAAGGGGAAACGTACACCGGTGTGTACCAACGAATTTGTCGAAAGTTACAACTTTCTGTATTCCACAGTAGCGAATAGGCTGTATCTATGTTATATAGGTTCGTTCAACGGTACCTAATACAAACACGCGGGGTCGTGTGTTCGTCGTAATATTACCGTCTGTCTACATCGCGGAGTAGTAGGTATACATACAGCTTACAGGTACTACAACTCCTCTTAGGTACCTACTCCTCCCTCCTCCTATTATTATAGTCTATAATGATTTGACCGTACAAATTGTAAACGTCTCTACAGTCGTGGAGTTTGACGACAATATAATATCGGTTGGACACTGTTCTCGTTCCGTTCCGACGTTATTGTCGAGATGCGAAAACCGGGAACATTCGCCGTACGGCGAATATTCCATTTATTATAAATACAGATATTCTATAGTATATTGTCATCGGACGTAAAATATAAAGGAGCGTATGGAATAATACGAGTACTGTTTATGGATGGAAAAAAAAATATTCTCGAGGCCCGGTCGTGTTATATTGTTGTCGTCTATTCTTACGGTTCTTGCCCGACACAATATAATAATATTGTAGATACTTTCCTACATAATTAATAATAATATTCGAACATGAGATACATTCCCGAAGAATTCGGGTATAGATGGGTGTATACATAACTAATTAGAGTAATCTGATCCGACATTAATATCGCATTACCCGTTAAATTGCGTTTATATATCAGCCGACGAATATTTATATACGACCTATTAATCAAGGTCAACCACATAATGTACCTAATAGTATCCGTAACAGTGTAGCGTGAGATCATTTCTATAATTTGTATACTTAAATATTGCTATTATATAAACACAGTATATTATCGAATACTTGTAGCGAAGGAAAATTGCTCTGCGAAACGTTTCTTCTGTAGCTGCTATGTTTGACATTTTATTTACGCAAATTATTATACCATAAACCCAGTGGCGGATTGTGTCACCGGGAAGCCGGAAAGTTTCCCGGTCATCCACTCTATGACGGAAATTATGATAAGGTGGTTAAATGTGTCGTGTCCACAAATATATAAAACAAAATATGTATTTATTTTTTCACATGTATATCTATATTCTATGGTCGCGTCGTGAAATATGCGTGGCCTACCTGTTAACCGAAAAATATAGGTACTCACAGTGTAGTCAAGACATAGAACAAGTCGAGTAAAGACACAGATAATAATATTTGTTATCTTTGAGTAAAGACAACTCTTTTGGTAACTGGGTGATACCAAAATATAAACGGCCAATCAGAAGCGTACGACCACGGTTGTAGATTCAACCGTCTGTGGCATGACAGCGGCCGTTATGATAACATATCTTTTCTTTAAAAATCACGTTTACATTAAAATACAAAGAATTAAAATTATTGTAATTGGTGTAAACGTTTTTTGTCTGTGAAAGCAATGTCGGAGAAGAAACGTATGGGCGGAGGTCCAAAAAGTTGGGGAAAAAAAATTAAAAACTTTTATTTTCACAATCAAAGCAATGTAGACCGATCTCAGAATTATTTTAAATTCCACCAATTCAAAAATGTCACTAAATTTCAACTAAATTGTTAGCATTTATGTTGTTTTGGGCCGGTGAATCGAAATTCGCCCGGACTGGTTAAAATTCGGAATCCGCCACTGCGTATACCACATTATGGTGTAATATTAAACACGAACATTGTATTAATCCGGGGAAATTATAGATATTGTTCTATGATAAAAATAAACGTTAAACAACATCATATTTTGATAATTTTTTAATATAACCCCGTTGAATATATCTGTGTACGCCACTGGTAATGGGGGTTAGGGAGTAGGGACTATAGGTACATTCAAACAGAATATTATACGTAATTTATCTGTACAGATTTTCTTTAAAACGTCCTGTTCCACCATTTGAACTTCCAGATTTGTTAACAGTTTGCTTGGCCGGTCAACCGAGTTCGATTAATCGACCGGGTTATTACTATTGGTATTGTGTATTCGTACCAGACGACTGACTATCCTACACACAAGACAAACGAAATGTTTATACGCGCGAGTTTTGCCACGAGGTCGAGTTAATTGCGCACGGATTTATTACGTTCGGGACGTACCTACGTACAGACAGTGTACACGGCGATTCTTATATCGCGTATCCGATGATACAATCTGTATAATATCCGCGAAGGATTAATGCGAATCGGTTATCGCCTTAATTGTTTCGGCCAGTGTAATGTGTAGTTACACGTAGAACTAAATGTAATGGTTTTATTTGAAATAAGAACGCTCGTTATAACCGCGTATTTGTTTAACATCTGTGCACAAGAAGCCGTCGAATAGAGTGAACGAAGGGATTATAAGATACACGGCGAGAGAGACGCAAATTTGTTTTTTTATAAAAAAAATCAAGCGAGTCGCCTAATATCCGTGTATTATAGGTTGTCGCGGGAACTATATTTCTTAGGGGGCGGGGGTGTGGGGGACAAAAATATAGATGATGAAACTATCCATAGTTGCACCATCCATGTTTCCCGACGTCCGCCTTTCCTTCCATGGGTATGTACAAGGGAAACGTTCATTTCTCCCGTGCGTTTTTTTTTTAAATACTTATATTGTATACATAATATTATGTTTCAGTGGCGGATTTTCAACATTTTTTCTGGGAGGGATCCTGAAAAATCATATGTATTTCAATAAGTTTTAGACGGCGTTATATATTGATATTACATCAGTGTCTAGGGGGAGGGGTCCAGAACTGCATTGTCGTTCGTTTCGAGCCCTGACTCGAGCGCATCCTCAGGTACCTACGACAAACAATACCGAACTTAAAAAACGAGATTTTTGTCGGGCCACGGCGTGGTCTTTCGCGGATACCTGGAGTCATTGTGTTCGTGCCTACCGACGTGGTCTGTAACTTGATGCCGTATTATACGTTCATTCATAGAGCGACAATAAATTATCATCCCTCGCGACGACGTCGCAGTACACCTACGTACACATGTGGCCGCACATATAAACGCTTGTTTGCGCTCTATTGTGATAATGATAACAATACGTATAGTTGTGCACGCATGCAAGCTCGATCGAAACGCAATACTAATATTGTATGTACACAGGTACCCAAGTACCATATATGTAAATTTAAATTTATCACCTTCCAACGAGACCTCGCGAGAATTACTACGGTCTTGGTATGCACCCATACAATAACATAATACTAATTATCGGCACAAATAGAGCGAAGTAATTTTAGCGTTTTTTTTTTTTTGTTTTTTTCCACGTCTCTGTTCTATTCGATTGTTTCAATATAATATACCCGTGTAATGCGATCGCCGACACGTCGGAAACTAATAAACTATATCGTGTTCGTACGCGCAACTACGTATTATTACGATCGTTATTGATATTATCATTATTGTTATTATTGTTATCATTGGGTGGTTTTAGGCACCACTTCTCGTTACAGGGCCGGTCACCGCGCGACGATGTGAATGACCGAGTAGCCTAACAGTACACACACGCGCGCACATACTCACCTACCGGCGGCGGTCGTCAAAGAGAAAGTAGCCTGTAGTGTGTGGCGTTTCGATCGTGTTATTTCTGTACTTGTCATTTCGCTATTTGGATATACCCAATTTTCTGTCGTATCGTATTGTTATGTGGACGTTTATTATGCGATATACGTGTACGGCGCGGCGCGTTATTCGGTGGGAAAAACGCACGGAAATGCGAACCCGCGCCAATGCCCGCAGCCTATATACACACACACACACTCACGCGCGCGCGCGCGCGTATTACACAAAATGGCGTGTCGAACTGTGACAAATGACATCGCTGTCGGCGGGAACACTGATACAACAAGTGTATCTACGCCGCAACGGTACGATATTATTAGGTACCGACGAGAATGTGCGGGGCGAAAAACGGTAAATTTCCGCCGCGTCGTCGGCCGTTTTCGGCGCGATTCCGTTTACGGTTTTGCGCGCCGCGGGGTTTTTGTTTAGAGAGAAAAAAAAAAAAAAACAAAAATTATATATACATACACATACACGTGTCATTAAAACAATAACAATATGTCCGTTAAACATTATACACCATCGCGCCGAGTTTGATGAAATATTTCCCAACACAGTTTTGTAGGTTAACCCTGGGGCGACGGCGCCGCGCGTGCCCCGTAAAACGAGACTCGCGTCAATACGCCGTTTACGATAGTTATTATTATGATTATGTGCCCGTTAACTATAAACGCGGTACATACGTTCCGAGTTAATACGGGCAAACTAGTGTAATATACGTTATTGCTTCTGTTAAAATACGCACAGTTTTTATACGGGCAGTCTGTAAAGTGTGTAACGAACAACACTCATTCGATATTATTATAACAGTGAGATAAAATGCCCTGTCTCCACTCCTCTGTTGTTTAACCGGCTGCGTCCGAGTTCCGTGCCAATAACCTTTTTTGAGTGAAAAAACCGTAGGTACATGTCAATTCCGTCCCGATTAAAAAAATTGTATACACCAATTCCGTTCCGATTAAAAACGTTCTTAACAATGTTAAAATACATAAATGTTAAATACAACAAATTCAAACGTAGCATATACTTGCATAAATAAAAATTTGTTATCGGATTAAATACATTTATATGGTATAAAAAAATAATAATTTATACGACAATTTTTCTTAACAATGTTGAAATACAGAAAAAAATTTAAATAATATTAAAGAATTAATATTTAATGTATACAAATTCGATTATTTAGTGCGATGACTGAAAACAATATTATCTTTATTTCTAAATAATATAAAATTATTACCGCAGTCTTAAATTTTATACTACATTAATATAGCGTAGAAAACGCAAAACTGGACGGAACTCGTGTGACTAAATAAATAACTCGGGACGGAGTTAGTATAGCCATTTTAAAACCCGGGACGGAACTAGTGTATCCTTAAATTTAAATTTTACACTTGGGACGGAATTCGGATGCAGTCTAGAGTTAAAATCTAGAGTTAAAAAAATGCAGCGAGAACGATGCAAACTATATAAAGCAAGAGGAATATCGGTTAACCAACGTCTAGTACAAATTCTAGGTTTTGAGGGTGATTTCAATATCCTATAGGTGACCGGAGGATCTTATAGAGGACACGATAGACATATGGCTTTAGAGAAACGTCGTTGCACCGAAAATTGGACTGCTGATTAATAGTGAAAAACTCAAACTGCTCGAACTTTTTGATTTCACGTTATCGCGAGGCGATGATGTGAATTCAGTAGTGTTCGACAAAGTTGAAGATTTCCAATATTTATAGTAAATGTATTTCTCAAATAGGAAGAAAATAGTTTAAGACCGGGCATTATAGAGGGGATGCAGTGATGGCGGCGAAGATTCTAAAAGATCTGTTATAGATGCCAGTATAACGATGATGGTGATTGATAGTAAATGCGAATGTTCGAAAATATCAATGCAGATTATTGATTAATTGGCATCAAGTCAACTTGCTTTCTTCGTGCGATATAATAAAGTGCTTTAAAAAAAAATTCAGCAAAAGTTTATAATGTAGGCAGGTACCTACAGTGATGTGGACTATACGCATTTTCAAAAGACGTATTCAAAAAAAAAAAAAAAAAAATGAAAATATCCGATGATTGTATTTTCAAACCGGCATTCTTTGGCGTTATATTGATTAGTTTTTTTTTTTATCAATACGATTAAATCGCAACAATATTATAATGCCGACCATCACAGTTCGTTCGATTTGATTTTTTTCTCGATTTATTTGATATTTTTTCACGTTTTTCCGTATCAATTGTGCCGCTTTTTAATTACTGCTTATATAATATCGGTACGAATATATTCTCGTTTTCTCGTTTTTGTTTTTGTTTCTTATTTTTTTAAACACATTATTATATTATTGTTCGTACGTGCCTGTTATTTTACCATCGCTTGTTATTAGGTTCGCGAAATTAAGTTTATATACGTATACACTGCAGTATTGGTTAATGTAGGTATCGTTGATTTCGAATAATCAGAACGAATCGTGCATCTTATTATATATATATTTTTTTTTTTGTATGTGCACATCTAAACAATAATTATGTAACGTTTGTTTTAATGAATGAATAATATATACGTAATATTATATACCTACGGGTGTTGACGTAAATGTTGACTTAATTTTTAAACTATGACGTCCATCTAAAACCGATCGGTTCGAACTCTCATTTTGAATTCCAAGTGAAAATCTTAGTGTGTGTCGTGTCGGATTATGATATATTATTGTACGTCTTGTCATATAATATGCTTCTGTGCGTGATAGGACATATCGACTAAAGTAGTAGAAGTCTGTGTAACATTGCTGGTATATTATTGTGTTATTATTTAAGCATCTAAAATTAGATACCTGTATACTAACAGTGGCGTTCGTAATACACGCAGTCGGTTCAGAATTATTCGGTAAAATAAAATGTCAAACAGATAATAAATATTATTTTTTTTGCCGATTATTGGATTAGCCGAAATTAAACAGGCAGAACAACAAAAATGCGTACGTTTATTATGCATTGTAATACAATATAGGTATTATAGTATTGATATTGTTAATTATTTTAACAAAATTTATTTGAACTTCCAACTATTATAGCCATTTTATGAAATATTGTAAAACCCTGGGGGCTTGAGGAGTTGTTTTTTTATTATTATTTTTTTTAATTTGAAAATTCTAACACGTGCCTTTTTCTGCATTCAGCGATTCGTGTAGTAATGGAAAAAAAAAAAAAAATTAGAAAAGAAAGTATTTCGCGTATTTCACACAGATGCCTGATCATGATAATAATTTGGATACTCATTTGTGTGTACATCGTGTTTTAAACTTGTATGCAGAGAGATAAACATTACACATTTTAACATTTCTAGATATATTTAATTATTTGAAAGTGAATGTTATACCTAAACTATACGTATAATATAATATATTGCCGGTTAAAAATATTGTAACTTATAAGCTTGTAATGTTCATAGTTCCATAACAAGATTTCTAAAATAATGTTAATTATATAATTATATATTAAACGATGCCGATATAAATATAATTATATAATTAACAATAATTATCAGGTAGGTATTATAGGGATTATCTAGATACATTTGTATGGTATAACGCCATCGATGTAAGACGTTTTATTAGTATCTAAAAATATATTGGTATTTATAGAATATTATATTGTTCAAATCTGTCTGTACATTCAAGATGTTTTTAAACTTATTTTCCTTAATCTCATTAAAAAACACTACTCTTCAAATACGCAACGACTGTAAACGTTATCGTGGCTATTCAAAATCTCTCTGTCATTATTTGTATCAAAATCAAGTTACATAAATTTTGATTGTTTTCTAAAACACGCCTTGCAAGATTAGAATTAAGAGAAAAGGTTAGTTGAAAAGATACCTGTAGTACGTAATTTAATTTATATACCCAAAACAATGATAAACCATTGCGATCGAAAACCAATTTTGAGCGGAAGTCGATAAACTACGGGTAATAAGGTATAGTATAGGTATTATTAGTTGGGTTTTATTCCCTTGTGACCAGAGCAATCCAGAAATCAACAATAAATGACAACCGGTGTTGTAGTTTCGTCATTTTCAGTTAAGCAGTTTTTATATTTTAGAAGAATGGTCGGGAATCTGAAAAAGTTTTCAAACGAAGTACCACGCGGAATCCGTGTATTTACCGAAAAACGTAAAAAGAGTTTGGCGAAAAAAACACATCATAGTAAAATTAATACCTATAGTTTCTTCGCTATATTCGGAATCAAAACATAATAATAATAACTAAAAGTGTACCTACACGTGTCTACTACGTTTTTGTGTTATCATTTACATCCGACATCTGTATACTCGTATAATAGTTTTGTAATTAAATAATGATGTTCGGCGGGTAATTTAAAGTGAAAAAAAAATATATAAAAACTCATACATAATCGTAGATAGACGGACAGATACATGACTGGCTATTATTTTAACTACCAGCCATATAACCTAAATTGACTATAATACAAAACAAGTCTAATTTCATGTCCGTAAAGTGAGAGTAAACTACTTAAATATAGCCAATACAAATTTGAAAAATAAAAAAAAGAAAAACGTCAAACACATCAAATTTTAAACCATGGGCGTTCCCGGTCTATGATTATAACGTAACATGCGAAAATAAGATTTAAAAAATAATAATAATTTATTTATTACACAATTAAACGTAGAATAATATACTTTACACTATAGTCTGATTTATTAATAAAATAACACAGTAGGTGTTGTACCTATAAGACCAAACCTATCAATTAGCCAATTGGATTTTTATCCAGTGAAAGTTATTGGTATCGTGAAATCTCACACATTTGTTATACAGTAAGATGACATTTAAAAAAATAAAAAATAGGACAAAATATTTTCAGTAATTAATTATTAAAGTTTTTTTTTTTTTTTTATAATTATATGCCTATATTATTAACTATTTTAAATATACCCGTATATTTTAGATGTATCATCACCGGTATCGATTCTTGTGGTTATTATTTTGCATGTAAACAATCGCAATCTATAACGAATATTTTTGTGAACAAATTAATTTTATTGAAAAATAAAATAAAATATTAATCCGTATGACTGTATGTTGAAACTATAAAATATTTACAAGTATATCTAATTAAATAAAATAAGAATTTATACAGAATAATTGACATCGAAATAAAAAAAAAAAACAGGACAAAAAGCGTCCTGAAAGAAGTCTTGAAGGACTCAGGACACAATGCTGAAAAAAATTTGTACAAGTATCTATCTTACCGTGCGCGTGTCGCAGTAAATAACTCCTTCGCTATACATATACGAATAGGATGTTTTTGAATTTTTCAAATTTAATTTTTTTAAATTATTTTTGCGTAAATATATGAGTGCAGTACGTCTGTATAATATGTATTTACCTAATTCAAATACATACATTAATTTACCAGAAATCGGATTTAAAAGTTATTGTATATGAGGCACACAAATGTAATAATACGGTAAAACGCCCTTAAGCAGTTTTAAAAACATTACCACACCGCTAACGCGTAACCGATTGTATTTTTCCCGTTTCTGTAATTGAAAAAATCAAAAAAAAAAAAAAAAATAAAAAAATCATATTTACACAGTCCGGAGTGCCAGTGTTACGTAGTTATCGTAATACAATCACGCGTTTTAAATTATTCACCGGCGAACAATCACTGTCGGAGATCTATTGTATTCCGAAATCGTAAGTTACCTATTCGTTTACATATTATTATTATTATTATTGTTATTATAATAATGTACGAACATCGTAAAACGTGTAATTTTCGTTTATACGAACCCAACCTTATACTATTTACTATTATAACCTAACCCATACGATTTGTCTCGAACATAACAATACGTATTAATAATTATTATTACAGCTTACAACCGTTCGTCATACGGACAGATATTTGACGATAGATATATAATTTATAATAGCGATGGGCATCAACGAATCGATTTAGTTTTAAATTTATATTTTTGATAATACAAACACAGAACTCCATTATAATGATAATGAATACTTTATGTTGTTGCCATTAAGTGTATTGCATTGTGACTGTAACAAAACTGTAGGAATTGTGTTTGACGATTTTCGGAAAACGGATTATTTTTCTTTACGTTCATTAATAGGATATGATGAAAATCGTAAACAAAATTGAATCGTATTTTTGAAACAATGTTTGAAAATCGACTTTGAAGTATTTTGTTTTTTACTTGATACTTGTGATAAGAAAAATTTAAATTTAAATTACAATTACAATGAAGTCAACGCACATAGTAAAGAACCTAAAGAATCATAGGATTATTCAATCTTCAAAATTGATGTTCGTGAAACGCAGTTCCTACAGTTTTGTCTAGGTTTTCGGTATTATATGTAATATTTGTCTGTAAAACCAGCCGTATCCCTTCCCCTTAAATGGGTGTTGAGCAGCGGTGGATTACCGGAAGTGTAGTTATTATTTATCAATCATTAGGATGGTTATTCAAATATAAAACGAAATTTCATATTTTAAAAAAAAAATTTAATAAATTGAATTAGGAAAACCAACATCAATCCCCTTGAAAAGACGTGATACCTGCATGCGTTTTACAAAATGGTAAATTTGCCTTCAGAAGGTACGCTATTGCGCTGTTAGTTTCAGTGTTAGAGCGAATTGACCTAAACTAAAACTTAAAGGTAAACACATTATATGTGAAACGTTGGCGGTATTATTTCGATATAATAATTTTTCAGAGAGATATGGGTAATTGAAATATCAAAATTTCATAAAGCATACGCGTTATTATCTCTCTTCCAAATTGAAATAATAAAATAATATTGTTAATTCACTCTAATATTAAAACTAACAGCACAATGATGTCCCTGTTGACCGCGTATTCGCAATGCCACGTTTGTTAAGACAGTACAATATGCGGGCACCATGTCCTCTCGAGTAATTGATTGAGACCGTTTTTATTTTCGAAATTGCTAATATAATATGACGAATAATAACGATGTACGACATATATGTATGCGTTATAGCCTGATTAATTCGTTTATTTGTACGATTCCGAAATGCACTATTTAATATCCAACATTTTTAAACGAGTCATTAAGTTTAGATTTTTTTGTTTTGTTTTGCATTTCAACGTTGCTATTATCGAGTTAACTTTGTCTTTAGTCAACTTATAAACTGTATTCGACTGAATGGGTGTTTTTCGTTTATTTAGGTCGACCCAGTCGAGTTAATTATTTCCATTTTAACCCGCCCGCCTTTGAATACATCTAAACTATCTCAAAATAATATAATATCGTGTTGCGTTTGCAAACATAAAAAAGTGAATACCTAAGTAATGAAATAATTAAGTAGATTAAGTACCTACTGAACCGCCGTATAAACGAGTCTGTTTCAACGAACATGTTAGTTTTTGGTACATTAAAAATTAATCTTGTTCAACGATCACAACGATGATAAAAAAAGTTTTATACATTATATACGATGAATCCACGACTTTCTCGGTATTTTATTATATAGGTACCGGTGAAAATTGTATTTACGCACATTCTCTATACGCATAAAAACACGACGTATTCGGTTGTATGTACGTTCTTGCAGCAACAGTACTAGCAGTACCTAACACTATTGACGTCCTGTATGCAATAAAAACGTTATTATTTTTTATACGAGTATATACCGTGTAGCCTTTATGGGAAATATAAATATAGCGCAATTCAAATTTTCTATATCAGGATATAAGGTTTATTTTTTTTATAAATTTGTTTTTTTCAGTCGTATTACGTGTATCGTATTACGAATATTACGTAATTTTACACTGAATTCGATTTTAGTCGATAAAACCGTCGAGGTTTAAAAAAAAAAAAAATAACTAAAACTAATTCGTACGTATATATAAGACCATAAAAAAAAAGACCTGATACTGGGGATGGTAGCGGCTACTGTTGTAGGTGAGAAGTTGGGAAGATAGGATACATAAGGTTATTCGTAAGCAACGATAAACCATTGCTTGACGAAAGACGATTCCGAGCGCAATTCGGTAATACATAATATTTGAAGTGCTGTAATTTGTTTTGCGATTTTCGTTTAAATTTGATTTCAAAACACTTATAAAAAAAAAGTCGTCCGATGACTTTGGAAATTTTACTTGATTAAATTATTTTTTCTGGTAGAAAACGTCGTCCGTGTTTGTAAAATATTGAAATCGTGAAATTGTCTGTTTTCCTACGTTTTTTCCAACTTGAGTGATTTTATTTAAAAAATAGAGTCGAAAATCAAAAAAATTACCTCTATAAAGTACAAATAGTATAATCTAAAGAATTTGAGCTTTCAGAAAAGTTGCTACACGTAAAAATCGGAGCAAGTTCACTTGGAAAAAACGTGCCCACAGACTAGAAAAAAAAAAAAAGAAAGAAAGAAATAAACATCTTAGTAAAATCAATAGCTCTCTCGCTACGCTCGAAATCTAAAAACCGAAAGAAGATTAATTATATTATATTGGTTTTTGACGTTAAAAAGAGACAATAGCGTAGAAGGTATTAGAATAAGGAGTTGCGTGGGTTAATAGAATACTGTATATAACAAATTGTATCAAAGGACAGAGACTGTAACGGACATGTAACGAGCAGGGAATGGAAGACGGAATCAGAGCAGTTATACAAAATAATGAAGATCAGTGCGGAAATGGCCATGTGAAAGAACTTGACAGAAAGCGGTCAAATGAAATTAATGAGGATTCGGATAAAATGGGAAATATTTATTGGGAAGAATGTATTATAGAGATAGAGGCAGATGGCAGGAAGTTGTGTTGACAGCTAAGGTTCTTGCAGAGCTGTCGAGATAGAGAAGATAGAAGAGAGAGAGAGAGAGAGAGAGATAGAGAGAGATGTATCCATGTAAAAATGTCAACGTTCGTATAAACTGTCGCGTATATTTTCGGGACCTTGAACCAAGAAAAACTGTAACTATACAAATATTATTATGAACAATACGTCGACGTTATTACTGTGGGAAGGTCCCACAACAGCTATTAAATAATAATATAAAATCGGTTTATCTAAACAGTAGTCTCTCCTGGTTAGGTATAGCTCACCTCATGGTATTATACGTTGCGTCTTACCTACCTATTCGTTTCATGGTCGTATTATAAGTGTACATCAATTACTATTATTATTATTATTATTATTATTTTTTTTTTTTAAACCGAATTAAATATGAATACGAAAATAATTTATGATAATCTCTATTATAAAAATATTTTGAATAGGCATTTGGTTTAATATTACAATTACGTCCGGAGAACTTGTATAGAAGCACGTAAGTATTGTAACGAATACGGTGATGCGCGTATCCCGTAATAAGAGACTTCATACATATTCATGCAGATTACTATATTTCCTTACTAACCTACTGCGTCATATTGTATTGTTAAAAATAAATATTCGACGTAACAGCCGGGCATAAATAATATTCTATTTTTGTTTAAAATTTTAGATTTTCAGTGTAGCGAAGAAGCTATAGGTATACATTTTATCAATACGTGCACTTTTCTCTTGGAAAACGCTTTTTTGGCTAGTAAATATGCTTAGTATCTCTTAAAAGACACGGTAACTGCGGTATAGGACACAGGGTAAGTGTACAACAATGATAATAATTATTGTATTGTTAAACTGACCGTCTTCGCCGGCGGGCAGATGTCGCTTGATGGTGACCACAGCCTCGTGCAGCGAGTCCTCCCGCGTCACGTCCAGCGGCACGAACACGACGCCGCCCGGGGCCCGTTCGGCGTCCGACGCGGCCGACTCGCGCTGCTTGGCCCGCAACCGGAGCAGCGCGCAGGCCCCGCCGGACGGCGCGACGCGTGATGGGCTCGCGCAGTCCGAGATGGAATCGGCCGCGTCGGACCGGCCGTCCGGTTTGTAGCCGGCGAATACCCGGAATCCAACGGCCGCCAGCCTGTCGCACAGCTGCAATCCGACGGACGTCTCGCAAGACGTGACCAACACGGACCGCAATGCCGGAGCCGAGTACACGGCCTTCCTGCTCATTTTCCGCAGCAAATACAGCACCTGTAACAGAAACCAAACGACCGCGCTCATATTATACCAATATTGACCGCGTACGGGCGCGACATAATTATTTATGAATTCAAGCGACACTAGCGGCCAAATTGTTTTTTTTTTTGCTTTTACTTCACGTTAATATTGAATTATTATTTGTGTATTAGATTTCGCGCGAAAATGCGAATTTAACGATTTTACGATGACTTCTGGTTTGGTTAGGTTAGGCGGGTTATGTAAGTTGTTTTGAAACTTTCCGGATGCGCATGTGGTTGCACGTGTATTCGATTAGTGGTGAAAAGTGAACGTTAAATCCGACTTACGACTTTACCGAACCATAAGACAGCCTAATGAAAAGAAATGCAAATGATATTTTATTGACCGTAAGTGTGGAGCTCATTAGACCTCATATTGAACATCGGATCTACTCGGGGTAACCCTCCCCCCCCCTATGAACACGCCTGCTTTAATATTGTACCTATATTCCGTTAATTTCCATTTAATGGGAAGAACGCTGGGAAAAACAAAAAATGACCTCCTTAAAGTACCTCCCCAGTCAAATTGCGTTTTAGAAAAAATGCCATCGTTGTAAATCAAAGCAAAATCGCTGGTAGAAAAATTGTCCACAGAAAAAAAAATAAACATCAACTCAAAACCAACACATTCCTCACTCCTTTTAGAATCTAAAACTAACTAAACGTTGATGATTTTTTATTTTTTTTTTATTAAGTAAACTCTTAAATTTAATATAATATACTGTATAATTATTCGAGGTTTCGTTACGTTACATAAGTGAAAATGTACACAAATGATTATTAAAATAAAATCAACTGTAGGTAGGTTTTTGCATGCACGTGGTTTCGATTTTGCCACGAATCGATCACCTTCGTTGATTATTATTATCAACCCGGTGTGGCAATCGTCCGGTTTTGTAACCCCGTAACTCCTCGTCGGGACGCCCGCGATACTTAGATACAGAGTTTATTACCATAATAATAATTATAGTAGCGCATGTGTTATAAATTATAATTTATTTATCGTAAAGATATTTGTGTTCATATTTATAGAAAACGGTTTTGTGATATTGAAAAAAAAAATGTTTATTCTATTTTTTTTTTTTACGATGCGTAAAAACATGGGCAAGTATACTATCATAGTTTGGCATTTAGTCAACTATATACTCGATTTTTAAATATACATTTTAATAAAATATGTTAATGACGGCGGCACGCACGCGGTTTTATGTTTTACTCGTCCAAACGTGAAATACGTATAGTATAAAACCGTACCGGTTGCCAAGAAAAATCCGTAACAATATTTTTGTTCTCATATTAAATCATAATATTAGGCATGTGAAACACACCGCGGTTGTGGTATGCGCAGTTATTTTCAAGCGTTTATATAGCGTTATATCATTTTGTAACCGCTATGGTTACGAGTGTACCATAATAATATTAAGTACTTATACGTACCGAAATAGTATATTATTATAACAATATCGAGTGACAAATATAAACAATAGCGTATGCTTACGGGTGTACAGCGGATTTTTGTTTTCTTTTGTCGAAAACGACTGTAGCTCACATATGGTATTTTTTTTTTTTTTTCAAAAAATTATTTATTAGACAACATACAGAATGATTCATTTAACGTATAACACTAAAATTATTTCGCAGTCTTGACGTTTTTCAAAACAAAAAAAAAAAAATCGCTTTGACAATTTAAGAAACAAGCCGCTCTAAAATGTTACGTTATCATTATTTTCCGTCGCCGTTATTTTCGGGGACGAAACGACTATTTCGCTACGAAATAACGAACGTTTTACATTAAATACGAATCGCCCTGTATAGATACATAGGTAATATTTTGGATTAAAAACCATATAATAATTGGCTTATTATTAACTATAACTATACACATATACCTATTTACTTCTATAGATAGATGATAGGATTTTACCGTATGAAATTGTGTATACTTACGAAAATAAATTATCAGTACTTATATAGAGTTACAAACGATTTTTTTATGTGTCAGTTTAATTATGCTCATCCATTTTACCGTAGCTGCTATAACAATAGTTAATGACTTTAAATTGGCGCGAGAGTGATCATTTTTGTTTATTTCGTATACGTTCGTTAGGTCAGGTTTACGCGGTTGGATTAAAAAAAAAAACAATAATAATAATAATAATAATAAAAAATCGGTGGAAAAAAAAACGAGTGCTGTTTCAATATATTATAATGCGGCAGTATCGATTTTATATTATACATTAGTTGTTCGTTAATATTGAAACAGCTCGTCGCACACAGGAGGAAAAACGCAGACGATGTCGTAATAATAAGTTTGAAAGTATACCGTTACATCGATCTGATCGGTCAAGCAGTACATAGTAAAATGTATATTTTAAAAGAATTTCATATGTCCAAAAGGTTAGACTTATAAAACACATAATTATATTATATTCAGGGGCGGGTTGGGGTAAAAAACGGGCCTTTATCTATGAACGGGCGTTCATAAAAACCCCTTAGACGGACTCTTGGGACCCTAGGATAGATCTTATGCAAGGTGTACACACAAGTAAATGTCTGAAATTATGTTTTGCAAATATTTTAACTACCTATACCTATAGCATTATTGTGAGTATAATGGCAGAGTCACAAATATTGCAGATGCGTACTGTATACTTGCACACGAGCCCTTTCGCCCAGTCTGCCCCTGAATTACTACGTACATTTACTTTGTCGAAGCCATGCGAATATCACTGATTGTACGATGTTTTTTCTCGGGCTTTGATAATGTTTAGAAATAATCAGTCACGATGATCGAATAATGTACTTAAAACAATATTTTGTTTACCGCGAACAGGAACGATTTAAGATGCTCTTGCAGTGTGTACCTATGTATACTGCATATACTATATAGGTATACTTACATTATCGGCGTTCTAAAAATTTAAACTAAAAAAGCTGTTCAAGAACGTTGGATTGTCGCCTAAATAAACTGTATTCAGTGTACAGCGAGGGAAATGAAATGATGTGGAAATTCCAAAAAAAAAAAAATGTATTGTATATAATGGTATTTTATTTTTTTTTATTAAAACAATGGGAGATCTCGTAAAATTAATGTTCGTAAAGTAGTACCTATATTTATATAGGTCAGTTTTAATGTAAGTATACAGTATAGGCTCATTATATTGAAAGCTATATAATTTAACGAAAACAAATTATACCAACGCCATTGTCGTGAGCGCGTGCGACATTTGTGACTTTGTGCAAGACAATCGGAAATTTACACGATTATCATATCCATTGTGGAATGTGTTGGGGGTGGAGGGAAATGAGGACATGCAAAATGATTTGGTTGTGGTACGATATATGACATATCGTGTCACAGCCAAATAAAGAAACAATATTTGAAGATTATCTTCAAGACCTCCAATTTTTATCAATTCAATCTATCAATAAAATAACTCCGATGTTCCGGGTTCGAGCTCATATTTGGTACAGAGAAATCCGTTAGAAATGTCAAAAAGTAGCGAATCATACAGCATATTATAAAAACATTTAATTCTTATTGATATTTGAAACGCATACAAATCTCGTATCTATTAGTTTTTTTTTACGTTTATGACTTTCATCTTCTCGCGCGGTATTACAGCTATTTACCATGCGTATTATTATTATAATGAGCTCGACTAATCAGCAAAATTTCGTTCTTTCTCCCCCTCCCCTCTCTACCAAGTCTAACTACTAAGTCTACTAAGTCCCATTTACCGGTTCCTCATATTATTTATTATATTCTGTACGTAATATTTATCTGTTCGTAGGTTACAATATACGATAATAATATTATCGGGTGTCCGTATAATTGGGTGAAAGTATGTGATATTGTTGTACACACAATATACACGGGTATAATATTAGGTTTATATTAGTTACGAAGCAACAACCGCTCTGGTGCAGTGCGTTTAACGATGACTGACGCCGTTGAAGTTTACGGTACATAATATAATATTTGGTGCATAATAATATTATACGGATGCGCGTTAAATCAGTTTAATATATAAAGTGCAGTATATTATTATAGTTTTTGTGTATTGTAAAAGTACCGGAATATCGCAATCGGGAGTATGCAGTTAGCTGCCTACTTACTATCCATAAGAAAAAAAAAAAAAAATGTAAAGTAGACCCCAGCTCCGGGCCCGCCTATAACCACGGTGACCGCACAATTGTATTTATTACGTTACTTATGCCACACAGTGGAAATGGCGGAAGAATTTTTTTTTTACATCTTATTATGGACTATAGGTACATCACGCACTATGTATGGCGTCATATTTAATACGTCCTATCTCTTTATAATATACTGTTATACCACAACCGCTTATTCATACCACATCAGGAAACTACATAACTGCAGTGATCGATTGTTATCTGCAGATATTTTTCGGTTGTTCGTATTGCCTACGTTCTTTCAATAAACTCGGACAAATAATATTCGACGATAATATAAACGAAAAAGCACTTCTTGTGGGAGAGGATCAGAATACTCTCACGGTATTTCTACCAGTTGTAAGAGGCAAAAAATGGGGTTGCGTCAGTTCGACAGCCGGTACACAAATAGTTTGAAGAGTGTTAAGCAAGTCTTGGGCGATTGGGAATAGGATGAGGACATTAAAGGATAGTCAGTGTAAGCGTGATGGGAGATCAGATAGAGTGGTAATTTAAGACGAGGGTGGCCAACTTCAAATAGCTGGGATGAAAGAGAATGAAAAAAAAGAAAACGACAAACGAAGTATATCAAATCTCGATTCAGGTCTTATCATTACGGTCTTATATTCAGTCGTATATTTTTACAGTATCACCTACGAAAACGGTCGTACCTCTACTCGTCCAAAGATATTAGATTAGAAGCTAGAAAAAATGAGGTACGACTTTGTTTTTAGTTTGACTTTGTTTTACGACACGGATTGTGTTTGTATAGTTACTGCAGAAATTATTGTGTTGAAAAATCGATTCTGAGCAGAGCAGGTAAGGTTATAGTCTACTCCTTTTTATATTGTAGCCAATGGTAATTCATTGACGTACCGTCATATTTTGATTCATTTGAAAAACAGTGTTGGAAATCCTACAGAAAAATGTTTCAAACAAAGTATCACCACCGCGCCGGACGAAAAATACTCATCTGTTAGTTATTATAAGGTACTGCGTAAAAAAACCCGTGCATTTTTATTGTCAGAAAAAATGTTTTAAAAGAAAAACACATCTTTTTAGTAAAATTCGATGTATTATAGTTATTTTTAGTTACAAATAAGCATCTGAAAAAAAACAAAATTAATAATAATTTACAAACATTAAATCGGTATTCGGTATGTTCGATAAATTGTGTTAAAATTTTTATTCAATCAAGTCCAAAATTAAGGTAATTTCACGCATTTAAAAATTCGGGTTTGCCGTTACTATCGAAACTAAACGATGGATTTTTTTTTATTTTAAAAAAAAATAAATCATATTTTAGAGGAATACATAAATAGTAAACAAGATTATTTTTCTAAGAAAAAAATGATATCACTACATATGTATATAAATTAGATTTATGACGAGACAATATTTTCTTTTTCTTTTAAATATTAAACTACCGTAATAAAAATTGCTATACAGATAAACAATAAAAAAACAAACTAGAAAACAATAGATAAGTACGAATAAAGTTTTTTTTCCAAGAATTCATCTTTCGTGAAAATTTCATTTTTTGTAATTTTATTTGTTCACATAAATCTATCGGTAAAAAATGATTTTCGAAAAATAAAAAATAAATAAAATGTATTTTAAATGTTATATTTTTGTAATTATCGATTAAATAAATGATAGCTAAAGTACGTATTATTACAACATAGGGAATGAGTCCATAAAAAATTCATTGTTATTCGAGTCACTCGCTGATTCATTAAGATTATTATTTATTTTAATGACTGATGATCATATTTGTCTAAACAAATTATCTAAAAAATGCAGTACGTCATACTATTATGATTATCATGTTTACTATATTTGAAACGTTCTCTGAACAGTAGTGGATCTGAAGCCCAGGAAAGTGAACGAAATAATATCATAAGTACTTAAAAAAATCGTAATTTAAAACAAATTTCGGAGGAGGGGTTCCAAAATTTGTTTGATTTACCATAAATTAATTTTTTAATGTTTAAACGTAGACCAATAGACAATCTCTCCTATATTGGCGTACGCAGGGGGGGAATGACGTTAGGGGTTATACGGCCTTCCTCGTTAGATTAAAAATACCACAAATATGAGTATTTATTTGGTATTTTAATACTAAAATTATATTATTGTAGCCAAGTTGCAAGGAAAAGCTTGATTTATGGAAAACAGATTACTTTTTTTGGATAATTCTTTTAAATTCTCGTTTTCGGGTTAGGTAGTTACAGAAGAAGATCCTATAACTTTTTCGTGATTATTTACCTATCTATACATCCCTTCCTTTTGACAATTTCTTGGCACGCTGCTGCCCTCTCCTCTCAATGATGGCCTTGATACCTGTACAATTCAGTTACCAAACAATGAAAAAAAAAAATCAAAAGCCCAAGAAGTGGGGGGTGATACCTGTTTAATTATATTCAAATAATGTAGACGTTTACGAAAAAACGTTAGGCGGTTAATGTTTACGCCGATATTTAATTAAATATTTATTAAAGAAATCAGCCAAGGTCGTCGGAAATAATATTATAACGAGTAAGGTATTAGGTACCTATTTCAAATTCAAATATTAAATAAGTATTTTTAATCGACTTTAGAATTTCGAACAGTTTTAACAGTACCTACATAGTATAGACACGCAGTATAATTATATTATTGACATTGTTAACTAACCAATAACGAGTATATATAAGTGTATATGATCGGTTTTTAAAACGGTCGTACAAATTATTAATTTCGCTTCATGCACAGTAAATAATATTGTTAGTACCGATAGTGTTGGTAATTTTCGTTTTTTTCAAAATCAATAGACTCAACTAGGTACTTATCAAAGTTGTATTTTATTAGTTATGCATTTATTTATTATTCGGAAGGGGGTGATAGTTTGTAAGTAGTTGCTGTATGTTATATACACTGAACGAAAATCCAATTAAAGCATATTTTAGCGATTTATAATAAATTGTGCAATATTTCTGATACCCATCAAACTGTTAATTATATAGTCGGTTCGTGTGCGGTCTGATAAGGAAGACAGCTGCGGCTGTGTAAAGTGATTGTCGGACGAGAGCGTGGTGTAACGCGAGTGGCGAGAAGGGGGGGGGGAGAGGGGCGATCAATTTTAAGGATTTACGAGGCGAAACGTATAGAAATATTATTGTATTATAATGCCGTAATACGTGTAAAAAGGCAACATTGACGTATCTATTCAATGCGCGAATATAATATAATAATGTGTTCATATAGTCGTATACCTAACGCGATAATTGTTTTCTAGAGGTATTGGTATTATTAATACAGGCGTGTGGCCGTGCGGGCAACGTTTTTATTTCAAAATTCTTTCAGTCGACTTGTCGCAGTACAGGTACTATTCGCATTGGAAAGTCGGTGAAATCGAACATCAAAATAAAAATATCTTGTATGTTATGTCTACCGGCTCACGCGCGCCTCTACGGCGACACGGAGGAGGCGAGCGGCTCACCATAACGTATTGTGATTGTCGTTATAATTCGTCGCACTGCAGATTACGTGTTTATTAATTCCACGACGCGTGGAAATTGAATCGATAAATGTTTCAAGGTAACAGTTTCACAGTCGTTAAAATTGTTAAAGATGCAATAGCGATAGTAATATATAGGTACACCGTCAAAGTATGGACCTAGTTTTCGATTAGCGGACAGTTCGTGTGTCGATTTAGTCACACGTATTGGTACGCAGAAAAAATAAAAAAATAAAAAAATAATCAATATTTTTAAATATTTTCTATTTCCCCCCCCCCCCCGTGAATATCAAGATGTGCCGTTTAGAGAAAGTTGTACGATATTTTTAATAATAAGGTCGTAGGTGCCTATAGTATATACTATATACCGCTGCACAGTTTGATTAACAATAAATATAATAATTCCGACATGACATTGACAATAATGCCTGTGCAGAATACTTAATGTAATAGAAAAATACCTTGTAGCATACCGCCGCGGTTTACATGGAGTGAAAAAAAAAACGATCGCTGTCGGTTATCATGAAATAAATAGTACATTGATATTATATTATATTATATTATATTATTCGATTCAAAAAGCAAGAAAAAAAAAAAAAAAAAAAAACGTCATTTTTACACGAAAAATACGTGTCGTCGTCGCCTCATCGGTTATGATGAAGACTGCGTTTGTAGAAAAGTGTATTTTTCATTTTGTTTGTACAATTGTAAAACGTAGTTTTCTTAACAAAAAGTTTGCATTATGTAACAGCAAATTCAACTGCGAAACTTTTATAATTATTTTTTCGTATTTTTTAATTTTAATTTTTTTTAAAATCTCTTCCTATTCAGTTCGTTTTACGCGATTTTTATCCTCTTTTGTACGAATTACATATTTATTGGTAGTGCATTTCCAAAGTAAGTAAGCTATCTGTAGAAGATTAGGTCATTTAGGTATTGTCGTTTATTATTTTCATATTTGTTGGCATTTTAACAAGAGATATAGACGTAAATAGTTCAAATATTTTGGGGAGGAGGCTTAAACCTCCACATAATATTAGTTGAACACTAAGTACTTAATTATGATTGACTTGACTTCTTTTGTGGGGGAGGGGGATCAGCCGAGTTTTGGAGGACCGATCCCCCTTCCAAGTATCTTCGCCCTATTTGTGTTCATACGAATAAAGTATGCATAAAAAAAAAATTAAACAAAATGAAATGTACGTTTGTAATAAAACATTACGGACGGCACATTATATCTAGAAAGCGTTCAAAACTTAATCGCGTCAACATTTCTCATACAGGTTACATCATAAATATCGTTGTGAATATGTTGCTTGAAGTAATAAGCACTTGAAATAATTATTAATATATTATTATTAGTATAACCTGTTTTTTTAGGTAGCGTATACATTTTTATTTTTCGTATACACATAATAGCGTAATATCGATATGTAATTCCGTCGAGTTTTCGGTCACGATTCGAAATATTCACGAAAAAAATCATCTTTACCTACCTGTATTCACGTCACGCAGTAAACAGTCTACGCGTAGTGCAAATAATTAACGAGTCGTGTCCAATTATTTCACGATTTTTTTCAATGCACCCAACATTATATTCTACATATAGGTACCAACCTATAGTGTACACAACGGTTTAAAGTACATTTCAAAATCATCACGATCGGCAATCGGTTATGAAGATCACACAGAAAACATTTTCAGATGGAACCGTGGCCATAGTAAAAAACGGTCAAATTTGAAAATGGCCCAGACGAACAGATTCAATTGAAATTGTCCTTTTTTTTTTTAATGGCCAATTTTTTCCTCCGGACATATCAGTGTAGCTGTATAGAGATATTTTTACTCGAACAGTTTTTTTACTGCGTGCATATTCGATTTGACCGTTGTTAGTTCTAGAACAGTATCCAATATAGGGAAAAGAGACCTTTGTGAAAAAGTAATAGTATCAAAAAAGAAGTCCTAGGATAATGGAGACGGGTGCAACCACTGTTATAGGTAATTTAATATATATCTGTAAGCAATGATAAACCATTGCTAACGAAAAAACGATTCTGGGCGCAGTTCAGTTGACAGTGATGTTTTGTCAGCAATTTATATATTAGGGTGTTCCTTAATTTTCAATTTAAAATATTTTTGGTCTCACCCTCTATATACATGTGTATATGTATATAAATGAACTACAAACAATTTTAGGTGAATCAAATAAAGTTAACCCGTGCCGAATTGAACTATTACGTACAAAACTCGCAAAATTAAAATGTCTATAACCAGCTCAAAAATAGGTTACATTTTTTAAAAATTTGATCACGTCTAGAAAATGCAAATATAAGTTTTCTGTCCAAATTTCAAGTCTCTACGAATATTTTTAACTAAATTACACCAAATAACAAAATTGAAAAATAATAAATGCACTATTTTCGTAAATTTTCCATTTTTCTTACGTTTTATCCTGGGTTTTCCCAGACATTATGAAAACCGCTTTGAAAATCAAAAAAATGACCTTCCATAAGCACCATCCGGACAACATTCTCTTTCAACGGTGCCGCGCGTATATATATAAGCAACATTTCTGGTAGATTTTTTGTACGCAGTATAAAAAAAAAAAAATAATAAACATCTTAGTAAAACCAATACATTCTTCGCTACACTCAGAATCTACAACAGCACGAGAAAAATCACGTTTTTAAGAGATCAACCAATTCGGAAGTATATTCCGACGGATATAGCCGGCCGGTGACGGGTTAAGAGACCAGATGGACCTGTAGAGATCTAACCTCCTACCACCTGAAAAAAACTGTTTTCGATTTTATTTTAATTTTTCTTCTCACATACAATCAAATGGAAATTATAAAAAAAAAAAAAAAAAAATTAGGAAATATATAAATGTATGCCGCGTATAAACGTTTCAATTATTTTAATAATATGTCGTTTTGGTATACTATAGTATACAAATACCTCGTGTCTACAATAATTATACACGATTGTTTTGTACGGATACTTTAATACACCTATGCTATAATTAGGAAATTGTTCGTTTTCTATCTCGCACGCCGGCGATATCACACCGCGGCGTTATAACGCGAGACAAACGAAAACGGCGTAATAACTATTGTTTTCTGGCGTATATTTTAACGTGGACGCACAATATGTCCATGTCGAAATTATATTATAATCGCACGGAGTTATCATTATTGGATATTATGTATTTTTCGGTTGTATGCATTTATGTAGGCGTGTTATTGCAATCACAGTGGCTATTACACGATAACAATTAATAATTGCCGAATAATGTATAACGAAATAAATAACGTGAATTAACGTAGGTTAACCTAACCCAAACTAACCTATATATTATAATGGCATATATTTGATTTCGGTTGTTTTAAGCGCTATCAGAGTACAAAAATAATTAAATATATTTAACGAAAAATAAAAAAAAAAACAAAATCCCGTTTATTGCATCGTAATAATACGTGATGTGTGTCCATCAGTCGCGTATTAAAATGCAATTCGAATTAATTATTATAATCACTTGCTCATTACGCAATCAGTGGGAAATCGTCGATGTTCCTACCGCCCCTCCTCGCAATTTAAAACGTGTGGCGTACACCGTATTATATGATAGGTGCCTGAGAAAAACACTTAATTACGTGATTGTTTTAAAGGACATATCGATTAGTTTAAAAATAGAATATAAGATCGATCGAATTTACACATCGTTTGTGTATGGTGGCACGGAGCGCGGCTTTTTTAATAATGCGCCACCACTCTTTCCCGACTCAAACCCAAGAGCGAAATATCTCGTCGACGGCTTGACGGAAATCAAAAACGCCAACACCAACATTTATTCTACCTAAAATTCTATTTACGTATGGAATTTTTAATGTAGGTCGCCATTTGAAAATCAAAAGTAAGTATAATTATGAATAACGCGAATGTAAAATTGTAGAGCTGCTTGTTTCTTAATACATGTTGTATAAAACACACTCCGAAACAAATGAATACTTTCTGAAATAATGAGTGTCTTACGATAGATTGATCACCTTGTACAATATAATTATTGTTATTTCGTCTATCAAATAAATCGCATTTTTTTTTTAGATTCCGAGTTGAGCGAGGAATGCATTGGTTTGACAATGATGTGTTTATTTTTTTTTTTGTTCTATGAACAACTTTTCTACCAGATTATTTTGCTCCGATTATCAAGTGTAGCACGTTTTATGAAAATAAATCCGACTGGGGTGGTACTTTAAGAAGGTCATTTTTTGATTGTCTTCGGGGCTTTCATAATAAACGGGAAAAACGGGAAAAATGTCTACGAAATGTATTATTATCAAATCGTAAATATTACGGTCTTTCAAAGCACGTGTTACCGAGCTCCACTCGGAATCGTTTTCCGTCAGCGGCGATTAATATTTGCGCACAGATGTATTTAAAATGTCCCCTCCGCCTTTTCAACTTTACAACCCACAACAGTGACCCACCCATCGCGCGAAGTATGTCGGTTTTTTGAACATTTTTAAAATCGGACGTTTTTTTTCCACATAACATGTAATACAATGGGAATATTTGTAATTTGTATTGAATTTTTTTCTTGCCCCGCGCACCGAAAAAAACGAGTGTGCGTACACTGCTGCGGATCAGTGTACGTGCAAATAACGTAGCCAGCCGTTCGGACGAAACTATTCGCTACGCAAATGTTCATATTGTATGTGTGTCTGTGTGTAGTATACCCAATATCATATCGTGTGCTTTTTTCCCCCCCCAAGTTCGTTTGTTTCGCCGGTAAGTATACTACACTCGTCTTTGAATACATTTAAACGCGTCGTCGGTGCCTATACGTGTGTGTATTGTAGTTAAACGTAACGTACGCATTTAATTTGCACACGTAATTGGAACTCATTTTCACACTTTTTGTAAAAAAAAAAAAATAGATTAATAATAGCAATAATTGAATTTCCCCTACAAACCGCGCGTTCGTATTTCTACCGTTCGAGTTGTGCTAGCTAGTCACGCGGCCGTCACACGAATATTGTTATTAATTTCGCGTTTACACGAGCGACTCGTACATGCGTATTATGGGTTATCTACGATTTTTGACGAAAAAAAAAAAATTAAAATAACAAAAATGTACGCGACACAACGCGTCAGCGTAGCGAATTGTTTTTTTTTTGTTTTTTTAGCAAATTTCGCGTGCCAATAGCCATACATATCTATCGTTACAATATTAGGAAGTGATGTGAATTTTTTTCCGTAAAATTGTTCAATTCGAAACATTATAGTACGTATGCATGATAATCGTTCGGTATTGATTCATGTCTTCCGTTCGCCGTTGAATAATTGAATATCATACCTACGGTAATATTTGTATATTTTTTTTCGAGTGCGCGATATCCACTTCCTGCTATCGATTGTTTACCGATATTCGTTTGTTTTTCATTTAAATTTGTTTCCCACTGTTTAAAATAATTATTTAGATTCCGCACCCGTCGCGGATCGAATATTTTACTATTCCGCGCGAACAATCGACTACGGCAAACGCGATAAATATTGTGCATTATGATAATTTCCCGATTGTTCACGTTCGTGCGGGTTGAACCACATTCAATTCCCGTACATAGTAGACGCGTGTCCGATTTGTCGTTTCTCGAATCTAAATATTATAATATTGTTTGTTTCTCGAACGAAAACCCGGCTGAAACGGCGCGCGTGTTGTCGTGGTGTGCATTAGCTTGGATTGATCAGCGCGGAGTGAAGTGGGTTCAATATTTCTAATCTAATCACCCGCGATGGAGAACTCTACAGGCGGATAAGTGTGATAATTGCGAATAACGATTTTCAATTCGTGGATTATTTTTTTTTTTTTTTAATCCATGTATATTATAAATTGTTCCTTTTGCCCCACTGCGCGGCGTACACATTGCATCATTACATTTTTACCGAACACTGCGCATGCCTATAAAATGCCGTCATAATAGTATCTTAATGATGTTATCGCGGTGTTACAAAAGGGAACGGTGGCGCGTGGTCATGGGCGGTTTTGGAGGTGAAACCCGTTCTGACATTCTTAGGAAAACTTATAATTACGGTTTTTTTTTTTATTATTAGATATATCGTTACATTGCGGGACATTTTTTTTTTCTAGTCAATATCTCCCGCTCTTGAGTTGAAAAACTCCACGGGTCGATAGATCAAACTTTCCCGTTAAAATTTCATCTATTCCCGGGTACCCCTCTCCACACCGGTAAAATTCCTGTACAAAGTATACTATTTTCGTTACGAGTTCCATACTAATTCGATCATTCATTATTCATTTTCTAATGGGCAGCAAATCTTACTTGTCTATACTGGGTGACCAGTGGATTTTACCGTGCGTGTATCAATTTGCGTACAAAAAACCTTAAAAACGCTCTGACAACGACAAACCAAAAAAAAAAATGTTTTTATTTTTATAAGTAGGTAATTGTATAGTTATTAAATATTGTTTGTAAATGTACAGGAACTCGGAATAAGACTTTTAAACGTCCCGGGGCCAAAGTTTTCGACGAGGCCTTCATAAAGGTACAGAAAAAATCAAAAAATACGTTAAAAATGAATGACTGGACAATCCGTTTTTGGCCAAAGAATATGACAACAAATAAAATACATATTTGTGTAATAGCTTACTACCATAGTGCGTAGTTTGTTCGGGCAACAGGTAAAAAAACTGCGGCCCGCGGAGTAATGTGACCCCCCCCCCCGGTGGCGTATTAACGGGATGAATGAGGATAACTTCCCCTACCTCGAAATATCAATTAAAAATAATGACGAATAAAAATGAATGGCCTATTCGAGTTTACGGTACGTGTCTTGTTTTGTTCGTGTCACATTATCCAATTTGCTTATTGGAACATTAAACCATCCCCCAAAGTCGGGCGTTGTAAGTACGCCACCGCCCGAATGGTCCCCAGTCACTTTTTAAGTTCGAGTGTACGTGCGATTCAAATGTGTTTAAGTCTGCGTACACGTTCGTTTCGGACAGACTCGTCGAATAGATTCGACGAAGCTCGCGGTCGTGTCGTTTGCGGTGACCGGGACACGCGGTTCCGGGCACCGTGTACGCGATAAAAAGCTACGGATAAAAAAAAAATAAAAAAAAAAAAAACAACCCTTTATCAGATAACCGAGCGTGGCACAACTGTGTGATAATACGCCGCGCGTGTATTAAGCGTGTAACAAAATATAATACCGACCAGTGAACACGCGATGCAACACAGGGCCAAAAGCTGCACGCCCAAGACCAACGCCGTCTCCTCGTCCATGTTTATACTTTGACTGTCCTGTCCCGCGGTAAAATTATCGCTATTCGACGCTATGTTATTATAGAAAACGCGCGGAAAAGAAAAAATACGCTTACATCACTGAAAAAAAAACTATACGAAAAAATGAAAAAAAAAACAAAAAACAAAAAACCCGACGATGTATAAATAATTGTATTTTGAAAAACGCCCGGGCGTTTTTTTTTCGCACGGGGGCGGTTTCCACTAGAAAAAAGCTTACGGACAAACCGTGCGAGATGTTTTTATCGTACGGCGGAATCGGTACTACGAATAATCAAAAACAAACACGCCACATGACCGCGCGCACGAATAACGCGACGCACACTGCCGATATCCGCGTAGGTATATGGATACACGACTCGTGGATATCGGGCCGTGCTCGTGGCTCGCGCGCGGAGACGCGTCGTTGCGCCGCCGCCGTTGCCACCTCCGTCGCCACCCGGCCGACGTTACAGAACGCGTTGTTGTTGTTGTTGTTGTTGTTGTTGTTGTCGTTGGTGTTGCGCGCGCGGGAGACGCGAAGATTTCCGACTGTCATCGTCGTCGTAGTCGCCGGTTTTCGTGTAACGTACGTGTCCGAACGGCTGGTGCCCGGTCATCGCGCGCGCGATGGCCGGGTAATAATATCATTGTAGAAAGCGACGACGGCCCGGACACGAGCGTGTGCCTCTTCGGCGTACAGAATGCGGTGGTTTTTTTTATTTTCTCTACGTATATTTTTTCATATTCGATATTTTAAACATTTTTTTTTTTTTCGTCGTTTGTTTCTACGCCGTCCGCCGCCGTGGCGTTTCGTTTTAAAAATGCTCATTAAAAATCGCAACGTTCGGACGACGGGGTAGGGGGAAACTATTTTCATTTATCGACACGTGACGGGCGGAAGAAACTCGGGAAATCGGCCGCGTCCGCGAATCGGTCCCCGACATCGGTGCGGGCGGCGCACATCCGAATCGGTTCGCGATATAAACACACTCGGAAATCGGCGAAATCCCGTCTTCCCGTCGTTATACGCATACGCACGGGCATGTAATATCGCGGGCACCGCGTACAGGCTGCAGCCCCTCTCCCAACCCGCCCACGAGCTTGACAAGACGGACTTCAGCCACCCACGGTTCTCATATTATATAAAAAAAAAGTCCAATATCTGTTACGTACATCTTTAAAATACTAATTTTTATTTACGACAAATGAATTGAGAAAGATAAAACTTTTATTTTATTTTTCTTTCTCGATATCGATAGCAGAGAAAAAGTGTAGACTTCGGTAACCGGCCAGGTTCTACGATAACCGGTGTCTGATTGGTGACGGTTTGTCGGTATATTGACGTTATGAAAACGGGTTGATACGCCTTGACGGTGCGCGGTAATACTGTACACGCGTTACGTAAAACAGCGAGCACACCTTCCCCACCCCCCAGTGAAATTTTCGAAATTTGGCGCCGTACGTCCTTTGTAACGGCCCGGGAACCGATTCGGATACACCGTTAAATTTATATATATTATAGCGCGATTATTCGTAATACGGAAATTTCGAGTAAATTCGATTCGACGGATTACAATGGTATGATAATCGTTACGACATAATTTTTCGACGCACGTAACAGGCCCCGTATCAGGCAAGATGTATTCATTGGGCGAGGGGGTTATGAAAAAAAAAAAAAACACGTATAAATTAAACGCATATCCATTAGTAACATCAAATGGCGTAAATGCGAATTGTAATTTTTTGACCGCACATTGTTGAGAGTCTTGTAGAAGTACGCTTGCTTTTAATTCGGCAAAGCCAATGACCTAAATGCAAAAAAATAGCAGCGGGAGGGGTTTGAACCCTCAACACCTTCCCTTACGCACGGGCCCGGCCCGTATTAATTATTAAACAGCTTAAGTCGACACCGTAACTCGGAAATACTTTCGCAGTGGTGTGAGCGGGGGGGGGGTTAACTAAAAACGCGCGGAGATCTAATTTTACGGATTTGAATAATTAATTTTCCCGCGGCATAATATAACGCAACGGACTTTCAGGGTTGAGGGGTCGGCGTACGGCCTTTGCCGCACTTTTGAATTTAGCCATCACTGCGGTGTGCGGATGTTATTTTCGGCGTTTCGGTACGGCGGCCGGACGAGACGGAAAAGATCGGGAAAGAAATACGGATAACCGTGTCATTGTTGCAGAGGCGCGGTCGAAATTCGCGCAAAACATGACGCGCCTACATACGTAAGATCGCCGTACACTTTCGACCCACTTTTACGGGCGGGTACGTGCGGTCGAACGGTCGTCGCGCGGATTTTCAGTGTATTCAACACACTAATAATAATAACAACAACAACAACAACAAACGTATTATATTTATATATGTATATTGTATTACACTTGTGGCGACAATAACAATAACGGTCATTAGTGTAATATTATAAGCCAAGCTGCGTTGCGACGCACGAGTTCGGGTTCAAAAGAGTAACAAAAAAAAAAAACCAAAAACAAACGTGTTCTCGAGGATCCAGTCGAAAATATAATAAAAACAATAATAATATTACATTGCGGTAAAAACAAATAAAATCATGCGCATTTTTTTTGTAAATTATTAGAACGGAACGCGAAAAATACACACGACGTTTTGTGTTTTCATCCATCATCGGACGATTCGGATGTGTCATCGGTGTCAATTACACGATACTACGTATTATAGACGTACGAATATACAATATATACGGTTTATTATATTACGATTTCACGCTCTTCTTCTTCTGTATCTGTACAGTGATAACGATATTTTCAAGTAAAGTCATTCAGAAGAATACACTGTATTTTATACGACAGCGTTGGGAAGGAACGCGTCCTTTTCGATTATATATTAAGAATGGGAACGAGTTCCTGTTTATGAGGAACGCGAACGCAAATTTCCGTTCCTCATATTATGAAAAAAAAAAAAATAAATAAATAAATGAAACTCACGTGAATGATAATATCGCCTAGAAACTATTTAGTGTTGGAATCACTTTGTCAGTTAATCAATCAACACAGGGGCGTATCCAGAGCTTGACTATGGGAGGGGTGGGTGAAATAATTAAATTTAATATTAATGATTGATAAGGAAAAAGGGGCGTTCGGGAATCGGGCCACATTTTATCAAGCTGCTTCGTAAGTAATATTTTTGTATATTTTATTACCCGGATATTAGGCCACAAATGAAAGGTATATTTTTAAAGGGCACCCGGAGATTGGGTCACAAATGTATAACACAAAAATATAAAATTTAAAATATATTAAAATATATACCTGATATAAAATAAAATATAAAATTAGTCAAATAATTATTAATTTTTTTTTTAAATAATGTGATACAGATTGTTTTGTATAGTATTCGAAAGTGCCGTCAATATAAATCTATTAAATTTGTAATCGTGAAAAAGAAAATAATATGGTTTAAATTAGTTTAAAATAGTGATGTTAAATGGTGGTTTTCCTTTTGACAAATCAATTACCGGGTCTATCTGCTATAATTGTACAATTTTAGTGGTCCAATCGCAGTATAAAAAAAGGTTCATTGTGGCTCGGACGCCCGGAAAAAGACGGACATACTTCGCGCGATGGGTGGACCACTGTTGTAGATAAGAAGTTCGGAAGGTAGGATATAGAGGAAAATTGAATGTATATCTTTAAGCAAAAATTATTCATTGTTAACGAAAAATGATTCTGAGCGGAGCTCGGTTAATAGTACCCATTGCTTATTCAACAATATATATATATATATATATATATATATATATGTCATATTATAGTTAAATAAATATTATATTGAAACAATTCATGTGGACCGGTCACCAGATTCGTTCCACTTAATTTTTTACTAAATCAATTTTCGTCAAAATTTGATATTAAGATTCTTATGAAAACAATTTACTACATTAAACCGCAAAATACGACTTATATAAGTGTCCATATAAGCTTAAATATGGCTCAAATGTTTATACAGTTTCACCATGTGAAAAAAGCAAATATAGGTTTTTTCTTATAAAAGTAATTTTTTGATTTTTCTTTTAGTTTCCTTAATAATTAGGGGGAAAAAAAGTCGTATACCAATTTATCGTAAATAGTTGAGCGTGTAACGTATTTATTTTTTCCATGAACGTTTAAAGTTCAACTTTTTACGAAAATGCATTTTGATAAAAATATTTACCATCCCATTTAAAATAAATAGTAGAAGTACTCCTCCCCCACTCCCTCAAGTCGAACACTGGGGACACGAATAGAATATACGTATACCGGAGGACATTCGCATTTTCAACTGTGACGTCAAAAACTTTGATGTTTATTCCAAATTTTTTCTCGGTTTTTCTCATTTATTGGGAAAAGTCCTGGGAAAGTAAAAAAGTAACCACCCTAAAATATCACTAAGTTTAGGTAAAGATTTTCTTTCAGAAAAACTGCTTTACTTGAAGATCGGAGTAATATTGCTGGTAGAAAAGTTGTCTACAAAAGAAAATATAAATAAATAATTAAACATAATATTGTAAAACCAATACATTCCCCGCACCGTTCAGAGTCTAAAATTGATTGTTTTTTTTTTTTTAACAACGCCGTTACGATATTTCCGTTTACTCACCATTTTTACCAAACAAAAAATATTTTATAATTATAACCGTAAATTGTTTTTCGTTTTTTTCTCACAAATAACTGACATAATTTTACGTGGTTATAGTGATTGGTAAATAATATTATATTATTTCTATGTAGATTCGTCGTTCTCTAACTTTTCGTATATAGCCGATCTTGGAATGTACATTTTTTTCGATCGTGACCTATCCGAGACCAAAGTGTACGGGAAACCGGTTGTTCCGGCTCTATAAAATAATCGTGCGGTACATTCCGTTCACGTGATATTTTTATCTTCTGTACGGTCCATAAGTTTCGGATAGCGGCTAAACTCGTCTCGGTTCAATTATGAAGCTGTGATATATTGTACAACAGCATCAAAACAATATTAATTTATTGTTTATCGTACGTGGAACGCACAAATCGTTGACAATTTTCAGATATCATAACCCATAGTAATGCAATATCATGTGACCTAAAAAATTGTAATACACACAACCACTCGTTATTTTTTTTTTTTTTTTATCTATATCCATACGCGTTTTGTACTTTTATTATGAAATCGTTGGATAATACACCTATATGGCTGGTTATATGCTTATTATATTATACCTAGTTATTATTTTTATTTATTTAGACATCTGTAGTTTCTTTTTTTTTTTTTAAGACAACATATAAAAATCAATAAATATAACTAATAAATAATATAAATATACTTATAACAATAAAGATAAACGGAGATTATAGCAAATAACAAATCAC